CAAATACATTGACACTTATCATGTCAAACAATAACCGGCATGAAAATGATAATACAGGTGAAAAACCATTGAAAATAGCAGTTGTACATAGCTACACGAAGAACCTTATACAATACATATTTTTTTAAAGTCAACTTTATATCTCTATATGTTTCGGTTTTCTTGATGATAGATAACGGTATATAGTTCGAGGCAAGGCCAAGGTGTGTTTTTATTAAAACGACCTCGCGTGTCATCGTCTCCGGATAAGTGTGAAGTGTGTTTATCTGATCCTATAGAATACTACGCAAAGATCGAGACACTCCTTATAATAACTCAATCAGCTAAAAACTTTGGGAATGGCTAGTTTATACATTCGTTTGGAAATCACAAACAGCAAACCATGCCGAACCTACAAATGTAATCCTCTTGCATGATCTGCTTGTGACAGTTGGTTTTTTCCGTGCCAGGCATGCATGTGCGTGAAATGAAAGTTTGTCCGGCTTTGAACAATTATAACGCATGTAAAATTTTCTACTTAGGCTACATCATGAAAGAAATTCACAAGTCATTGTATACCATTAATAAATGACACTTGACCTAAAAAAATTAACCCTGCATGGCGTGCAGCACCACCTATACCCCTGGAGATGTCCTCTTTTTGTGCCTTAAAAGCCATCTCTATTTGGAAATGGCTTTAAAAATATTGTGGTTTCCTATACCTACTGTGTATGTCACACCGCATGCAAACAGAACTGGACATATATCATTATGTCCTTAATTGATCAATGCACCCCCTTTGTGAACGGCGTCGTATTTCATGCCAAATTGTTAAACACTATATCTTCAATCTTTTGTCAGACAGACTTAGACTGGAGGTGATTCGAAGTGAAAGGACATGACACATAATTGCGTTTATAATTGGGTGCACAGCATTTGCATATAAGCATTGTCCAATCTGATGTAGCATTTGAATATAAAGCATTGTCCAGTAATGTATTTCTGCAATAAGAATTTCCATGATCAAATCCGCACTCTAGATAATTGGGCACTTTATAGGGTGTGCGGTTTATCTACCACCACAAACATTTAGCTTACTGGCAGCTTGAAGTTTAGCTAAGGGCTGATCCAAGCCCTCGTGAAGTAACATTTTGATACAAGCTATAGTTCATTTACAATAGGACTGCAGTGGAGCATGTAAACAGGATCAAAACATATCCAGTTGTATACGATATCTAAATGAGTTTATACAGCTGATGTATTTACCAACAGCTCACAGAGTCACAGATAAACGACACTTAATTTACCATTAAGTGTTCATCGCGAATATAGTTATGTTTATGCGTCAACAAAGACATATCGCAGTATACTCGTCAACTGAATTTATAACCGTAGTGTTTCTCAACAGCTCTCGCAATCATTTAGTATTATTTTGAAACACTCAAGGTGACAATACAAGTTTGATTGTTTAATCAGAAACAATTGACAAAGCGCCTGTTATAATTAAATGGGTTGGGAAACATCGAGATGTTTTCGCCTGATAATTTCAAATTTTGAAACACTGTTTAATTTAGTCACGAGCATGACAAAGGCAAGGATAAAGAGACTATTTTAGAAAATTCATTATGCACTAGTTCGCCTCTGGAAACTTCATAGTGGGTGTGAGAACGTGGGAAACAAAGACGTTTCGACTGATTTCACGATTGTAAATGCCTGTGTTAAAACAAACTAGGAAGTAGCAATATCTTTTTAACATCAAATCGTTGATTTTGCTCAGTCATGGCATTTGAAAAACAGAATTTGTTCATTTTTAACATAAACACACCGTGCATATTTCATACGTTATGTGAATTACAAAATTTTCAAGCTGTTAATTGTTTACCTGGTATCTCTTAGGATCACCTAATTGAGCTCTAGAACATTGACCATGCAGGATAGTGCAAGGTATATTAATCGTATGGAAGCTCTATTTTTATCCAAAAGGTCCATTTATGTAATGTGATTTATTTTCGCATAGATATATTGCCAGCCATGAATTTTGCATACCCTTACGCAACTTAGTTTTCTGAGCATCAATAATGATACATTAAAAACAGGAAATAATAGACGGATGTCTTGAGGGAATTTTCTCAGTTCCTTGGTTAAGGAGAAGAAACGTTTCGCCTTGTTTGGCAATCTAAAATTCGATTCTTCTTTTCTTTACAATAGAAAACCGAACTGCGGCGTTCCATCAACATCCGTCCATTTAGTACAATCCTGATTTATTATTTTGTTAAGTAAACACTCGGGAAAGATACGCATGAACGAAAATCCACTCGTCTTTGTTTATAGAGATGATAGATTTTCTTGGGAAAATATAGCAAATATATGCTTTTTCTGTCATCACGTATTATTGGAGTTTGGACTATTGTCGGAAGACAAGACCAGGCCGGCGTGCATGTTTCTACGAAACACTAGAAGAAAAGTGGAATCGATTAGGCATATGCCATATGTTTGTATATCACTTGTTCGGTACATACGGCTGCCAATCTCTTCATGAAAACCCAAATTCCCAAATTCTATCCCATTTGAAACTATCCCCTGGGACTCGCAACAGACGAAGCGGCGGTTTTGAAATTCGAACTGTGGCGATGTTCTCTGCAGTGTCAGATTAATAATTTTAATACCAATTCAAAAAAGCTCCGGCATCCCATTTATGATATACCATATATATATTTATATATAATTAAACATACATGCGCATATATGTCTTTTGTCGACGCAAGTGTGTCTTGGAATGGGCCGACTTGTATTTAGATGTATTTAAACACCAAAACATACATTATAGAATGTGTTGCAAAGCACACCGAAAGTGCGTACTAAACGGAAGACTTGCGTTTTAGACTAATTTTTTATCCTATCGAAAAAAGGGAATTTCCGGAAGGAGCATAATAAAACTATCAAAATTGCCAAGTTCGGCTGCGAATGTTGTAAAGTACGGAAATTATATAGTTATGTGAAATTGTTGCACTGTACATTTCAAGGTGCAAAAATTGCCAACTATATATGGATGGCTATTTTTTCAGTGGGATTGTTCAACCTGTGCTGATTTATTTCCTTAGAGCGTTACCATACAAGATCGAAAAATTATCTGAAGTTTAATTGAGCAGCCTATTTCGGACAAGGTGCACATGTGTCATTTTACACTTTCGTATACAAAACAAAGAAACATATTCATCATCTCCCTGAGCCATAATCATATTACGCCGCATGCCATTTTCTTATGATAACGATAAATTGGAAGTTACCCAACTTGTCAGTTGAAAACAAGATGTTTGATTGAAGGCCTATTTATATTCAGCAATTAGGATAAGACTGGGGCAACTAATCAACTACGTGTACTACTTCTATTAATCTAATTAGTATACTTCTTCAAATTCAAGACACTATCAACGATTTAATCCCTCAAGTTAACAACATAAATCTATGAATGCAATCAATCATGTGCCACTCGTTCAATCCTATGAAGACGACTAATATAATTACACACACCTCACGCAATCTTTGCACGATGTTGAGTAATTCATAAATTTAGTACATGATTAATGAAGTACACCTAAATCATGGAATTCATATACGAACACGTGAATACAATAAATTTAGTCTATATATATAATCGAAACAGACTTACGCCAAACTGACAAAATATTTCGTGATGATGATTAATTACACAAATTTTGTATGAAATACAGGCAAATTAAGAGCATTCACACCTCATAACTCACATGTTCCGTCGTTCGATGATGCCTAATGTACTTTTAGGACATAATCCCCGACAGTATCTATCTCCAACTCACGCAATCTCTTCAAAATTTATAGGTATGATTAGTCTATAGCTTACAAGTAAATTCATCATGTGAATATGTAGTTAAAAAAGTAGTATGTAACAGCCTAGCCAACACAATCCGCGATCATCAATAATATATAAAAGCTATAGTGTAATTATTTCATCATGTAAAAACTTCATGCATGGCGATTAAAAGAAATCTATTTACACAATCTTTTCACGACTGCGTACGTATCACGTAATACAAATGATCATAACGACTAATCTAGACACATGAAAATGTTTTCGTTTCCAGCTACTATTGTTGCATATCTACTTAAAATACTAAATAATATTCACGTAAATCTATAGTATATAAAAAATTCATTGGGAATTTTTTTTCAAAGATGAGCAATATAGAAATCTGGGTTATACAAACTCATGTACTTAACGTAACTAATGCAATCTTTTCCGCTACGATGAGTAACATAATTTTAATAAATATTATATCAATCATGTAAAACTTCCATGACGATGATTTACAAAAGACATCGGCCTTTCCGTGACGCAAACACTTAAATATCTGGGTAGCCTAAGACGGGGTTATCCAGACTGTTGATATGCAGCGGGCACGAGCTTTTCATTTCCTTGCGAATGATTACCATGCTTACTTCACTCTGTTTTGATAATGAAAAAGAAAGCAAGCAAGCAAGCGATGTAGGCTTCCACCACCACCTAGTTCTCCTTTTTAAGAAAAATTCTCGTTGAACTCGCAATTAAAGCATATTTTGGTTATTAACTTTATGAAGTCGGTCATGAGCGACCTTTGTGTTTCATGCTGCGTATTTGCATCGACGATTGTAAAAATAGACAATAATCAGAAGTGATAATCAATAGATGATAATCAGTAGTGATAATCAATAGATGATAATCAGTAGTGATAATCAATAGATGATAATCAGTAGTGATAATCAATAGATGATAATCAGTAGTGATAATCATGGAACGGTTAAGTTTCAAAACGAAGCATACCACTTTACTAAGTTTTTTCACCTTTTGAATCGTAAGCACTAAAACACTGCGCAAACCCAAGGTGCTATTGGGTAATTATGATATTTCATAATTTATGATATTTCATGATATTTCAAGGGTTTTAATTCAGGTGCGCTGCAAGTACTGTATTATAACGTGACGTATTTTCAATTTCAATTTCTAGATTCAAAAAATTAGGCAAAGGCAGGAACAACCTAAATGAATACTTCATCAAAGTCCTACCTTACACAGGGATGAATGTCGTGTGTCCCAGCGACGTCATAATGAACACGTGGAGGGCACGCCCTGCGTATATGCTAACCATGTACGAGAATCTCTGGCACGTGGACAAGGCAGGATATGATAAATGCGAAGTGAACAAAGACGGGAAACTTCTGTTGGTGTGTGACAATCCTAGCAAACCAAAGAAATTACAATTTTCATTCCATCCTATTTATTCCAGCGAAGAACCGAGATTTGTTCCTGGGAATCATTACTACTTTATAAGTAAGCGCATTTAATTTCAATCTTTTGGTTTTTTACATTGTAACTGAGCTGGTTTTATTCATTTAATTATGCTAATGGATCAACGCACTTGTAATAGAATCATGCTGTCATTCATAGTTTTCATAGCAATATAAATGAGGTCTTTGGAACCATACGATAGTTGACCAACTGGACACTTTTCTTTCAGGCACAAGTAATGGCATTGACATTGACCTTGCCACGCGGCGAAGAAGCGGAGATGATGGTCACTGTGTCCAATACAACATGAAGTTGCATATCTATGTCTGTAATCCTAAAATTGGTAAGAAAAGTCGTCAAGTCTAATATAAATAATTAGAGGTGGATGAGCACACTAATCTAAAACCGTTAAAAATATGAACCAGTATATAGATTGATAGGTCTCTGCTCTCAAACCTGCCTGGGGTGAGGTGGGGCAAGAAACATAACAAATTACAAATGTTTCCACGTTTGAACAGAAAGTTGAGAATTTAGCCCCTTCCCCTTCCTACGTCCTTGAAATGCTGAGGATAACTTAATTAAACTTATAACAACTAGATTCCATGTTTACCAATAAAACATATCATATCGTTTTAACCTTTCAGAGGATTGTATTTGGGAACCACCGCAATGCGAACCTCCGACAGAGATAAGACATCGAATGTTGATGGTCAATGGTAAACTACCACGACCTACACTGAAATCACGCCACAAAACCAAACAGGAAATCACAACACTCAATCCAACAACACGGGCATTTGACACAACGAAGGCACCACGACGTGTCGAGGCACAGAAAATTCAAGGGAAATGCAAGAGCGAAAACGAAAGTAAGTCTATATATTTTAAGGAATAATGTCTTAACGAGGGTATGCGTTTTTGAAAACCTTTCCTTTTATGCTAAATAATACATGCCAATGCATACTGTGTCAATATTATCCACTTTGGAAGAAACGATTTGAAAACTAATACCAACAGGCATTTCAAAATCCAAAATATGGATCGAAGCAGGACGGAAATTAGTTTGTGATAGTGATTGATATATGCCAGGATGAAAATGAATTTTAAAGATAGAAAAATGCCCAGGAAATGAATTTAAAATACGACATTGGGTAAATTTTGTATTTTCCACAATTTCATGTTTTAAAGCAATTTGCTGAGTTTGCGATCATTTCTATTTTATTACAATACAATTGCCAGACAGGCTGAAGTTAAAATATAGTATGTATACGTAGTCTTATATACCAGTTATATAATGACATGAATAATTTGCCGTCAAGACTCGGGTCACATGTGGTAAATATGGTGCTTCGGATAGTGTTGATTGATAGAAGGGATTAAGAAAGCAGATGCAAAATAATGTAATATTTTTAAAACAGATGTAAGCCAATGAAGTGCATTCACTTATTCCTTCTCAACATTCCCCGAAATAACATTTCCTGTATACCCATGCACTGCATACTTATATTAGACTCTTGTAGCTTCTTGCGGTCTCAAGTTGCCGACAAATTCCTTCGTAACACGTCATATCTTCCTTGCCGTGTACAGGGCCAGGGGTATAAAAAGACGAACCACACACATTTATCACTTTGTTCAGAGATGGGAGAAAATTTTAGTTCCCTACAAATTATCGGACGGCTGTATTCCAAGAGCATAAAAGCATGTAAAATTGTCAATGTAATGCATGTAAACTCTACTCAACTAATCCTACTTTATACCGGCACTCGTACGTGTTGTAATTTGACAGTTATGCTCCTTGAATACGATTGGTAGCTATTTGAAACTTCTAGCGAATTTAGCGAACAAACTGGATTACTTGGGGATAAAGGTTGCGCGGTTCCATTTATAAACACCCTGTTTTTAAGATGCTAATCTTTGAATTATGTTTTACCCTAGACACGATTTAGTCTAACCTTAATTGACTAAACTTGCATGGTTCATGAGAATTGAGAAATACTTCTGTAACACGTAGAACTGTAAAACTATAAATAGTTGTGATTCACGATATTTCAATTAAAAATCATTGCTTGGCTATGGTACAATTATAGAATACCAAGTCAATACTAAAGCTAAATAACTGCATGCACATTCTTTAAAATATCGTGTTTCTTCTTATTTTGAGATGGTCCGATTTATGCGTTAAGTAACATAAAATAAGGGAGTTCTATAGAATGTTCACTTACATTCCTGATTGATAGCCCAGGTATTTTAAAATTTGCCCACTTTTTAAAGCAGCAAATTACCTTTGTCAACAACAAATCTTTGCCGCTTCTTTTCAAAATTCAACTCCCAAGGATTCATTGCGAGCTTGAGTCGTCCCAGTTCTCTACAACGAGCAGTATATGCATAAATTATCATTATACATTCGCATTTCATCATATCACATTATTCATGGCATTTCAATCCCCGTCTATGCTCCCATAAAATCTGTGTGCCTCTGCTCATTTTAATACCTACATGTTTGGTGTCCATTCTAGCTTCCATTCCACTGGTCATGAATTTTGTTCTTGGCGGAGTGATTATCTTTTTGATCGCCGTTGTTATAATCCTGGCTTGTGCCCTAGCGTAAGTATCTTGCATCTTAAAATACCAAACCCGTGAAAGTACACCTCTTTAGCAACTTTTCAAGACAACTAATATGAGCTACGCTAAAGCTTGCGTAATCGTGCCGCACATAAAGCACTTTAAACATTACTTTAAACAGAACTGGATAGTAATGTTTTCTACCGTTTAAAAAATGCTAAAAAGGAACGAACCTAACCATTAAGCCTGTTTGCAGTGTTAACCTTGAGAATTGAATTGGGCTGCGATTAAGATCTACACTTTAGATGTTTGTAACCGAATTCCCATCCAGTTTTCTCTACCTTATAGGAAAAGGACCAGGCAGTACAACCCGCAGAAAGCTAAGCTCCCGCCAGAAACCAAACAAGGCAGAATATACGAAAGTGTTCCAGTCCAATTACCTCCGAACATGGTACCCATCGGATCGCCACAAGCCGACTACCTAGTGTACGCTAGGCCATGCACTCCAGATCCTCTATACCATACAGTTATCAGGACTCCTTCTCATCATGATTACGAGGCTCCGGTGTTCAGATTTCCCGACGTGCCTCAGAGGAGTCGGGGTGGTTCAATGCAGAGGAGTCGAGCCGGTTCAACACAGGTGAAATCAAGTATAGAGAAAGATGATGTGGATCCCGCTGCTCCGGTGTGATTTGAAACATCAGTTTGGTAGAGCACATAGAAAATGTTTTTGAAATCGAGAGACACGATGATATACACACTTCAACAATCGTGGAATCTCTTTCTACTCCCGGTATGACGAAGTTCAAAAGCATAGCTGTTGCCTAGCAACATCACTTTGTGTGATCATGTACAGCGAATGTTTCCTTAGGAAACGCAATGAAAAATCACAGCACTGATAGACTGATGCATTTATCAAGCTGCAGCGTAGATTTCATTTGCACAATTAAGGCATTCGGGCAGACTATCAAGTCAAGGATATAGATACGAAGAACTGAAGAACTTTGTACAGACAATATAATTGTTGTGATATATGTAATAGCAGTAGGCTTCTTCTCACGATTAGATAATATGTACATATTCTCACTTGCACTCACAAAAACCATACACTACATATATTCTCAAAAAAATTTTTTTGTAAATTCAATGTATGAAAGAAACACAAACGTTAAACAATACCTAAATGCACGATGATGCTGACAAAAGGATGTTGTGCATGTAAATATATATATTATAGTAAATAATGTTTCCAGTATTATGTACAAATTTCTACATCACGAGCTACGAAAGAAGTTGTTTGGCAGTTTTTTAAGCTCCATTTGCATTTTCCGGATCTCGCAAAGGCGCAGAAAAAAACGTCTCAGTTGCCTTTATCAGAATAGTAATGTCACTATTGTTGAGCAGTTTTATCAATTCACAGTTTTACCCATACCCGATTTTGACTCACGTGTCACGAACCCGAATCCTATCCAAGTGGCTTTGGTACCATTTTATGAAAATGTTTCACCATAAACTTTAATTCCTAGATCCCTAGGAAGCTAATTGGTTAAAATATTTGAAGACGATTATTTCCGGTATCGACAACAAATATGTCCCCAGCATCACTAACTGCTATCCCACACGGGTTCTTAAAGTACCCCACGTTATCACCGTAAGACCCAAGTTGTGCAACAAACTCTCCTTGATTTGTGAAGATTTGTACACGATGGTTGTGATTGTCACATACCAAAATATTGCTTTCATCGTCCACAGCAATACCTTCTGGGCCATCAAACTGTGAGATTTTGGTTCCTGGAGTGAAAGGAACGAATGTGAATTAGATCAGTAAATATTTTTCTTCACGAATATGATCATTTTTCTACACTTGTCGCTGTGAAAAGTGTACAATATTAATCAATTAACAGCGATGGAGCTGCAGCTGAAGCAACAGCGACGACAACAATAATATAATAACAACAAGAAAAGCAACCACACGACAACACAACAACAACAACACATGAAAAACAAAGAAAACAACAAAAAACTGTAAAAACAACAAAAACAACACGACAGAAAAAAAAAACACGACCACGACCACGACCACCACCAACAACAGCCACAAAACAACAAAACACAAACAACAACAACAACGAGAACTGCGCAGGTAACAATGAAGGACCATACCCTCTTCTCCAAAACAACACTGGTGCCCCCCAACTTTGTCAAAAACTTGTATTCTGTCGTTAACGCAATCAGAAACCAAGCATAAAGACTTCACACTGAATGCCAGATGATGGGGATAGAGAAATTTCCCTTCGTCGCTTCCCTGAGATCCAAAGGCCGCCAATGGTTCACCGTGCAGGCTAAACGTTTGGACTCTGTGATTGTCTTGCTCTGTCACAGCGATCAATTCCTTCTCGTTGCAGTGTGCAACACCACAAGGGTGAGAGAGTTGGCCTATAGAAGAACGAATGTTGATGTAAATTTTTTTAAAGGTGTTTATATGATTTGATTCTTTTATTTGTGTTCTATTTTACGTACAATAGCATACAATGAGCTAAATATTGCGTGCTTACAAGTACTTACAAACTACTTTTGTAACCTATTTGTAACCTAACTGACGTAGTTGTCAAACTCTATGCTCTTTGTAGATATAAAGAACCCACGACACATTTTCATTTTTTCAAAATTATATTGGTAGATGTTTTAACTTTTATGCATTTTTTATGAACTCATTATATTCGAGTGTGACTGTGACGTATTTCCTATATTCCGTATTACTTACTGAGACATCTTAATCCTGACATTCCGTATTAGTGAGACATCATGATCATCACATATATTTACCTTCCTGGTCACCTTTCGAGCCAAAAGCTCTTAAGAATCGTCCATCTTCATTGAACATCTGTATTCGATGGTTCTCAGAATCAGCGACAATTATGTGACCCTTGGAGGAATAGGCCACACCCTTGGGACTTTTGAATTCTCCTTTCTTCACGCCTTGGCTTCCAAATTTGAACAAAAAGCCTCCACTGATATCGAAAACCTGTGATAATTTGTGAGAATTTATACAGAACGTTTGGTAATGAAGAGCAGCTAATAAATACTCTTAAAATAATCCACGATACTCGCAATAATCGCTCAGAAACTTTAGGAAGATACCAACTATGACATTCCTCCATGAAATAGATTAGATTCACTTAGATCAATGAACACAAATTATCAGGCACGCCGGAACATCGATAATTGGGGGGGCATATATTCATATATTCGAGTTCTGCATTATTTGTTTCTTTTGAAATCGATTGTTTTTACGGTCTGTCAACTTGAATATATGAATATATGCCCCCCCAATTATCAATCTTCCGGCGTCCCTGCAAATTATCATGAAGAAGAGAATAATCAGATATAAAAAGGAGTGGAAAATGAAGTAAGGTCAGTAAGATCTCTACCTGGATCCGATGGTTACCGGTATCTGAGACGATAACATATTCTCGTTCGTTGTCAATAGCAACACCCCAAGGCATGTTGAACTCTCCCCCACCCTCTCCTTGTGTCCCAAACGCTCTCGTGGTATTATGCAGGCGGTGATAGTCAATACGACCGCTGGCCATTATTGTAAAGGGACTTCCCTTGATGTGCTTCTCACGCAGTGTGACGTGGATCGCGTGGTTGCCTCGAAGTTTTGGAATGTAAGACACGCAATAAGTTCCATCGTTGTTGTCAATCACCGTTCCTACACGAACATAAGAAATGTCATGCAATGGATCGCGAAGTCTCAAAGGTATATTATAGACAAAGTATTTAAGGGGTAGTTCTAATTTCAAGAAAGTTTTCTTTGTAGGGGGTTTGCAGCTACCTCATCTAAAATTTTATCTATTCGTAATTAGCCGTGCACACTGACCTTGAAAGGCCTCGCCATCTTCAGGGACAACACTCACGGTTATTCTATCACCGCCATGTCCATACAGTTCCTTATTGCGGTCCACTGTGATGACTTGAAACATCGCCTCAACTGCGGCTTTAGCTTTGTGAAGACCAATTCCTGTGGCGTAGCATAGACTCGGGACTGTTGGAAAGATCTTGACGTGTCCTGTGAACTAAAATTTGATCAATAAAATGATGTTAATTTGGCACCAACATCGGCTAAGAAAGCACTTACTATAAAGGAAGCGTTTAAATTCAAAGTATTTGAATAACGATATTATTGGGTATGAAGTTCGAAAGAATATTTTGGAACGGAAATCTACTAGTGGAATAATTTCAAGCATTCTTTTGACTAAAAACTATCCCGCTTAGCCGAGATTAAACCAGGCGTATGGAGTGATTTTGAGGTATTGAAATGAGTATATAACATGATCCTGGCTTTGGTGTAGCCATTCCGACACTAGCATGCGCTTGTTTTGTGTCATAAAGACTTTTTTTAATACCTCGAAATCATGGTAAATATTGTGTGACCAGGATCATGTAAACAACACCTAAGTCTGCCACTGACGTAAAATGAATTTTAAAAAATGTTCACTTTTTTATTTTTACCTTGATCGCTTTGCGAAATTCATCAGCGAAAAACTCGTATTCGATGACATCATCTTCCTGTGGCTCGAAGGCCATGTGCGTACTCTGCAGATCATTCAACCTCTGCGTCAACTGTTTCTTCACCAGCATCACCTCAGCCTCGTTGCCGTGTTCCAGCACATTTTCTGAGAACTGACAACTGCTCGTGACGCTTGCGAGCAACGTCTCCAGGCTCTCCTTCTGCAGCCCGAGATTCTTGCATTTGACGCGGCATTCGTTGGTGACAAACACAAGCAACTCTTCCTCCTTTTCCTTAAGCACTTCGGCGCATTTTGAGAAATTACTAGTGATTTCCTGAAATTAAACGAATATACACGAAGTGCGCATTCAGGGATGCTGCGACGCACGCTTTATGTCTCCAGAATAAACTAAAATTTATGCTGTTTCCTGGGTTTTCATGTGAAACTAATAGTTTCGATACATGGAAATATGCCACGTCTCTCTACTGGGCTCTATGGTGATTGCGTATCACATGAATAGTCCATCATATTTGGTAGTAAGCATGGTACTGCATGAAATCTTCTGAAATGACGTATATATACATGCTAAAATTTGAGCCGCAGCATTCTATGCTTGTTCGCTCTTAATTAACGATATTTTATTTGCCAATATCAAAATACGACGAATGTTACTAACAACTTACGCCCGCAGCACACGAGACGCAACCTCTTGCACAGTATAGTACTATAGTAATAGCAAATCTATGAGGCACCAAATCTACGACGCGGACGTGACATGAAAACAGCTGCTACTGTTGGAAACCTAGTTTTAATTTCTCTCGCATACAACTCCGACTTTGTTTACCAAGAGGAGGCTATAATTTTTATCCCTGATGCGAAACTATGAAAATAATGGCAGTATTACTTCGCTTCCTTGGTTTAAACTCACTAATAACAATTTTACGAGTTTGCAAATAAAAAAGGCACTCCCTTTTTATTTACAATCTGTAAAAATTTTACCTGCTGAAGACCCTTGCTTCGCACTTCAAGACGTTCTACGAGTGCTGTGATATCTTCTATCGCTTTCTCCAATGGAACTGTTTGGCATTTTGTACTGTCGACCAGTGATTTCACCTGAAAGAGTATAAAAAACTGTCAGTTGTTAACAGCCTATCTGTAAAAGTTACTACAACTAGCAACTCAAACACTTCAAGAGGAAAGTATAGCTACAGGTGACACACGAGGCATACAGATTTGTTTACATTTTGTTGTTGACTGTTTTTTTTCTTCATAAAGAACTCCATTTTTGTTCCTTTATGGAGAAACTAACGATCGTTTCACTCGAATACAATCAAACACATGCATATTTAGCTGATTTATTGCAAGTACCAAGTCTGTTATATTTAAGTCTAAGAGCGGTTTTCCATTAGCCTGAGTTTTTCGATCGAACGAAATTTTTTGTTTTATTTTCTTTTTAATCACGAGGATTCGACGGTAGAAGATTTTGTTGACCTGTCACAAGGGTTTTTTCCTTGAAAATCAAGAAAAAAAATCGTACGATAAAAAAATCAGCCTGGGAAACCGCCTTTATGTGTATACACACTTTTTGCATGACTTGTACATACCGCTTGACGTTGCTTGTTATTCACATCTTTAAGATATCCGTAAGCATGCTCTCGATGCTCCATTATCAAACATTCCCGGCAAACAGGGTCATCGCACGTTTCACAATAATACTTCAAGACCTCCCTATCATGATGACTGCAATATAAGGGCCGATGCATCTTATCTTGAACGCCAGACGACTGCAAATCCTTCAGCGCCAAGACTTCGTGTTCTTTTGTAAGCTTTGTGCGTTTGTGTGCGGCGAGACACTGTTCACACAGGAATTCCACGCAGTCGCCACATCTTGCAACCGCGTGTGAATGATCTTGGCAGTTCGTGCAATCGATTGGCTTGGAAGAAAAAGACTGGACAGTGATAAAATCCAACATATTATTGATAAAGAAGTTCGTCGGAAGTTCTTGCACTCCTCCCGGAGGTAGTTGGATTTCGTTGCGACATGTTGGACATAGAATAGCATTCTCGCCTTCCTTCAGGATCCTCTGCAGACACTTCTGGCAGAACGAATGCAAACAGGGAAGAATTTTTGGCGTTTCAAACGTTTCCAGACACACGGGACATTTCAAAAGCTGCTCTGACAGCTGACTTATGTTCACAGTAGCCATGAGTCGATATTGATTATGCCTTACGATACGGAACGAGCCATTGACCACAACTCCCACTCAAATAAACATTATTTCTTCTTTGTTTATGGATAATCAGAGATCTAGATGATTATTTTACCATAGTTTCCTCTCTTTTGTTCTTATAAATTGATTGTAGAATTTGTTGCGAAATGAGACTCTATTCTCGCGTAACTTATTATTGTCGCATTACGGGTGGTATAGTTGAATTTGCATCACAAATGAATTTACTACACATACCTGCTAGGAAACTATAATTATATAATCCCAAATAGCTGTATTTAAAAGTTAATCAAGATATTGCAATCAAAATTCAAAAAGCGCAAAAAATTGCAAAGATGAGTTGCCCGCGTAGTGATCTCAAATTTCAAGAGCAAAACTTGTGACTTAATATTGAACTCCGCAACAAGCTAGAGTTTAGAGCTAAGCTAGTCTTAACGAAATTACGGATCACAGGCCAATCATTGTAACAACTTACGCCCGCAGCACACGAGACGCAACCTCTTGCACAGAAATTACGGATCACAGGCCAATCATTGTATTTTTGCGGTACAGTGATGACGGATCAGTTACACGGCGTGTGAGTGATGGAAAATGTATATAGGGCGTTGAAATCCCGCGAATTTTTATTTCCAGATTCACGTATCTTGATTTACCTAATATATGAAACACGTATATTTCGTATATTATATGATATGAAACACGCATATTTTGATGAAAACTATTCACAGTTGCCCACAGCAAAACTTTTTGAAGATGTGTTTTTCGTCATTGTAATTTGCTACAATATAATCCATGTACTATGCAACTTTCCTTGCAACTTCGCAACTTGCAATGCAATATTTGACCTTAATACTGACCTATCGATAATGGATCTCGGTTTCACAAGCAATGGAGTAAAATATCGATTGGACATTTCTTCCTGCTAATGGATTGTGGGGACATAATCGATGCTTAATATGTTCAACCTTGATGGCTTTTCCCAGGAGGAAAAGCAGTGGTTTGTATTTAATACACGAGCTTTTTCTATCTAATACACAGTGAATACCGAGTTTTCTGGTTTGTAAAACAATAATGAGTTATAGGAAGAATTTACTTCGTTGTTTCAGGTTTCAAGAACTTGTCACATTCCATACACGCTCTGTATCCTTCTCTGTGATAAACAGTGAACAAACTAGGTGTGAAAAACTGGTTTCCAGTTGTATGACGAGGAAAGGATAAACAATTCGCACAGCAAGACTGGCATGAGCAACAACTCCAACAATCACAGCAACCCAAACCCACAGGAAAACCGGAAACTCTTTCGATATCTTCTTGTGTGAGCGTCGGTCCCTTGCCCCATTTGCTGTCAAGATTCTCTCCTTCGTCTTTCCAGGTTTTCTTGTCCTTTCCCTTGTCCTTTCCCTTGTCCTTTCCCTCGTCCTTTCCCTTGTCCTTTCCTTGCCCCCCTTGTCCTTTCCCTTGTCCTTTCCCTCGTCCTTTCCCTCGTCCTTTACGACCGTGGATGGAGAACGCGGAGCAATTAGGACAATGTGGCCCTCGTCCTTGGAATTTTTATTGCGGCCTGAAAAGAAATATATAGAAATTTTATTACCAGTAGTCCGCGTACTATATGAAAAATCCAGTAAATCGAATCAAATGCTGAAGAATCTAGGATTTAAAAAACTATTTTTTTATTCCCATCTCATCACCTACCCTTATTAGAGTAACGAACTTTGAATTCATACTTTCTTGGATATCTCCCACCTTCTGGATGGACATACTTATTCTTTATATCATGCAACACATCATCTGATTCATGATCATCTTCTTCCACATTTGCAGTGAAAGAGCAATCCAATATCTCACGCGCATGCTCCAATATCGGTATGATTTGCCTGGCGTAGTCATCGTCAGATCCAATGTACGAACCATCCACCACAAGGATCCTCGGCAATCGCAATTTTAACAGAGGCAAGAGACCATAGGTTTCAAAATGGCCACCATCACTTAGATGTAACATTGCCGGAGGTTGTGGGCCATCGTGAATGAAATTGAAAAGCGACATGATGAAACGACAAATGCGCAAGTGCACAACAAACCATTTGCTTCGACTGTAATATAAAAAAATATTTTCAATTTTGTAGAATAGAAAGACGCTATTTTGAAAAAGAATAAACTAAAATAGGTTTATGATCCAGAGGCAACTAGGAAGATCTACAGCAACATATAATAATTATACAAGACATCTACTTTATAGAGGTGTGCAATGAAGGGGGGCATTTTTCGAAGAAGGGGGGGGGTGGCATTTCCATCCTCCCCTCCGCGTCATCACTGCATGTACGGCCACAGGGGTATTTCATGAGTATTTGAAAGATGTTCGCTAGACGTTTATTGGCGGTTTCCCCCTTTACATACCTTGATGAATTTCTTCCATCTTCGCTTGATTGGCCTGACTCACAGCAAACACAACACATCATGACAAATAGTACCAACAACAGCAACACAAATCCCCCTCCTACTACAGCTACTGTCGTGAGCACAGGTAGACCCTGACTATGCGATTCCAACAATTTCCATAGTCCAAATCCTCCAGCACCGATTAAAAGAGATACGAACATGTTTGCAGCATATAACCGAAGCTATTATAGGAAAAAAAGTAAGGATTAAAATAAAACCATCAGTCTTGATAGAGTAAACAGCTTTTTATTGATGCACATGTGATATTGTACCTATACGCTGTTATTATCTGATAAATAGCTCGTTTGTAGAGATGATAGTGTAAAGGTCGACTAACTCATGCGACTGTCAACATATTTCAGAATGAAGGGAAATGAAGCTCGAGGAAGAATTGCCCCTTCTTAAAAGAATTATCACCTCGAATGCAGCACAGTTAAACTATATAAGAAAAGCACTATAAGATCGAATGCTATAGGTCGTCCGTATAGATAGAGAAATGAATTATTCATTATTGCTTTGGTAACAAGTTATCTGGGAAAATCATGAGAAATAAATACTCTCACATTTTTGTGAAGAAAATAAGAGTTTAATTCGTGTATTATTTGTTAGCATAGATCATTTCAGCTTGCATGCAAATTAACCCATTTCAGATCGATGTTGTGAGCATGGAATAGCCTATAAAACCTAACCATTTCTGACCATGCGATTTGAAATGGCACAATGGCGTACAAGCTGAAAAGGTCTGTTGAAACTTTTCTCTTGTAATTATTATTACGTTGCGATTGATGTGACAGATGGGCGAATAAGGACACTCTTGTCTTATACATGAGAACATTCAAACCAAGAAAAAGAAGATTGCAAGAATAATTTTAACGTATCGTTCTTACGTACCCAATTACAATCACCTTCTCTTTCACTTGTCATGTCATAAACATGATTCGCACCCATCTCCATTCCGAGCAAGGTCAAGATATGGGTAAACGTCTGTTCTTCCGTTTCATGCTTGCCAAGATAGGGCGAGAGGGCCGCAGCAGACAGTGCCATTGCCGAAGATAATTTAATATCGCTGGGGTTCAGTTTGTTTTCAAAAACTTTGCCATTTAAACAACTGTTTCTAAATTCGTCTAGCTCTAGGTCTTGTGAAGGTTGGGACGTCGTAGGACCAGATTGATTGGTTTGTGGCTGCTGGTCGATCACAGAAATGCCTGTAAAGGTAAGCATTCAGCATTCGCCAATAATATAAATTAATATTTGGGTTTTAGGGCTATTTGAACGTGATTAAAAATCAATGGACTAGTGAGAGATAGAGTGCCTGCATGAAGGACATTGAGAAACGTGAAATTGCGCCTTTGGGACCAGTTGTATAAAACGCAAAAATGAGCCAAATTCTTTGTGTTACAAATTAACACGTTGTTTGAAATACATTGAACATGACCAACCTTTAGGGCTCATGGTGAGAAAACAATATTTTTGATCATATTTTCTGCGCCAACCATTGACCACCATACTACTTAGGAATTCTGGTTTCATTTCCTCCAGGTCTCTTAATGTCACTGCTCGGTGCTTCAGTGTCGGACCTAGGGATGTGCAGAATAAATTACTACAGTAATATTCTTGTATGTTTGCATGGCGACAGTCGATAAGTAATTTAACTTGGGTACACCACGTAAGTATCTAGTACTGCAAAGCTTTCGGTCCGTTAACCCGGGCCTTCATCAGGTTAACCCGGGTTCAGGCCCGGACCGAAAGCTTCGCAGTAGAGAGGTTAAGATACCCCGGTTCCGGTGTACGGGTAGCCTTATTTTGTTCAATGAATTTCCATCAGTGTTTCTCAATTTTTTCGAACATTAACTCGGCAATTCTTTTCCAGTAGACTTTAGCCTCCTGAGGTAAGCATGATTTGTATCATGAAACGTGCAAACAACAAGAAATTCCAATGAACAAATTATGGCTAACCGTACCCGTATACCAAAACCTGGGTATCTTAACCTCTCTAGTATTAAATACTTACGTGGTGTACCTACAAGCTAAATTACTTAAATTACTACAGCTTAAAATCGGAATCGCATTGTTAGATTTTAATATGAAAATATTCTTTTCAAATCTATAACCAATAGCGTTGTTATTAAGGTGTTTTGAATTTAAAATTAAGCTGTGTAATATATTCTACCGTTGTTATGCTGGTTGTTTGGAATGTCTTGATTGTTTTGAGGCGGACACGTGCAAGTCGCACAACAACACGATGGACAGTATGGACAGTGACCACCTGGGAAGAGATCATAACAATAGCAGCATTGTTCTTCATATTTGCAGAAATTGCAGCAATTTTCCCCACAACCACAGGAATTTGGAATATCCAACAGGCAATGACAAAGCTTGTTCTCTTGGTCACAGCAAAAAGGGAAGCAAGTTGTTTCTTTCCCGTCGTGGTAGAAAAAGGCTTTCTGCAATCTCCATCTTGAATGATAGAAATAAAAGAAAGTTCTACATATAACAAGATAAAAAAGTTTAGCTAAGATAAATAACTGAGATCATTTGGACCACTTGAACTTTTATTTTCACTTCGATAATACAGGTGTTCCCCAGATAACGCACGATCATATCAAATTTAACCAAACAGACCAGGACTGAATAGAACTATTGCACATATAAGATTGATAACACTAAGATTGACAACACTATAAAGATTTATGGTTTGAATGAGCAGTTGTTTGCCTAGTTCGATTGCCAGAACAAATTTTTTACTTCTGCCTCAAAAATTGTCAGGTGCATGAGAAAAATATTCTAGCGTAACACCCCAATGATGAAAGTAATGCTAGGTGAATATACGACTTCATTGCATTCATTTTGAAATCAATGGTGTTTCCAGGCTGCAAACTGATTAGTTCTTAGTAGAGTGATTACAGCCTGTTAAAATCCTTTATTTTTTCAAAATGAATAATTTTATGATAAAGTGGTTTTGCACTAGACCAAACAGCGAGTTTGTTTACATTTTAGCAACCCAATCAGAATGCATTGACTAATTTCGGTAAAGAGGTACATTATTTACCATTTTACATGAAGTATTAAAAAATTAGGCATTCTGATTGGCTTTGCCTGAGAGATGTAAACAAATATGGCGATTAGTTTAAATGTTGTTTGTTCTTTGTTCTTTGTTTGTAATTGCACAATTAGTTACCATTATAAAACAATATCAGTTACCAAGATTCGTATTACAATCAGGGAATAATCGCGCATTTGTAGTTTATTAAATATAAACATGCGAACCTGTTGTACATGTAGACCAAGCGAAGCGGAATATCTCCAAGAATCGAGAATACCGATAATATGGCCAAAGAGATATAAAAACACAACGCGAATTTCTCTTTTGTATACTTAAACTTGGAAAAATCGCTTTCGTACAGGTGCCAGTACACGACATAGGAGTAAGAATATATCAGAATCACCAGAGAAGAGTACTTTCGCAAAAGTGGAACAAAAAACCAAAAAACTGCTGTGATAACAATTATGAGGATCTGGATAAAACCAGGCAGATATTTTAGGGAGTCGTTGATAAACCATGGCAGAAAAGTGAAAGCAAACGTTGCACCAGAAGTTAGCTGACCTATTTTTATAACTAACATAGCCCACTTCATCTTCATGTAATTTCTCTTATTCTCGCCACAGGATTTAAGAAAGTATTCGAGCAAATGAAAGAGAATAAGGACACCCAATGCGACCGAAAAAAAGACAGCGCGTTTTTCACAATCTGTGCTATCATCGTCGTGTCTACACAGTGAACCGACAAGAAACCTCCCATACAGAAGTTTGATGATGAAAGCAATTGGGATGGCGAAAGAACCCCAACCAACAATTGGGATAATCATAGTAAGAAAAAAGAGCAAGGAAAATAAAATCATGGAGTCAAAGACCCCCTTAACGCTTTGACAATTGCAGAAATAGCCTGCTCGCTTTCTCATATTTTCAAAGAATTTCTCAGTCCAATCTGTAGTGTTTCCTTTTCGGTATTTCCACTCGACGTAAGCACTTCCAGTGTAACCTCCGCCAGACACGCAGCTCAAGTAATCAGGCTCTGCTTTCATCGTCAGGAGCCTGCGCAGAACACCGGAACAAAAGGCCGCAGACCGGATTCCACCACCTGAGAATGCCACACCCAATTTGCCGGGAGCCATTTCTACAAAAAAAACCACGAGAAACGATAAAGATTAAAGTATATTACAAAATCACTGAGATGCTATAAGTAATAGTAGTCTATGGATGATCAATGGTTTATAACTGTTCAGATGATCGATGACGTATATACATATCTGCTATCAAAGTTCGTATCACTGCTTGATTTCTTAACCCAATTTTATTAGTGTTCAGGCTAATGTAAAAAGGCCGGGTACGGGATACCCATGCATTTTAGCCGTGCCGCGCCGAAAAATTGAGTGTTGTTAAAGCCCCGTTTACACTACAGTCAATTTATCGGCACGGCATGGCTAAAATGGGTACCCGTGCCCAATTTTATTACTGTTCAGGCTACCAAAACAAAGGCCGGGCACAGATGAAATGGGCACGGGTACCTTTTTTAGCCGTGCCGTGCCAATAAATCGAGTGTAGGGTAAACGGGGCTTAAAGGGGTTTTAGTGTTGTGAATAATGGTAATTTAATTATGAATAATCATGGTTTTAAAATATAATTTGCACTGAACAACAACTATGTATGCATATGCTTATGCTACTCTTAGGTTACGGTATTGCATTTTCCTGGCGTTGATCATGACCTGACAATTCGTAGAGAGTACTCATTGCCGTCCGATCAGATGACATTTCGAAGTGGTTTGCTGATTATAACTTGCGATTCCTGTTCGAATACTTGACCGATTTTAACAAAAATAGGAGCACTTTAAAGAAGAAATTGTCCTCAGTGGATGTTATCTTTAGCGTCAAAATCGAACCTAGCCTTTAGAAGATTTTTGCCGATTTTTTATATAAACATACATGATCATATGAATTATCGCGTCACCGGCGATGATATTTCACAATAATAAAAACATCGAAAAAAAAATTCGGGCACAAAAAGCCGAAAATCTGCCTCCTAGATCCAATTTTACGTCAGAAATCGATTTCTGGGGTCAAATTTACCCTAGGAGGAAGGCATTAGGGAGTTTTGTCACATTTTCCAACCGCATGACAACATTCCGAGCATGCGGTAAGCACGCGCTTAGCAACAATTATCGCTTAGAACTTATAAAATGCTATTTCTCCGCTTCTTTTGCACGAGGTTGCTTTTGCACATCCTACCCCAAAAATTACTCAGAATTATAACAGAATGATAGCATGTAAAATTCAGACATTTTAAAGACAACAGAGAACAAAAAAAAGCGAGAAAATACTGAATTTCTAAAGTATATGGTTGCTATGGGGAGTAATTTGAGATAACAAAGCAACCTATTATTTCGATTCATGTTTTGACTTGTAACACAAATGCAGTTTATTACTATATGCAGGTTTGAAAATACTATTTAAATCGTCTTTTCAAGCTCTATCGTTTGGTGGTATTCCGGGGTCTTTAGCCTAAATACTTGCTGAGATATTTAATGTTTTGCTCTTCCCGACAATATTGTCGGAAGCAATAGTGACCAGACGGGAGTTAACGCAACAAATATCAAATATAAAATTATATAATCCCAAAAAAGAAAACAGAAAACGAGTACTTTTGTAACAGTGACGCAATGTGTCTTGCTGGCATGGTAGCAGGATATAACCTTATATATGACCAAACCGATGTAGCACGATGTGGAACGTTATAGGCGTAAATTGGAATACTAACATAGGAGACACAGAGCTATAATTGTAAAATAAAGCTGGTATATACGGAACTAATTAAACTAATAGTAATGCATGCATGAAGCATGTTAATGATATAAATACGGCCACATAGTTTCAGTGATATCACGCTACACCACGCTCCACAGTAATAATGTCAATGTTATTTCAAAAGAAACTGGCCCGCTGATAAATTTACAACCATGCAGTCTTGAGTTATCAACTTACGTATAGCTATATTTGGTTTGCTCTTCTAAACTTCTACTTAGGTCGCTGAATTTTCTTCAAAATGCTTTAAACTTAATAGGTTTTCTTAGAATGTCTTTGCTGCATGGAGGCAGTAAAATTCTTGTCTGTGACCTTTAGTGTCAACCGGCAAGTATAAACTGATCTGGACTGAAAAACTGTAAAACACGGAGTTCGTGTTTTTGGCTGGTCAGGGGGCGTAGCCAGGGGAAAGTCGTTTATTGCTATAATATATTAAAACGTTTAAAATGAATTAATTAAGTACAATTAATTCTAACAGCATGCATTTCCTACTTCTGATACTACATGCAATTCAGAAATTTGTAAGTTCGTCCTTGTAAGTTGAAAAGTTGGCCCTGTCTATAGTGGCGTTAACTCTGCATGTAAACGTTTTCTAAAAATTATTTCCTCTGCCTTTGGCTTTACCACATACAATGCCACCAGCTCTGCATATAGCTCTTTTCCGAGCAAATATGTATATAACCACTATATTAATCTGGTTTACCTTAAACCCGGGCTCACGGGCGCCCCTTTTTTAAAGGTCTGGTCCCCGGTTGGTTTTCATATTAAAATAATTAGTCATAATCTGTCCGACGTAATTTACATGTCGTAATTTGTTGTAGTTTGTTTTTCGTATGTCTGATTTTGCATAACAACGAATTACGCCAAGTGAATTACGAAGAAATATTAATAATTCCAATTCCAATTCCAATTCGTGATTCCAGTCCAATCCGTGTTTTAACACCCGTTGCCTTGCGCAATCTGTCAGTATAAAGTACAGGGTGAGTCAAAAAAAACTGACACCTTTGAAATTCAAATTAGTCGCATAGCGGCTGTAATGTGACAGAAGTTGCTTAAAATATTTCGTAGGTATACGAAGCATATCATATTAATTAACCTAAGACATAAAGTTTGTTCCCATTGGGAGTTAAAATGCATTCTAAGCTCTGTAAATACAAAAGAACAGTTTTATCAAATCGTTTTTGTTGATTGTACATGGGAATTGTCATATTCCAGCCATACGTTTGCAGCTAATTTGAATTTCAAAGGTGTCAGGTTTTTTTGACTCACCCTGTATATCACCGAAGTTATTTGTTGTTATACAGTATATGCCTATATCTTACGGGAAAGGAAACAATCATCTGTCGTTCGAGACTCGGTCAGGTGGAACTTGTTCACGGCCTATCCCAGAGTATGCTGCTAAAATATTCTTTCTCAAACACCACACCTGTTATACCATAGTTATACAGGGATTTGAAATTCGCTTCTATAATTGCGATCATTCGTCAAACGATTTTACACGAAGAAGGTGTTGGTCTCAATTACCCAGTAATTCCCAACCTTTTTTTTAAATATTCTATCAACTCGGTATTTCCCCACTAATCCGGCCACTTTGCAATTTTAAATAGCTTCGAATTGTAAATTAAAGAGCATGCTACGCAGTGGAGTGAATAATACCGTATATCAGTACAGACTAATTATACAGGGTGTATCAAAAAAAGGAGACCTTTAGAAATCAAGCTATTGTTAAAATTTGAATGCTTTTTCAATTGCATTTGCACATATGCTAAACCGTAGTGCGTGAAATATTGATGGCATGCATGCATACATATTAGAAAAAGGAGACCTTTAGAAAATGAATTGACGTTTGTACACAAGATTGTCTGCTCCTGGGAATTTGAAAATAACTTTAATAGCATAAGGAAAAATAACGACCCAAAGATATTCAAATGACTAAGCACAAACGACTAAGCACAAAAGCGATAACAGTATGCGTGGTAAATTGCTTTAGCTGTTCCTTCAAAACATGAACAAATCATTTGTTCATTAATTTTTAACACTGCGTGCGAGCATTAGGGCTGTTCACATGAGTTAGAATTGACTTTGAATCCGGAATGGCTCAGCATCCCATTTTACAAACTCTGCCTATTAAAATGTTTACATGAGTCAGGAATGAATTACAACTTGATCTGACACAGATTCACTTGACATTTCGATCCGGATTGAAAATTACTGATAAATTGAACATCAAAAGAACTGAATGTCATGGACCATGACCTCCAACGTGGCCTCCACTTCTCTCAACACAAACTACCGTACGCTTGTGCATATCGCGAACCGCTTTTCTGATGACGGCAGGCTGGGTATAAGTTAAGACTACAAAAACTCTTTGCTCCGAAGTCAGTTGAACCATTTTTGTTCTGGTAGTGTGCTTAGTCATTTGAATATTTTTGGGTCGTTATTTTTCCTTATGCTATTAAAGTTATTTTCAAATTCCCGGTTCAGCATATGTGCAAATGCAATTGAAAAGGCATTCAAATTTTAACAATAGCTTGATTTCTAAAGGTCTCCTTTTTTTTGATACACCCTGTAGTTGATAAGAATAAGCATTATTTGACATGAATACATACGTACAGGGTGTCTCAAAAAAACGCAACCACTTAATATTCTAAAATTCATATTGTTCATAAGCTCAATAGATTTTATGCCCCTGGGATTTTAATCGTACAGTTCAACTGTTAATAGTCAAATCAGCTAAACTAATAATGGTGCAGCTAACAACCGAAAAACGAGTTTTTATTGTCGTGCATGATGACTTGAATGCTAACTGTCGACCTTGTAAAATAAATTGTAAATAAAATTTTACTCGTTAAATACTTTCAATTCAGCTCGTTGGTTTACGCACCCGATTTTGTTTACCGACGATTGTGCCGCTAGAATATGATTACAAGCTTTCTCGCATTCCAGGGGCCAAACGTCTTTTGTGTTGTAGAACAAAGAGGATATTCATAAATATTAAGTGTTGCGTTTTTTTTTATACACCCTGTATACGTAACTTTGGCTGGTTGTACAGGGTGAGTAAAAAAAAAACGGACACCTTGAAATTCAAATTAGTCGCATAGCGGCTGTAATGTGACAGAAGTTGCATGCTTAAAATATTTCGTAGGTATACGAAGCATATCATATTAATTAACCTAAGACATAAAGTTTGTCCCATTGGGAGTTAAAATGCATTCTAAGCTCTGTAAATACAAAAGAACAGTTTTATCAAATCGTTTTTGCTGATTGTACATGGGAATTGTCATATTCCAGCCATAAGTTCGCAGCTAATTTGAATTTCAAAGGTGTCCGTTTTTTTTTACTCACCATGTATATACAAAGAGTAGTTGAATTATACCTATTAATTAGGGGCTAATAAATATCGACATGCAATTTGAGAGTTCACTGCCAATAAATTTTAACTAGTATAAATTAAAACGTAGTTATAGAAGCTAGTTCTATACGACCGGGTTTCTAGAATAGAATTATAAAAAGCTATTATTAGAGCCACATATGACATTTAGCAGTAAAATGTATCCGAAAAAGAGATGACTCCTTAGAAATTTCCTTTTGTTATAACTTAATTCTGGTAGTTTTCCTTGAGGAAAACAATAAAATAAACATTCGTCCAGGCTGGATATTTCAATCATTCCATGCATGTAACAGACGCGCCCATACCATACATAACCAGTCCTGGATTTTGGTGAGTAAACTACACATGTGTCACTAATTTGGGTTGTTTGAAACTTTTACTAGCTGGTTTTAGAAAATCATCGCATTCCATACACGCTCTGTAACCTTCTCTGTGATAAACAGTAAACATACGAGGTGTAAAAAACTGATTCATAGTTGTATGACGAGGAAAGGCCAAGAAACTATCACAGCAGGAACAACGACTCTTGCAATCACAACAGCCTAATCCAGCAGGGAAACCAGAAATATCGTTGATTGTTTCCTCTTTGAGAATGGGTCCTGAACCCCATTTTCTTTCATCAAGATTCTCACCTACGGTTTGCCATGTCACCGGAGTATTACCCCTGGAGCTTTGGCCGCCTATTTCTGCCATCTCCATAGATTCACTGGCTGTACCCGATAAGCAATCCTCCGTTGGTAGAGAACGCGGGGAAATTAAGACAATGTGGCCTTCACGAACCTCATGGCAACCTATATAAAAGAATGTACAAATTTCAACGTGCGCTCATGTAAAACTACAAATAATTTCAATTGGATACTTCATATTAAATATAGCCTGAAAATACTAAAGCGCCTGGTTATAAAGCATTCTAAATACCTATACCTTTATCGGAGTAACGAACTTTGAATTCATACATTCTTGGATACATTCCATCCTCGGGGTTGATATATTTATTCCTTATATCAGCCAACACATCTCCTCCATCCATTGCAGTGAAAGAACAGCCTAATATCTCACGCGCGTGATTCATTATCTGTATAATTTCGTCGGCGTAATCATCGTCTGACTTGATATGGGAACCATCCGCGACCAGAATTCTCGGCAGTCGCAATTTTAACAGGGGTAAGAGACCATAGTTTTCAAAATGGCCGCCATCACTGAGATGCAACATCGCTGGTGGTTTTGGACCATCGTGGATGAAGTTTAAAAGGGAAAGAAGGAAACGGTAAATGGGCAGGTGTACAGTAAGCCATCTGGCTGGGCTGAAATATTATATAAATCGTGTTTGACACATTTGTATTGAGAAGACACCAGTAAAATATAATAAATGGAAGAAAGGCATACAAAGCAAGAATATGTACGTATATCAAGCTTAAGAAAACATGAATAAAAGATTTTATAATTAAGCAAGGATGATTTTGTGAGAGCTTTATGTAAGAGCTATTTATGTATATTTTTATATATTTTTTGCGTACGTATTTTGAAGATGTTTGGGTTTAAAAAAACGAAAGGAAAGACGAACAGATAAGAAAAAATGATGTAATAAAGAGAGGTGCTTGTGTTATATATGCACGGTTGCATTATAAAGAGTCATGTAGTACGTAATTTAAAAAGGTAACCATCAAAGATAGAAATGTAAGCGTTTCAGAAATGGTCTTATGGAGTTGTGTTCTAGACGGTTTCAGGGGTTGCAATTTTACTTACGTCAATTTTTTTACATTCTCGTCACATCTACACGAATCAGGACAGTCACAGGGGTCGCAACCATCATAGTCATTCATGCGATTGCAGCAACAAATATAGATGATCAACATGACTAGTAGTAGCCCGAATACTCCTGATATAATACCAATTGTAGTTAACACAGGGAAGCCGTGGATGTGGGGTTTCAGCAATTTCCATATTCCAAATCCTCCACCACCGATTAACAGAGACACGGTTATATTTGCAAAATATAACCGAAACTAAAAATAAACTAAACTGATTAGTAGTTAGCAGAGATATTTATTATGATAATCGCTTGATCTTGGGGCATATCACCGCATGTAATAACCGTTTGGAAAAACCTGTTTACAACTTTTATTTTGGTGCCTAGTCTATAATTTGACAAATAATGGAATTCAAAAGTAAAATAATATTATATGCAAATGGCTGTAAATAGTAATATATAATATCGAGTACTAACTATTGCTTTGTGAAAAACAATATACGAAATATGGCCATGTATATTTTTAGGTTATAGGTGATATACTTTATGTAGCTATATTTGTAACAATTAAATCGTTGGATCCAATATTTTATAATGAGTTATTATACAAAAAAAACATTATGTAAAAGTTTCATTTTGTTTATATGAATAATCTAAAGGTCTGTTCACACAATCCAATTTTGTTGGATCCAATTCACTTCTGACGTATGGAATGTAGTCTGTTATTAATAGAGCAGTACTGCATTGGCTTCAGTGCATTCGCTGCCAATAAAAGTACATTAAAAAACGTACAACAGGCTATAAAACATCCATCAGAAGTGAATTGGATCCAACAAAATTGGATCGTGTGAACAGACCTTAAGGCTAGAAAATGCGTAAATAATGTAAATTTTGTCTCAATGAAAATTGTATTTTTGCACTGATTATTGGCAACATCTTACCTGGTGGCACACGCCGCTTTCTCTCTCGCCCGTCATATTATAAACAAGGTGTGCAGCCATCTCCATGTTGAGCAAGGTTAAAATATGCGTAAATCTATTTTCTTCTGCCTTATGCTTTCCAAGGTTGGGTGAAACTGCCGCAGCAGACATTGCCATGGCTGAGGATAATTTCACATCGCTGGGTTTCATCTTCCCTTTGAAATATTCGCCATTTAAACAGCTTTCTCTGAATTCTTCGAGATTCTGGTGACGTTGTGGTGGATGATTGGTTACCGCAGAATACGCCGAAGGACAAGATCGACGAACCTGACCAGTCCGCGGTTGTTGGTCTATCACAGAAATACCTAAAAAAATGGGAACCGCTAGCTCTAAATTTAACTTTATATTAGGAACGATGTATGCTGGTAGCAGTGACATGTCTATATACCTACTTACACAAAACATCAATTTTTAATACTCAAGTGAAAACCCCACTAACCTTTAGAGCACATGGTGAGAAGACAATATTTTTGATCGTATTTTCGGCGCCAACCATTCACCACCATATTGCTTAAATACTCTGGTTTTATTCCTTTTAAGTCTCCTAATGTCACTGCTCGGTGGTCGTTTATAACCCCTTGGTCGTCTTTTGGTGGACACATGCAAGATGCACAACAACACGACGAACAGTGGCCTCCAGCAAAAAGATCAGAACAGTAGCAACATTGTTCTTCACATGTACAAAATTTGTCATTGTCTTCGTGGTAATAAAACGCTTTCTGCAATCTCCACCTGAAATGAAGAAATCGAAGGACAATAACTTAGGGCTATAGTCTTAATGCATAATTCTATGCTGTATTAAGGTAAAAATTGCGGCCTGCTTTTAACCTGATTGGTTTTTCAAATGGGGGGATTGGAAAATGTTTTACAGAAAGTAAACCTGCCTTTGAGCATGAGGCGATGATCACAATTAGTTCGGGGTGTTTCAATATATTGTGAAAAATCGTTTTATGAGAATTAGAGAATAAACAAAGAAACCAAAGAGTTTTCGATCAGAAGAGAATAATAAAGCAGTGGTTCGCCACCTTGAACTTGGTGAACATCCGTTCGGCAAATCACCACCAATATTCGCCTCTGCTTCGGTGCATCATTGTTGACTAGAGAAGATTCCTTACCTGTTATAGACGTAAACCAAGCGAAGTGGAATATCTCCCAGAATCGCGAATACTGCTATTATGCACAAAGATGCATACAGACATAATTCAAATCTCTCTTTCGTATACTTTAAGTGGAATAACTTCCTCCTGAACAGATGCCAGTACACGACGTACGAGTAATAATAAATCAAAAGGACCAGAGAAGAGTATTTTCGCAAAAGCGGAACAAAAAACCAGAAGATTACAGTGATAAAAACTACCCCGACCTGAATGACAGAATGCAAATGTCGTAGGAAATCGTGAATAAACCATGGCAGAAGAGTGAAAACGAACGAAGCACCAGCAAACAACTGGCCCAATTTAAGAAACACCCTCACCCACTTCATCTTTAAGTAATTTCTTCTGTTCTCGCCGCAATGTTTGCAAAGATATTCAAGGAAATGGAAAAGAACAAGAATAACCAAAGAGATGGAAAAAAGGAAGGCACGTTCGTGACAATCGGAGCTGCCAGCCACGTGCCTACACTTTGCACCATCAAGAAACTTCCCATACAAAAGTTTGATGAAGAAAGCAATTGGAAAAGCGAAAGAACCCCAACCAACAATTGGAACGAATGTTGAAACAAAAAATAGCAAAGCACATAATATCATAGAGTCACAACAACAATCGCGACTTTGCCAGTTGCAAAAATATCCTGCTCGTTTTCGCATATTCTCGAAGAATCTCTCAGTCCAATCTGTAGTGCTTCCCTTTCGGCATTTCCACTCGACGTAAGCACTTCCAGTGTAACCTCCGCCGGACACGCAGCTTAAATAATCAGGTTCTGCTTCTTTCTTAAGGAGCCTGCGCAGAACCCCTGAACAGAAGGCCGCTGACCGAATTCCACCGCCTGAGAATGCAACACCAAGTTTGGAATCCATTTCTACAAAACAAAAACAAAAACTAGGAAACGTTTGCTTACTACAATCCAGACACGCTATTGATGACATGGAGCGCTCTGTACAAGGTTTCTTCAAAACAATAAGAATAGTTAACTCATGATCGACAGACACTACATTTATATATGGTAGCTACATATAGATGACACTAAATTTTGTCAAAATGCAGTTAACTTTGAAATACAGTTTACTTAAAATCTAATATAATCTGTTCGTGACTTTCACAGGTTTTTACGTCAATTACCACCGGAACTGCATGGGTAATAAGCAGTTCCTGTTCTGAAGTGTCTGAAGGAGATTAAATGCATGCAAAAACAAGAAACATGAAAGGAAATGGCGTGGCTATGGGGATAAAATTAACTGGAAGGCTAACTCTGAAGAGGAAATTTAAATCATTTTTATCTAGTTGCTGTGAGCAGAAATACCTGACCTGAAACACTGAATTGTATAACTAAATGAAGCTAATGAATATATTTGGGCGTCATGCACGCATGCATATACACGCATATAAAGCTCATAATTCAGTAATAGTTCGCTTTGCCTTGCATTCATCGAGCCAGCTTGATTTCGATCACTAATTTTCATTTTAAAGATTTTCAATTATTTTTAGCTGTCACGAAAAAAAGGCATTTGACAATTGACATTAAATTAAAGTAACTGGCTAACTGCTCTTCCTTACAACGTAACGATTTAGTCATTGAAATTTGATCTATTCTGCACAACATGTTTTTTAGTCACCCTGTTCACCCTGTATAAAATATAGTGACAGATGGAAGTGCTGTGGTGCCCGTCAACAATCTTATGCTATATATCTCGGGCTACCGAGAACGGTTACTTCAGAACTGTTTTCGTCCAATGTTTCCAATACTAAATGCTTATTTTAAATTCATCCCAATATAGAACATTTATATATTTAGACACTTTGAGTTTCAAACTCAATACGTCGCTTATAAGTACTGCACTGTTAATCATTAAATGCCTAAATGTTACAAATAATAATCAACATGCGCCAAAGGACTCGTGGAGGCGATAGAGGTTCTTTGCGGACAATCGCATGGTTGGAAACATGTAGACAACATAATACAATGGGAAATACGTTTTTGCAATTATCATACATTTATGGCCGTCACACAATAAAGAAGTTTTATGTTTGGACATTTACATAACTGAATATAAATCTTTGGTGCATGTCAACTTAGGCTGCGTTCAGACTGGGTGCCCAAAAGCTCGTCACTTTTTCTGGCGTGTAAGTTGAACATGACGCTTCCAAATTAAATTGGGAACGGTTACCAAGAAAGGGCACTACCTATAGAGGTAGTATTTAACAAGGGCACTGTGCTCAGCATGTTTTATGAACCAGTTTTGACTCTAGGCATGCACCGGTGCCGAGCACTGTCTGAACGCAACCTAATAGTACAAGGCAAAACGTAAAAACGGTGACCTACTGACCGTTGGTTATGTCAAAGTATATGCTAGAGTTTAGCACTCTGCTAATGCATAAACTAATTTTGACGTGCACCAACCTCCAGCAAGTTGCAGATTGATTTTCAGCACCTGAAATAGGAAAAACATACCTTTTAATAAAATGAACTTTGTGGTATCGACAGTGGCTTTGTATTAATTCCACAACAACGATTTGAGCTGTGTAATATTAGTGGATCGCGAGTGGCATAGAATTGGTAATGTAGAATGGTCAAAAATGGCCAACGCGAAGTGCGTTTACTTTACAAAAATGTATACTATATACTTCGAAGCTTTGGCTAGATCACAGCGTAAACACGGCTTCGTTACTGCTCGTTTATGCATGTGATATTTCGAGGTCAATATTTATTACCGGAAGTATAATCAAAACCCCGAAACGTGCAATGCCCAATTACAGAATCTGTTCCGATGTTGAAAGATAAAAGAAGCTCTATTGTCTTGCGTTATATTTTCAAAGTATTCTCTCATTTCTCTGTTAATTATTCAAGACGCTTATTCCTTAACTGAGCAAGTTACTTAGAATGAGTATTTGTAAGCCGCATTAATTAGCCAGACTCGGTGAGACTGTAACCGAACAGGCAGGTATCAGATAACATACACACGTGTGTGAAAAAGAAGTTAGTCGAAGTCAGATACTATAGGAGTGTAGATCACTAACATATTGTTGATATAATGAAAGTATAAAAAAGTTGAAGTCAAATCGTAAGTAATACTGGTGTGTGCAACGATATTTAAAGAACCTGTGGCCGCAAGGCTAACATATTGTGTTTCATTCTGTCTGAAGATGACTTTGAAATAAAGTAGAAAATTTACAGTTTCAACTTTCAACGTGTGTCTTGCTTGATTTATATTTTGACTCTCAAGATGCCTTGTTTATTCGGAATTTGTTTTTTACTATAGTCTATATACATGATTTCCACTGGAGGCGTGTGGATTTATAGCTAACATAGTTTTCAACAGATGAAGAGTATACAGAATTATCTATATACGTCATTGCTCATGTCATGAACATGATAAACTAGAAAATACATGCATGCAGCAACCCCTCGCTATTTCAAACCAAGTACACAATTTCCTGAGCTAATCTGACCTAAATTTTTATTATGAAATGACACAAAACTCGAATATATTTTACCAAGTATATTATAACTATAATGTTTCGATAATTTAACACAAAAATATATTTTAAAGCTAGTGTAAACACTGCCCGTTTAATTTTGCATTTTTGCTGCATTATACCATGGCAACAATTAAGTAATGGTTTAAAATCGAAGTTTCAAACGATTAAAATAGTACAAAATATTCAGGGACAAAGAAAAAACCTCAAATGTTATTTTATTCCGTATGCAAACAACGGCTATAAAAAGTTTTATACTTTAATATTGTGTGTATTTTCGATATCAAAATTCAAATTGCACTTTTAAAAACACTTTTTGGTGTTAAAGCAAAGGTGCGACAGCCTTTCACAGGTTTGTGCGTTTGCATAAAAAGCTGAAAATTGCGCATGCGCATAACTTACAAAACCACCGAACGTCGACAGCCTATGAACTAGAATTTGGACAACTTTGGATTCCGCTATGTTCTCCCAAAGTTCTCCCGGGTTCCATGTGTAATTCCTAATCTCTGAGCGGAATTAGTACCCTCGCAGGCGCCGTCCGCTCGGGGATTAATTCCAAGCAGTTTGATATAGCAGGTTCACGGGGCGTGTTTAAACGAGCACATCCCGTACTTCATAAGTATAATAGAAGTAGGCTATACAGCGTTGGTTTACTTTTTCACTTGCTTCTCCTTGACTTATATTTTATATGTGCAAATGTGAAACCCCTGGGGTCAAAAAGTCAAGTTTATTAATTGAGCTAAATGTTACGTTTTTTATACATCCTGGTCTTTATATATAGTTATAGTTATACTTATATACACATGGCTTGCAGGTATTTCACGCGCGTCGCGTTCAGTTGATTGCAACGCGGTATTGTCGACTTGTAACAAAAATGACAAGTATTCTCCTATACTCCACCAAAACAATAATTGACAAATAACAATTTTTCTAATCTTGTAGAAAATAATTTTATATATGAAAGGCTCTGCCCAACACGTAGGTAACTGTGTGATGTTTTTAGCAAGAAGGATGACATTTGACGCGGCTATTTCTGATATGGAGATTTATGGAATAAAAAAATGAATATTTACCGTACGAGCTTCACACTCCAGGTCACCCTCGTTGTTTCCAACAGGAAACAGAGAACCGAATTTAGTCTTAGGCCTCTTCTGAATAAACTAGCTTGCATTAAATTATTACAACGAATTGCAATAGCGCGATTGGGTCAAAGCGGTACAATAACAGTCTGTAATACATCACTTAACAGGTGGTGTACTCCGATTTGCATAGCAAATTTAGTTTAGTTCACCTGCTAGAAAATTCTTAAATTTTGATATATATTTTTTTCAATTGAACTGTCAAAATTGCTGTCGTTCCTTGTTATATTATATATACCATGCATGTTTATACCAGGCAACACATATTACTCTATCTTTTCAGTACGGACCGATCTGAGGCTCAACATGCAGTAAATAAAGTGTTTATTTTCTTGCCTGAAATTGTCTATAGCTATAACTAAGAAATCAATAAAATTCCAGTTACGACAAGGAAGGACGTTTGATATCAAGTTAACTGTAGTGTTTTCGATTTAATTTTTGTAAATGATACAACTCAACTTCAGCTATTACAATACTTATTCTGAGGCTCAATGTCAACACGTGTCGATCCCGTTTGACCCGCTATGCATGCTGGGTCGTACACTACATCAACCATCATCAGTCATTGTTTATTTCTATGTAGGAGTATGGCCGCCAACATGACAAACTATACGCGATAAAAACTAGAGATAAAAAAGATTGTGGATCCATCACATGTCATGAAATCATCATCATTTAACAAGTCAAATGATGCAGAAATAGACTAATATACTGTGTAAACTTTCACATGCTAAAAAAGGGATTTCAATGACACCAAACTAAAATTTTATTGGCACACGAACACGTTTATACTTAAATAAGACGCCTGTTCTGGCGTTGACTCCGGCGTGCCGTGCACGTGCCAGTCTTCAATTTAAAGCTTCTGAACATAAACAGATGCCTTGCCAACCTAAATGTTTTTCGATCGCGAAATTCAGAAGCACATCGTACTTTAAAATGTATAGAAGTTCAATTGTTCAAAAATGTAATTAAACCGCATGATACGTTCACTTTGAGTAAAGTTATTTTATTAATTCTACTGCATAATTAATGAGTTTGCAAAAATAAACAAAATGGCGGAAAGTTTTCCAGTATGAACTAAAAAGCCTTGGAACAAGTAAAAAACTGCCAGGAAGGCATAACGAAAATACTGGTAAAAGTGTGTAAAATAATGGATAAAAGTCTGTCAGAACTTTACTGACAAGAAATTATACTGCTTGCGTTGAAATGATGCCCTAAGGATGCCCCAAACGCGGTAAAGCGCTACTAAAATAGTTTGCTCTAAAGTCAGAAAACTATACATGTATTGCCAATTTAGGGTGTTGGAAACTTTCTGTAGGCGGTTTGAGAAAGTTGTCACATTCTATACACGCCCTGTATCCTTCTCTGTGATAAACAGTGAACAAACGAGGTGTGAAAAATTGGTTTCCAGTTGTATGACGAGGAAAGGCTAAAAAACTATCACAGCAAGAACAACGAGTTTTCATATCGCAGCAGCCTAACCCAGCAGGAAATCCAGAAACATCATTGATTGTTTTCTCCTTAAGACTGGGACCCAATCCCCATCTCTCGTCGTCAAGATTCTCTCCGACGGTTTGCCATGTCACCCGAACATTACCTCCGGAGTTTTGGTCACGTCTTTCTGTCATCTCTATAGCTACGTCTCTTTTATTAGAGGAGCTATCCTCTTCTGGTAAATAACGCGGAGAAATTAAGACAATGTGCCCATCACGAACCTCGTTGCAACCTATATAGGAGCATATAAACTTCTTCAAAATACCTACCAAAAATTTACGGAACTAACCAAGATGAAAGATGGCGTCTAATAAGAAATTGTGTGGTCATATACAAACAAAAGAATAGTTAAACATAGTCTAAATATACTAAAACGCCTGAGTACGAAGCAGCTCAAAAACCCACCTTCATCAGAGTAACGAACTTTGAATTCATACATTCTTGGATATTTACCATCCTCGGGGTGGACATATTTATTCCTTATATCAGCCAACACATCTCCTCCATCCATTGCAGTAAAAGAACAATCCAATATCTCACGCGCATACTCCATAATCTGTATGATTTCCTTGCCATAGTCTTCGTCTGACTTGATATGGGAACCATCCGCGACCAGAATTCTCGGTAGTCGCAATTTTAACAGGGGTAAGAGGCCATAGTTTTCAAAATGGCCGCCATCACTTAGATGCAACATCGCCGGTGGCTTTGGACCATCGTGAATGAAATGTACAAGGGAAAGAAAGAAACGGTAAACGGGTAGATGTACACGTCAATTAATCAAGTCAATTAATCTTGGTGTTTTATCTTAACTACAATTTGAAAATTTCTTTTATTGATTAAGAGAATAACCATTGTGTATAAAGATTAAACAGAAATTTATGTATTGTGAACTCGTATGTGAACGGAGTGCATGTAAAACCCGATAATGCACAAATAAGAGTGCTCTAATGCTTTTAATATTCATTTTGAGTAAACTCGTAAAGACTTTGTATCATTTTTAAACTTAACTAAACAACACTTGCTTATCTTTAAATACTAAAACACCCAAAGCGGTTGCCCGTTTAGTATTTTTCTGTGTGGATTCATCTATAATTACATTAATTTCCTCTTCGTTCTCTTCGCTCAGTTCGGCAAATTTTTTGTTTTTGCCGCCATTTTGATCGTGCAATAAATCCTATAACGGCACTGCCGTGGCGTTGTTGTTATATAACATTTACTCACGTGGTACAAATCGACCAATCAGAACGTAAGTTTACAAAAAATGAATGTTAAATATCTTTATTAAATGGATATTTAACGTGCTGTTATTAATTGTATATGCCTGGAGTCAACTTGATTGAGATTGATGGTCCTCAATCTTCATTTGTGCATTAACTAACCGTTCATTTCAAATTTACAAGTGTTTCTACCTAAAATTCGTTTCACGTTCAGACCCAGTGGAATCCTGGACCTCATTTAAGAAAAATATAATTAAACTTGATGCTTTTTCCGATGGTTATAAAGTAGGGTTTTATATTTCGATTTGATCCATTTGGCAGTCATATGCGCGACGGGTGTTTTAGATTGAATGCAAACGAGTAGTACGTTTGGGTGGTTTCAGAAAATCATCGCATTTCATACACGCTCTGTAACCTTCTCTGTGATAAATACTGAACAGATGAGGTGTAAAAAACTGGTTTGCAGTTGAATGACGAGGAAAGGCTGAGCCTTTAGCACAACAACGAAAAAGACTCTTCTCACAGCAGGATGATGTTGCAGGAAAATTAGAAATATCTTCTTCTCTAAGAATGGGCCCCGAGCCCCAATCGTTTATTTTAAGATCTTCTTTTTCGGTTTCCCATGTGACCGAATCATCGGATTTCTCGCCATCGTTCTGATGACGCGGCGCAATAAGGACAATGTGGCCTTCACGCACCTCGAACGGTCCTTTGTAAATTTAAATAAATATTTTTTAGAAAATTTTACAAAGGTGGACGTTGGTTAGAGAATGGAAACCAGGGACAAGTTGGGAAACATTGCCTTCTACTTTTGCTTCCTGGAATTTCAGATTTGTACTATCACAGCATGTCAGACTAAGATATGGAGTGACACAGACGCTAATAAACCAATCGGCCTTTTCAGAATATTAATCAGACATGTTTCATCCAAACACCCATCTTTTAATATTGTAAGGAACTTTGAACCAGACTAAACCCTGGATGCAGTCTTTCTATCAGCCTTTTTATGTACCTCCGAATGTCTGAATATACTCGCTAATTGGCCTAAGACATTAAAGCGGCAGACTACAAAACTGTCTAAACACCTACCTTTATCGGGGTAACGAACTTTAAATTCATACATTCTTTGATACACTTTTTGAGGATGTACATTCTCGGGGTTCGCACCTACCTATGCAATCAAGCTTCACTTACAATAACATTAAAACACAATGAACTATATAGAAGGTGTGATTTTCAGAAAACGAGTCATAAACACTGTTTGCCATTGTTAAAAAAGCCAATCACAAAACCCGATTATATTAGATAGATACTTACTTCAACCTGAGGGTAGACATACTTGTTTCTTATATCAGCCAACACATCTCCCCCATCCATTGCAGTGAAAGAGCAGCCTAACAACTCACGCGCTAGCTCCATTACCTCTATAATTTCCTTGGCGTAATCATCGTTCGATTCAATATAGGAACCATCTGCGACTAGAATCTTCGGCAGTCGCAACTTTAACAGAGGTAAGAGACCATAGTTTTCAAAATGGCCGCCATCACTGAGATGCAACATCGCTGGTGGTTTTGGACCATCGTGGATGAAATGTAAAAGGGAAAGAAGGAAACGATAAACGGGCAGATGTACAGTGAGCCATCCGGATAGGCTAAAATCACAGTTAAAATATATCAAAAGTCTTGGGTTAACACGTGGTTAACACATTGTGTTATGATTCTTTCTATACATATATACATATAACAAAGATGAGACAAATAGAATCCTAACAGCCTTAACCGTTTTAATGAAAAGATATATAATGTTAAGTTAATGTTGTATGTTGGTAAGGGTTAGATATGTATTTGGGCTATAAAACGTATATCGATTTTTAGGTTTCTATTTGGTATGTCTATATTTGAACGAAAATGCTCATTAATTTTCTGTATATTGATCTGCAATTGATAAATTAAGTTATAGGCTTTCATATATTATACTAACCTTGAAAATGAACAAACAGAGCAATTTGTGGAACCAGAAAAGTCTATGCATATTATAATCAACGGCAAGATAAGTAGCAGTAATAGGATTCCTCCAACTACACCTCCAGTCACGCATACAGACAAACTGTTAGTGTGCGGTTCCAACGCCTCCCATAGAAAAATTCCTCCAACGGCGATTATTACCGCTACGATAAAATTTGCGATATACAAACATGACTATAAAAATATACATACAGTTGTTGTCAAAAGACATTTCATGTAAATATAGATACCTTCTTCAATTATTTGATTACCTTCTAATGAATAATTCTATTCAATATTATTGTACAATATTCTTTTTCATATTAGTTTCTGTTTGATTTAGATCATAATCTCCGTGTTGTAATTAATTATTTATGTGTGTTCTATTGACCAGCTAACTGTCTCGGCTAGCATTTAAATTTTATGGTTATTAAAGTTAGCTTGTCGCCAATTTACAGTTTTTTTCTTAACTATTATTCTTTGATGTAATTTTCTACTTGGTACTAAATTAAATTTGATTCGATTTGATTTGATTTTGATTAAATATCAATCACGTGATCTTTACGTTCGGATGCTTAATTTGTCATCTCAAATACATTTTTCAGTCATTTGTTTGCTTTACGGAATTTACGAAAAAGGGTGCTCATTGCTCAATACCATATAGATAAGTATAAAATAGCTTGTAGGTACACCATGTACGTATTTATTACCGCAAAGCTTTCGCTCCGTTAACCCGGACCTTCATCAGCGCAATAATATCAAACTAATTTACATATTTGATGTCACCGTGCAAACTTACAAGAATATCATTTAGGAAACGACCGGACAATTTTGAAAAAAAGTTATCGATAGGAATTTATTTAATTGCGTAAAACCATATTTTTACACTTTTTTGTATCGAAAATTTTTTCTTAATATTGTCCTGACAATTACTAACAATCTGGCAAAACGTTCAGTGGGAAAAGAAAACATTTCACCGAAGAGTTTGTGAAATAATCGTCATTTAATGATAATTGGTGGCCATATTGAGACGTCATTGTTGCCATGGTAACGGCTTCTATAATTGGCCAATCAATAGTTTCTTATTTCGAACATGGTAGTCAATACGTTAAAGCTAATTTTAATCTATGGTTTACAATGTTGGTGCTTAATTCTACATCATCAAACCCGCACTTAAAAAATATCTCAAAACCCTAGGGAGCCAAAACTTTCAACAAACTTAACTTTCAACAATAATGGCCTTTAACTTTTATTATAGAATACATATAACAAAAGTACAACACCTAAAATTGCCGCTGCCCTTGATGTTGCCCACTGTTTGCCGACCTCTTTTCTATCAGAACAGTGTATATATGCTTCGTATGGTTGAACTGCCTGATGAGACAGATAATATTTTTTAAAGTGACTGCAGAAAAAATCCGGACCGTACAGGAAAATTTATATCAAGAATATGAAAGACAATATCTTTAACAAAATTTATTGGTATTTTATACGTCAATCCGTCAACAATCCGAATTAAAATGTTTGTAAGTTTTTAAGCGATTTTATAAGTTCGATTCTATGAGAGAGCACGGCCAAAATTTTGAGCAATATATTCTTAAACTGATTTGGCAAACTGCAGAAATATCCCAGGTAAAAGATTCGGTTACCAAAACGTTTCTAAACAGCTGTTGGCATATTATTTGTCAACAACTGTTCAGGCAATAAAACTGATGCATTATTATATATATATATATATATATATATATATATATATATATATATATATATATATATATATAAAAATATATATATATATATATATATATATATATATATATATATATATATATATATATATATATACTGTCGTTGTCAAAGCAAGTATATGTATATATCGATCACGTGACATTATTATGCATCAACACGCGTGGGATTGTACAAGCGTGTCAATTGCGAGTTCGAGTATAGCAAGGTGAACGAGTAAAAAATGCCAAGACCATATTCGGATGATTTAAGGTGGAGAATGGTTTATCAACGACTGTTCTACGAAAGAATCATCGACGAAATTACAGCACAACTATTTGTTTGTTCAAAAACCGTCTATCGTACGCTCAGCACCTTTTGGAACACGGGTGATGTGAAGCCTTGCCGTATGGGTCGCCCAACAGCGAGCGTATCTTTATTCCCACAAGAAGAATAAATCATATTGTTATATAGGTTCTGTGTATTTTAAATGTGATTGGTTCATTCGTAGTCACATGACTTTAAATAAATGCAATGTTTCCCGCCAGGGAAACAAGTGAAAAATTGTTGCCCGCTTCTTGTCATAACAAAGTAAAGCTTCTTGTCATAACAAAGCAAAGTAAAGTTTTAAATTTTTTTGTTCCTATATAACAAAACACTTAATGTACACTACCTCGGGAAATAGTGAGTTTTGTTTTCCCTCGAGTCTCAATGTTTCCCTCGACTTCGTCTCGGGAAACATTCAGACTCTTGGGAAAACAAAACTCACTGTTTCCCTCGGGAGCATACATTAAGTGTATATATATTATCATAGACTGTTTACTGCTAACGCCGCAAATATAGTTGAATGAGATAGCAAGCTATATCATTAATGCTACTGGCTCTGCATTTGGCCCGGAGACACTGTGCCGAGCTTGGAATAACACGCAAAAAGGTACGAACATTATGAAATTATTAAACTTGGAATATATACTTAATACCGCACGCTGGAAATCATATAACTATATTAATAAGACGCAAGCCATTCTACCTTTTTCCAATTTATTACAAGATTCTAGTTGTTCTTTATCAACTCTTCAAGCCAGATTTTCTTTTTCAGATACAGAGAATTGCCCTTCAGCGAAGAAACGATATTGGGCTACAATTCGTGGCCGAAATCAGCCTTTTTGACCCAAACCTGCTCGTTTTCCAGGATGAAACAGGCATTGTATGTACTAAATAATACCTTACTGTAACCGGATTGCACAAACTAGTAGATCTTTTATTTATTTGGTTCTACGTTTTAAGGATAAACGAATTGCTCGGCAATATGGATATAGTGCTCGTGGGATACCGCCTGTTGTGAGCGACTATAGCTATGCACGGTGGACACCGCGCTATTCCATTATTTCGGCAATATCGTGTGATGGACTTCTTGCGAACTGAATGTTTGTTAAAGAATCCTGAAGAAAGATTTGAAACACGCTCCTTTATCCATTTTCTTGATGAACAGCTTTTACCAGCTATGAATCGATTTGATGGAGAAAACCCGCGATCCGTTCTATGTGTTATATGGTTGAGATTTGAATATAATTAATGCAAATTCGCTGTTCTAACATATGTCTCAAGGGATGACTGAATTTGTGATCATGTTTTGATCTATTAATATCTGTTTAAACAAAACTTGTTGATGCACAAAGATGCAACTGCTAAAACTAGTAATATATGCATAATAGTAAACAGATAACCACCCAATACATCATGTACAAGAAGTTGTAGAACGAGTGTACCACAGGCCCGATTTGAATCCTATTGAAGAGGTTTACATATAGCTTGCTATCCCATTCAACTATATTTGCGGCGTTCGCAGTAAACAATCCATGATAATATATTTTTCGTGTGGGAATAAAGATACGCTCGCTGTCGGGCGACCCATACGGCAAGGCTTCACATCACCCGTGTTCCAAAAGGTGCTGAGAGTACGATAGACGGTTTTTGAACAAACAAATAGCTGTGCTGCAATTTCGTCGATGATTCTTTCGTAGAACAGTCGTTGATAAACCATTCTCCACCTTAAATCATCCAAATATGGTCTTGGCATTTTTTAATCGTTCACCTTGCTATACTCGAACTCGCAATTAACACGCTTGTACAATCCCACGCGTGTTGATGCATAATAATGTCACGTGATCGATATATACATATACTTGCTCAGGACAACCTTTTTGACAACGACAGTATATTATAATATTATTATATATATATATATATATATATATATATATATATATATATATATATATATATATTTATCATATATAGACCTAGAGCGAGGGGAATTCGACGAAATATCACCAAGGGAAGATATATCTTCCCGAGGGGGTAATTTTTCGTCGAATTCCCCGAGCGGAAGGTCTATAAATTATATATTATATGGAAACAACGTGTAGGCAGCGCAAAAGCTGGGTGAAATGGCTACCTTTGCCTCCATTTTGAAATTGTTGACAACCTCGAGTCGTGTGCCAGGCGTCCACGCGTGGTACACGCAAACTCGAATACCCCGCTGCAGCGGGGTATTCGACTTTTATAGCATAATGTGAAAAAATTCGATGAAACTCCATGATTAATTTACTGATCACGTGGTACAAATCGAGCTTTTTGATTGGATGATTTACAGTTAATATATATATATATATATATATATATATATATATATATATATATATATATATATATATATATATATATATATATATATTGTTGAGAACAGTTATTTTATTGTAATTGAACATTTAAATTAGTATTAACTTGTCGTTATGGCGTTAGACAAACTGACGTAAGCACTTTTGATAGCGGCTTGTTTTTAGATGTCTTTGGACAAAAACACTGTGTATTTTCGCAGCTTAATTTAAACTCGTTATTAACAATCAAATAAATCATCTCTTAACATTTGGTGGCAGCGGTGGCTGACGAAATGAGTGAGGACACACAAAGGGAGATTGAAAACCTGACCCGTAGAGTAGAGTCGATGGAGAGTGAGTTTGGCGAGCGTTCAACGGCTACTTTGCACACAGTGAGTTCTAACAACAGTTTCCGAGCTAAGCCGGATGTTTTCACGGATGGAAACTGGGAAGAATGGTTGTCACATTTCAAACTCTGTGCGGAAATCAACAAGTGGGACAACGAGCAAAAATGTCAAATCCTAGCCGTGTCGCTACGGGGAAGGGCACAATCAATATATTTGGCATCGAAAGACGAAGAAAGAAACGATTTCCAACGCCTAGTCGAAACGATGGAAAGAATGTTAAATCCCGAGCGGGAGCGAATGGCACACAAGCTCGCTTTTCGACAAAGAAAACGGGAGAAGGGAGAAAATTTGATTGATCTGGTGACTGACCTGAGAAAGCTGGCACGTCGGGCACATCCTGGAAAAGATCATACTTTTGTTGATGAAGAGCTGGTGGATCAGTTTATTTCTGCGTTAGATAGCCGAGAGTTGCGTATCGGGGTAAGCCAAACCTGTCCCAAGAGCATGGATGAGGCACTGAGCACTGCACTACGCCTGGAAAGCCTTTTCGCCATTGACAAGAAACAAAATTCACACACAGCAAACATGGCGGCTAGCCAAGGCCAAGGCAAAGATTGTTGTTTCACGGAAGAATCCGCTCAAATCAACACCGTGGGCTCAGCTACCAGCCCACCGCCGTGGGCGCAAGCGTTTATGGAACAACAGGCACAGTTCTTTGGGAAACTGATCGATGTGACGAGTGATGTAACGAGATCTGGTAATACCAACTCTGGCTCTGTTAAAAATCGTCCGAGGAAACAGAACGTAAAGTGTTACGGTTGCGGGGAAATGGGCCACTACAAACGAGAATGTCCGAAGAAGGATGTACAGGGAAACGGGAACAGGGCGGGGTCACAATGGAAGTGATTCCGCCCGAGCCGCAGCATATCGAAAAAGAAAACCCAAGCCACGTTACGAGTACTGAAACAGAGAATGCAACATTTGTACAATGCACCATAAACAATGTGGAGATATGCACCCTAGTAGACACTGGAGCAGCAGTGACAATTATGCATAATGATACTTTCCAGAAAATTCGCACTAGAGAAAACAAGTTAGAGCGTGGAGGTCGGCCAATCCTAGGAGCAAATAGCAAACCTCTGGATATCTGCGGTACGACAACGTTAAAAATTAACCTGGCTGGGAGAAGTTACAAGCAACTGGTATATGTGTGTCGTGATTTGGCTCAAGAGTTGTTACTGGGGGCAGATTTTCTGAAGGTAAACAACTGTGTGGTAGACCTCAGCGCGAATTCATTGGTAGTGAACGGTCGGACGGTCTTTATGAAGCGAAAAAAATCTTCATTCGCTTGTCGTGTTGGAGTTGCAGTATCTACCGTTATTCCTGCACGGTCAATGGTGAATATCTCATGCAAAGTTGAAAAGGGAACTATGTGGAATGAACAGTCTGGTGTGCTTGAACCAAAGGAAGAATTTGAGACACGTTACTCCATTGGAGTCATTAAGGTAGCAGCTACAATTAACGATGGTATGATTCCGGTAAGGATGTTTAACCCGAATGATAAACCACGGCGAGTATACAGAGGAAGCAACGTGGGTCAATTCTACAGCCTAGACGACGGTGATAGTGCTGAGTCGTTGAGGGGTAGCAAGGAACAATCGTGTTATTCAGTTTGCCATACAGTGATCGAAGATAGCAACCAATCAAAGGAAAGTGAATGTCGACAGGGTGAAGAAAGAAAAGCATTCCACGAACACTTCAAAATTGACAATCCTAACATCTCATCAAAAGAACGAAAGGAGACGTATGAAATACTCGCTCGGCACCAAAAACTGTTTGCGGTCTCGAAGCAGGACCTGGGGGAGATGTGCAATGTTGAACACCATATTGATACCGGTGAGGCGCGACCCATTAGGGTTCAACCACGAAGAGTGCCACATCACCAAAGACAAACGGTGAGAAAAGAAGTAAAAGCTAAGTTGGACGCAGATATTATCGAACCGTCAAGTTCACCTTGGTCCGCTCCAGTAGTTCTTGTCAGGAAGAAAGATGGGACGATGAGATTCTGCATTGACTATCGCAGGTTGAACCAGCAAACAAAAAGAGACGTCTATCCATTGCCGAGATGTTATGACATTCTAGAAGCTATGACAGGAGCAGCGTTCTTCACACACCTGGACCTAGTGAGGGGCTACTGGCATGTTAAGGTAGCGGAGAAATCCAGGGAGAAAACAGCTTTTTCAACTCCGGAAGGCCATTTCCAGTTCAAAAGGATGCCTTTTGGGTTAACGAACGCCCCGGCAACGTTTCAGCGAGCCATGAACTCAATTCTGAATGGTTTGAATTGGAAGGATTGTTTGGTGTACCTGGACGATGTCATCGTATTCGCCAGTAGTCTTCAGGAACACAATAGACGCTTGGATACTGTGTTGCAACGGCTGGAAGATGCTGGAGTTAAATTGAACGCTAATAAATGCCATTTCCTTCAAGAGAGAGCGACCATTCTTGGTCATGTCGTCAGTCGCGATGGAGTCAGCACGGATCCAGAGAAGATCAAAGCACTTAAAGCGTTTGCTGTACCTCGTGACGTATCGAGCTTAAGAGCATTCTTAGGATGCGCTGGCTATTACAGACACTTTATTCCCCGTTTTGCTGACATTGCTGCGCCATTGTACAATTTAGAGCGCAAAGGGGTCGCATTTCAGTGGACGAAAGAATGTCAAGATTCCTTTGATGAACTGAAACAACACCTGACTAATTCACCATGTTTGGCATACCCACGGTTCGACTTACCGTTTATAGTGGACACCGATGCTAGTGACACTGGTGTGGGAGCTGTGTTATCCCAAGTTCAGGACGGAGAAGAACACGTCGTAGCTTATGCGGCGAAGTCGTTGACTAAGGCCCAGAGAAACTACAGTACCACCAGGAAGGAGCTATATGCTCTAGTGTGGGGCCTGGAGTATTTTGAAGTCTACCTCCTGGGAAGACAGTTCCATGTCCGCACCGATCACAGTGCGCTTAAGTGGTTGTACAGCTTCAAAAATCCTAAAGGACAGGTGGCACGGTGGCTTGAACGGTTGGCTGAGTTCAACTTCTCCATCGAACACAGACCTGGACTATGTCATCAGAACGCAGATGCATTGTCAAGATCTACTCTACCCGAAAAACCTGATGATGAAGCTCTTTATGTGGAGAATGTTACTAACGGCACTTGGTTAGGCAGATGGACGAAGTCAGAATTTGCGTTATACCAACAGGAAGATGCAGCTATTGGTCAAGCTATCAAGTGGGTCGAGACTGGAGCTCGACCAGAAAGAAGAGTGATTGCTGGGGAAAGTGCAGTGGTAGGTAGTCTTTGGAGCCAATTCAACAGATTGACAATTAAAGATGGGCTACTTTTCTGTACGTATGAATCAGAGGATGGCAAGTCTAGACACCTGCAACTGGTTGTCCCACGTAAATTGGTCAATGAGGTGATGATAATGCTTCACGATACCCCAACCTGTGGGCACTTGGGTGCACTGAAGACGGCCGAGAGGGTCGTGGCACGACTGTATTGGAAGGGCTGGAGACAAGATGTAGAGGACTATTGCCGCAGTTGCCAAGTTTCCAGTGAGCGGAATGCACCAGCCAAGACGCCTCGAGCGAAGTTGGGTACGATGCCAAATGGGTATCCGTTGGAACGAGTGGCGATGGATGTGGTCGGTCCACTTCCAAAAACAGCACGTGGTAACCGTTTTATCCTGGTTGTAAGTGACTACTTCACCAGATGGCCAGAAGCTTATGCCATTGCTAGTCACAATGCTGAAACCGTTGCTCAGAAACTGGTCTAAGAGTGGATTTCGAGATACGGCGTAATGCAACACCTCCACTCGGACCAAGGTAGGGAATTTGAGAGCAAGTTGATTGAAAGTATGGTACAGATTCTGGGCGTGAACAAGACACATACGACACCTTACCACCCACAGAGTGATGGGCTTGTGGAACGATGTAACCGCACTCTCAAAGACATGTTATCTAAGATTGTTGACAGGAATCAGAAGGATTGGGATGCCTGGATTCCACATGTCCTCTTGGCTTACCGAACCGCTGTGCACGCATCAACAGGAATAACGCCTTATCGTTTGATGTTCGGAAGAGAAGCGAGAATTCCGGTGGATTTATTGGTGGAAGGCATGGAGGCTAAAGATGGTGGCTCACAGGATACGACATCGTACATTATTCAAAGCAAAGAGAAGTTTCACAAGGCCCATGAACTGGCAAGAAGTAAAATGCAGCAAACAACAAGAAGATACAAAGACTACTATGACAGTAAAGCATCCGGGAGTCCTTATAAGGTTGGTGACAAAGTTTGGTTATTTGATCCAGCTATGCAAAGTAATATGTCGAAAAAGTTAAGTCGACCATGGGGCGGTCCCTATACCGTTGTGAAAGTGTTGTCTGATGCAGTCTATCGCGTCCAGCGTGACGGACGGGGACGAAAACGTGTCGTGGTACATTTCAACAGGCTGAAGCCTTGCACAGTTCGTCGACGCGATTTGGTATCCAGTTCACCTGAAAAGAAGTCGGAACCTCAAAAGAGAAAACGTGACAGCTCGCATGGTGATCCTAAAGAGCCTCCACCAACCAGTATCGAGTTCGATAGTGACGATGAGGATGTACAATTGGTGGTTCGACACAGAGGACGTGCTCACAACCAAGGAAGTATTTCAAATGCACCAAGCCTGGAACAACCTGTCATAGTCGAGACTGAGCAACAGACCCCGGGAGTGGTCGACTGCCGGAATACTAGTGCCCGCAACAGAAGACCACCCGCTTGGTTGAAAGACTATTCTCTATGAACAGTATAATTAGATGGATAGTGACGGTTAACATAATAGAACAACCTTCTCATTAGGGAGGGAGTGATGTTGAGAACAGTTATTTTATTGTAATTGAACATTTAAATTAGTATTAACTTGTCGTTATGGCGTTAGACAAACTGACGTAAGCACTTTTGATAGCGGCTTGTTTTTAGATGTCTTTGGACAAAAACACTGTGTATTTTCGCAGCTTAATTTAAACTCGTTATTAACAATCAAATAAATCATCTCTTAACAATATATTTGATTTGCTATAACAACCTTTCTAAATTTTGATATATTTATATATATATATATATATATATATATATATATATATATATATATATATATATATATATATATATATATTATATATCTTAATAGCTACTTAACTTACCACATGGCAAATTTTAGAGCAGCTACTTTTACAATCTTCAGATGCATGTCTTTCACCTGCCATGTTATAAACAACATTTGCAGCCATCTCCATGTTCAAAATGGTCAGAATATGCGTGAGCTTCTGTTCTTCTGGCTTATACTTTCCAAGGTGGGGCGAGACAGCCGCTGCAGACATTGCCATTGCTGAAGACAGTTTAATATCCCTTGGCTGCAAAATGTCTCTAAAATAGTCATCTCTGAATATCAAATTCTCTTGATCCTGTTGTGGCTCTGTTCGGCTTTGATTATTTTGCGGTTGTTTGTCTATCACAGTGATACCTATAAAATGTAAGAAGCTGCCCGTGCATTGACTCTCAAAAAATTATGATTATATATCTATATTAGAGTTCTATATATGAAACTGGAAGTAGCAACTAATACATTTGTAATGAAAATTGTAATGAAAACATTAAATTAAATTAAATGCTCTACAAAATTGTCTTGTATTGAGCGTTTTCCGTTCTTGAAGACGAGAATATTACATTATAATTTCTATATCTATCTATCTCCAGATCGCAAGTTCTATTACCAATTAATTCAATTGCAAACCTTTTTGGTACACCTCGTAAAAATCCTACTTACCTTCCGAGCTCATAGTGAGTACACAATATTCTCTATCGTATTCTCTTCGCCAGTTATTTACTACCATGTTACTGATATACTCCGGTTTTGTTCCTTTTAAGTCTTTCAATGTCACCTCTCCCTCGTTAGGCTCGTCAGGGAATTCGGGTGGGCACGTGCAAGTCGCACAACAACACGATGAACAGTGGCCTCCAGGAAAAAGATCATAACAATAACAGCATTGTTCCTTGACATTTTTCTCATCATATATATAGAAAGCGTTCTTCAATCTCCACCTGCATGGGATGGATAAGTTAAAAACATTCTATTCATTTCAGTTCCAATTGTTTAGTTTTTAAAACAAAAACTAATAGATAATGCGTTGGAATTCCCCAGGCTCGGTTTTCATTCGTTTATATTTACAACTAATAATTGTATTAATTTTAGTAAATCAACAATTTTGAACGCACAAACCTGTTATAAATATGAACCATGCGAAGAGGAACATCTCCAAGAATTGAGAATAACGCTACTAAGATGATAGATATTTTAAACCATTTTCCAAATTCCTCTTTTGTATACTTAATAGTAAAAAATTTCTTCTCATATAGGTGCCAGTACACGACATATGAGTAGAAATAGATCAGAATCACCAGAGAAGAGTACTTTCGCAAAACCGGAACAAAAAACCAAAAAACTGCCGTGATACTAATTATGCCGCCCTGGATATACCAAGGTGAATATTCCAAGAAATCGTTAATAAACCAAGGCCCAAAGGTAAAAGCAAACGTAGCGCCAGAAATTAACTGACCTAGTTTAAGAAGCAACTTAGCCCACTTCATCTTAATGTAATTTTTATCCTTAGAACAACCTTTGCAACAATATTCAAAAAAATGAAAAAGAAGAAAGAAAAGTAAGGAGAGGGAAAAAAGGAGATTTCGTTCTAAACAATCTTTACTATCACCATTATCCCTACACTTCGTACCATCGAGAAATTGACCATACAGAAGTTTAATGATGAATGCGATTGGGATAGCGAGAGAACCCCAACCTAAAATTGGGAAAATTATTGCAACAAAAAGAAGCAATAAAAATAACGGCACGCAGTCACCGAGACCTTTAGAACGAGTCTTCTTTTTACAATTATAATTGCAAAAATAGCCTGCATTTTTCCGCATATCATCAAAAAAGTTGTTCGTAGACTTTCGGTATTTCCAATGGACATAAGCACTTCCAGTGTAACCTCCGCCAGACACGCAGCTTAAATAATCAGGTTCTGCTTCTTTCTTAAGGAGCCTGCGAAGAACACCTGAACAAAAAGCCGCTGACCGGATTCCACCGCCCGAGAATGCCACGCCCAGTTTATCATGGTATCCCATGTTTACTGTGGATTCTTAAAATCAAATGGAAAATTTTGATAACTCACTAGTTTACACTTTTATAACAAGACAAATACTGCATATGCTAAATGGGAATTTACAATGAAATAAAAGTTTGCCTAGTTTTACGGTAGTCTTACAGTGAATTGTAATAAAATCTGGAACGCTAAATTAGCTGCCATCTTTGAAGCCAAATTTGAAGGTAGTTCTTCTGAGTTTTTGAACGTTTGAAACAGACGTAGAGAGTAATTATCTAGAAATGTGTGTGAAATACAATTATTTTTCTTTTTTATTAGAACTGAACGAGAAACAGAAACAACAAATCAGTATAACGCTGAGGTATAGAAGTTAGCGTTCCAGTTGATAATTATTTCAGTTCACTGGGTCTCATTTCCTTAATAGAACTTCCTTGCAAATTCTGCCTCGCTTAGAGTTCCTAGCACTGATGTCGATTGTAATTTAGCTCCAAGATTTGTGTGTCGTTTAAACTACATGCCAAAAACGTTCAGACAAAAATAGTAATTAGGAACAATAAAGATATTCAAGCTGGAATACGTTATTTTTTGTCTTGATATGATTTGTAAAATGGTACATACAGTACTGTCAAAAATAGTCTAACAAAAACCGTGGTTAACCTAGGTCAAACCCCGGTCTGATCGCAGTTGAACCGAGGTCGAACCGCGCAGTGGCAGATCTAGGGGTGTGCAAAATAAATTACACAGTTTAATTTTAAATTCGAAACACCTTAATAACAACGTTATTGGTTCTAGATTTTAAAAGATTATTTTTACATTAAAATCTGCCAATGCGATTCCAATTTTAGACTGTAGTAATTTATTCTGCACACCCCCAGATCTGCCACTGGAACCGCGGTGAGATGGAGGTGATATCGAGTGCTGTTGTGCTACAAACGAAATAACCTGTGTCGTTATTGTTATTTGACCTCTGAATTCGCTGATCAACGCCCAAATTTAGAAGATAGTTAATACAGGCCTTAGCTCGAGTGTCTGTATTGAATGTCAACAGAACTTGTGACGGTACTAAAACCAATTCCATCGACGATGATACAGTCTACACATATATACTTTGAATCTAAATTCAGTTTATTGTTCTTTGGATTTTTTGCTGCGCCATACTAGCTATATTTATTTAGTGTATTGTGTGAACCGCTATTTTTAGCTCCGGCAGTACAAAGCCACCAAAGCCACGTGGATTGTCACAAGTGCTAAAAATAGCAGAAGTTGTATATATACTGACTTTGCAATCCCTCCCTTAGGGTCTTCGCCCCGTAGAGCGTGGAGCGTTGGTAGAATTGGCCCGCGAGGTTGACAGACATTCCTTAAGATGCTTTCAATATGTATGATTATTGTGTTGTCTTTCTCAGCTGTTCATAACATTCCGTTCGAAAGCGAACGGCAACGGCGATCGTATTTTTTTCCTTGCGGTCGTCAGCGGTTTCTATCGGTCAATCGCAACCGAACCGTGACCGAACCGCAACCACAGTGTTAGGTTATTTCAGGAAGTTTTGTAGTTTAGAAAAGGTACAATTAATGAACAAACAAGGAGCTCTATTTCCTTGGGTAAATACCAGAAAAACAAGTTTTTCCTGGCCAGCTGTATATATCCAAGCCTTTCCAGGAGGTTTGTGTAACTTCGTTTTTATAACAACAATGATTTAATTCAATAATGGTTTACGAAGCTGAGAGAAACTGAATCAAACAAACTAATGAATAGCCTCCCTGGCACTCCCAATCATCTCTATCAGTATGACCATTACCTGATTCATTCGTTGAAGATGATGTTGCGCCTGACTCGACATTCTCATCTCGACTCTGAAACAAAAGAATAAACAAGGCTATAATAAGGCACTAACTCGTAACGGAAAAAGAATCGAAAAAGTATATCATCACTACCATGATATATCGCATCGCACGAGTTATTACTTACTGAAGCAATTTTTACAATGCAAAAACATTTTGAGCGAAAAAAAAATGTGTCATGGGCAATCTATATACACAAAGAAATGATAGATCCTTGAATTTGCCATTGGTCGATCAATAGGTTCATGCGTATAATCAAATTTACCTTTTGCACCCTTTTACTTTTTACAAACATAAACTTTCTGCACATCCCTTATGCTACGATTACGAAAGAAACGAAAAACCTTTTGTACTATAGACTACCATTTTTCTATGCATTAAAATGCGATTAAATTACCACAACAGAAAAGAGCGCGCTAAATGGAAACGACAAACGGAAATTGTTACAATTTTTGGCCTGAATGTGGCAACAATTTCTGTGCGTAGAAAAAAAGTATACAAATTTGCTACTTAATTTGGAAGCCTATAATTATTTTCCGCATTTTACAACATCTCGCAACCAAATTTTGCATTTCTACTGGCTTTAGCCCGCACTCTAAAGCTGTGGTAATTCAATTGCATTTTGATGCATAGATAAAATAGTAGTCTGTTAGCTTTTCTCACGGTGACGTTTTGGGGTACTTTCAATTTTCTGAAATGGGTTTAAGAATTATGATTTAACATGAAAAGCAATTTTTTTAAAATCAACAGACCATTTTAAAAATATCTTCAGCCTAAAATTAAAGCCTGTGGCCGTTATGAGGTCTCACGCTCATGGTTTTGAAAAAAAGTACCCCCAAAATTGCGAATATTCATCATCGTGAGAAAGGCTAATTGGTCAAAAGGTATATTGATAAATGAAAAAATCCAACAAAGGAGTATGCGCACGCAATCCCGTGTTGAATGACGGTTATAGCCAACATGCAATACTCATGCACCTGAATCCTGCACACCATAGATTTTAGGATTTACCATTATAGTCGGTCAATGGGTGCATGGATATATAATCAACTTTTTCTCCGTTTATTTGGCTTATGATATTAAGTATATAAACCAGCCTCGTACCCAGGCGCTTTATCAGAAACCATAAAGGCTGCATTCAGCGTAATATAGAGATCTGTGGCTGAGATGCACGAGCGCGCAGGGGTGCTTGGGGAGGACGCGGCAAATGAAGCGCCTGGCAGAATATGCAACAAATATGGCGCCGGCGGACGACTTTTTCATATTCATAGATGCAAGTGAGCAAATTGCCGTACACCCTATCCACCGGGCGGTACATTTGGGAAAGATTTTGTGCAAAAATTCTCACTGCGTTGTATTATTCATCATTTTCGAATATTAAGGCGCAAACAGTTATTTACGAGCACTGAAAGAAGAGAATCTACTCGAATATGCAATGATTTAGATCAGATTTAGGTTGCACATTTCTTCCATCTGTTTGACTTGTTTATTAATTTGCGGTCCTACTAAAAACCGCCCGAGACCGCCCGAGACCGCCCGAGAGTATAGAAAAACCGCCCGAGACCGCCCGAGAGTATAGAAAAACCGCCCGAGAGTATAGTAAACCGCCCGAGACTTCGACGGTCCTGTCAAAATATTTATTATTACTATTTCACTTCACTTGTTCAAAGAAATTCAAAATATGTGAAAGTTTGGCAATTTCTAAATCCCTAATGTTATGAGCAGAACCAATGCGCAGAAGCCGGCTGAATAATAAATGTGACATGGTGTTGGCTCAAAGAGCAGCAGATGAACAGAATATAGTTCAACTGAAAAAACTCTAAACTATAGATCTAGAGACTTTTTATTTTAAAATTGATTGAAATTTAGGGACGAACCAGTCATTTTTTTTAAAGGCATGGGGGGGGGGGTAGAATCTGAAAGATGAATTACAGCAAAATATTATCATCAAAAGTTGTTCGTTTAGCAGCGAAACACATATATTTATTATACATTGATATAGCTGGTATACGGTACGGTACATTAAATATATATTGACAATGTGCTTGTGACATTCTTTTGTGGTGACTAATTCATATTTTTTGGGAAAACAAATCACTCATGTTTTTCGTTTTGAGACGTATATACTAAACTTGATCGCCATGCACATTAGACAATTTGCCACTATTTCGCTTCACAATCTTCTCTTAAATTTTCAGTTTCAAATTGAACAAAAAATTGAAACGTGTGTAAGTATACAATAACAACTCTTTATGTGGGGAGAATAAGAACCATGATTTTGGAATGTGCGGGGTGTATATACCCGCACGCTGCTTACCAACATACAATTACATATAAATATTGGCAAGTAAACACTTTTGATTCATTGTTTCTCGCTAGACAATATGATCACGACAATGTTATGCGCTATTAAATTCCTAATTAACTATTTTCGTCATTAAGATAAGTTGTGTCATAATACGTCATACTATCTTATTAGGATAAGTTAGTATGACGTAACCGCGTTGACTTGGCAATGATGTCATAACTTTAGTTACGATTATTGTCTCCTTGATCTCAATGTATTCTATGATTAAACTGGTATGATTAAACTGGTATCCTGACATCTGGTATCCTGATTAAGACACTGTTTTAAATGCAGGCCGGGCAAAGTAAAACAATAAAGATCATGTTGAGTAAAACAACAGAGCCAGGAGAATTTCCATGCACAATTACAATTCAGCCCGCTAATCTGTGCTAGTTAGTGTCAAATGTTCTTGTCTAAGCATACGGGTTCTTAGAACGTTTCATATTTACTGATATTTAATTTAAAAACACAAAATAACTTCAGATTTCTGTCAGCCGCTTTTTTAAAGTCTCGGGCGGTTTTTCTATTCTCTCGGGCGGTTTTTCTATACTCTCGGGCGGTCTCGGGCGGTTTTTAGTAGGACCCATTAATTTGTTTTTCTTGGGAATCTGTTATTTTAACACCTAATTTTGACTTTGACCTAATACGTTTTTATCATGCTGAGTTTAATTTGAAAAATTGTTGCAATTTCACATCATGGTCTTTTGCAAAGCTCATTATCCAGTTCAATGTTTCCATCATCCAATGCAGTAAATATAGCAGCAGTTGATTCTGTTCATCTAAGCCATTTTCCAGTTCATTTTGCATTACAGAAATATTATCATTCTGCATTACAGAAATATTATGGTTTACAACCATGTGGTTTCATTAACAAATTAGTGTAAATAACTGTATTAAATGTTAAGAAAAATTAACTATTGAAACCTATGTAGAGAGTAATTCATTAACATTCCTTTATAACACCAACACTCTTTGGTATACGTTACTGCACATTAAATTCAATTAGTGTACTGCAAAGCAAATAATAGACTTAATTCATCCCTACAGCAATATACTTATATACATCACACAATGTCGATGCAGGTTGTGTACAGTATTCCAAGAAATTACTATAATACATGTATAAATTATATTGTTCCATAGTCCTATTTACTACATTATACTCTCAAAAGGAGAAGCATATTTTCACATCCAACAACTATTTTCTTTTTTGTAGAATGTGGGAAAATTTCTTTGATTCCCTGAGTCAAAGTATTCTTTTTATTATCAGATATGCCATGTAAACTCATTAATAATGTCTGTTTTTCATGGACATTGGAGTCTTCACAATAGTCCAACAACCTTTCTAATTCAGAGCATCAATTTGGTGATTTATATCTTCCACTACCTATAAAAAGCACAAATATGTATAATTTGATATATAATATGTACTTATGTTTTTTGTTAAATTCACACAAACTTCAAGCATTGGGGTTAAAGCATGTTTCCCTGCTGAAATGATTTTTTCCCTTCCTCTTTCTGTGGGGTGCTGGTAACAATCTGACCTGGAGTTTGTTATTGTATATTACTAGTAACACGCATATAAATTGCAACTTGATAGCATATTTGATATAGAATGAAAATAAAATGTACTATTGTTTAATTAATATCAATAGAGGAAATATCTAAATCTCATGGCAACTAAGCACTCACCTCTAACACTCAGTCCTTCGATACCAAACGTATACCTTTACTCCTCCGAGCTTGATGATACTTTTGTAAGGAAATTAAGACGAATTTAAACAGTGTTAAATACTGCGCGACTGCATAGTAACACAGAGGAGTATACTCATACACTGTTTACGAAACGAGATTTGTCAAAATAGTCGTAAAATAAAAAAATACAGTATAAAGCAACCTTGAAATGATAGTTTTTGAAACGATCGTTCCAAATCATCCACAATTTTGATAACAGGTTCAATACTTTTTCAAAATATATCTACATATTTAGCCTTCATACATTTCTCACTTTTTGCAGAAAAGGAGCCGGAAATCTGCATATTCTGCCAGGCGCTTCGCTCTCCCGTCGCGTCCTCCCCAAGCACCCCTGCGCGCTCGCATATCTCAGCCACAGATCTCTATATTACGTTGAATGCAGCCTTTATGTCAACCTCGTACCCAGGGTCTTTTTACCTCCGCTCGCCTTTATGTTTTCTAATAAAGCGCCTGCGTACGAAGCTGTTTGTAAACCTATACCTTACGGATACAGCACACCCGGCCAACTAATTCTTTATGGCTATCTGTAAAACAAGGAACTTGGAATCGGGGAAAGGAATGGGGAAAGGAACGGGGAACGGTAAAACCCGGAATGACAAAAGCCGGAATCTGTAAAACCCGGAATGAGAAAAGCCGGAATCTGTAAAACCCGGAATGAGAAAAGCCGGAATCTGTGAAACCAGGAATGAGAAAAGCCGGAATTTGTAAAACCAGGAATGAGAAAAGCCGGAATCTGTGAGACCAGGAATGGCAAAAGCCGGAATCTGTGAAACCAGGAATGGGAAAAGCCGGAATCTGTAAAACCCGGAATGAGAAAAGCCGGAATCTGTAAAACCAGGAATGAATGTTATGTTTATGTTCTTTTGAGTTTTGATCATATTCACAACAGTAGAGCGTGTTTGTCCTACGGGGCGACTGGTGTTAATTAACAAATTAACGGGAACAGACTGTAGCATTGTTGTTATCATACATATTTATCATAGACTATCTAACATTATTATCATATCAAACATTATTATGTTTGTTATTATATACATATTCAGTTTTATAATTTTATTCGCAACAGACGTTTGACAGACGTGCGCTTTAATTCTCTGTGTTGTATACGTTGTAAAGTATCGTATTTCATTCTGTCTGAAGATTTCTTTAAAATGAAGTCGAAATTTTGACTCTCAAGATTGCTTTATTTACGTATTGAATTGTTCGTTTTATCTTTATATATAAGATATTGCGCGTAAAAAATAAAGTATAAACGAATAATTTTAAGGGGCTAGTAGCTCAGTCAATTCCTGGTTTTACAGACTCCGGCTTTTCTCATTCCTGGTTTTACAGATTCCGGCTTTTCTCATTCCTGGTTTTGCAGATTCCGGCTTTTCTCATTCCTGGTTTTACAGATTCCGGCTTTTCTCATTCCTGGTTTTGCAGATTCCGGCTTTTCTCATTCCTGGTTTTACAGATTCCGGCTTTTCTCATTCCGAGTTTTACAGATTCTGGCTTTTCTCATTCCGGGTTTTACAGATTCCGGCTTTTCTCATTCATGGTTTTACCGTCCCCCGTTCCTTTCCCCATCCCTTTCCCCGATTCCCCGTTCCTTGTTTTACAGATAGCCAATTCTTTATACCGCACACCCAACTAATTCTTATAATTCTTATAGCAAGTCTAGTTAAGTTGTTTTTGTAAATAGTCTGAGAACTGTTATACTTAGTTTTAATGCATGTTCGACTGTTGTAATTTCCCCTAGTAAAATTGCCAAGTTTGGCTGCGAAATGTTTAGTAAAGTATGGAAAGTATAGCCATGCGAAGTTGGCAATTTTCGGTATTATACAATTACTTAATGGTTTTCGTGTTTGGATGGCCAGATCCAAACACGGGCTTCGAGATGAGAACTTGCGTTATACACATGTGTTGTGAGGAACACTTACTTTAGAACGATTACTAATTTATATATTCTATTACAAGTGATTTACAATTGATTGACATTTAATTACGTGGGCTTAAAATTGGGGTATCATTATCAAATTGGGGTACGGACATGATTAGAACTAAGGCAATTGAAGTTAAACTGCTAACCTGAGGATCTAAACCGAACTGTAGAAAAAGTAGACGTTAATGCTAACTGTATTTGTTTTATGTGAATCAACACGAGGATATTGGCACAGAAGTAAGTTAATTATAAAGTTAATCTATAAGTTAGTATATAAATTCCGTTAATCAAACCATAATATCTTATTCATTATTCATATATTAATATTTAGATCGAATTGTGTTTGCGCACAATATTATTTGTGACAATAAATACGATATACCAATATCCAGTCGTGCTGCGTAGTAATAAGGGCGTATTGTTGATTCGACGAACCAACATGTTATTTTATAAACTTTTTTACTACGTCCACACTTAAATCACTTTACGTTAGATCCATCTCGAACTGAACGTTACCAGAACTTTACAAGTTATCGAACTGCACTTGAATATCGGAAAGGTTGTTATAGTGTTGGCTGGAATGACGTTATATGACTGGCGTTACTGGCGTCAACTAGTTTCCGGAAACAATTCATTATGATCATAGGCGGCAGCACCATGATCATAACAGATTTCTATCTGTTTATACTCAGTCAATACAGTAATTAGTACAAAGAGTAGAAGCTGACCGCGCGCGTAAACAATGCAGTCGAAGACTGAGCATGCCTAGCAACACCATTATATACCATTAAATATATATATATATATATATATATATATATATATATATAATATAATATATATAATATATAATATAATTATAAAATATACACCCATTTGCAAAAACGTTGGCCGCAGATAGATAGATAGATAGATAGATATTCAAAATCTAATTAGAATTGCATATGTTGTGTAATATGATTGAAATCCAATGCAAATGTAATCATATGCAATTCTAATTAGACTTCGAGTATCTATCTATCTATCTATCTGCGGCCAACGTTTTTGCAAATGGGTGTATATATATATATATATATATATATATATATATATATATATATATATATATATATATATATATATATATACACGTAGATTCCATGTATCTATTAGCATGTGTATATTGACATGTGAATCACATGTGAATGTAGCTTAGGCCAAGACCGTCGCTTGACGGTTTAATTGGGTTATTGGGAGACTGTGTATTCATAATATTTCATGTTTAAACAGTTAGCTAAAACAATTCTTCTCAAAAGAAATTGGTCGGGCATAGGGCGAAACAACACCACGGGAAACCACTAACGGAAAAGGCAATCATCAAGTCGCATTTCAAATAACACATGTCATGTGTGTTCACAAATCAGCTGATGAACGTCAATGAACGCGTACCACTACTTATTAAAGTGACGCCGGATAAGTATAATTAAAAAAGTTAGGCCAAGCAAAAGTAGACCAGTTTATTTACGAAACCTTGTTGTCAAAACCTCTCTTGGATATTTGAATCAAAACATAATATGCATTTGGACCAAAAGATTTAGTTCACTTTCGGGACGATTAGTTTTTCTAAAATCCTACCTGAGTTTGATGCGGGACTTCTGCAGCACTTTCTCTTAGTTCTTCGTATTTAAAGTTGCTCCGTCTTTCCATGTTGGAAATGTTTGACTGGCTAGCACGTAAGATATTAGCGGCTTTTATGTGCAGGGAGCATGAAATTAAATCGACAAATACAGGAAGTTCACCCACAACGTTAGGTGATATTGGGAGGATTTACAGCATTTGAATATCATTTTAAGAAAAGAACAACCCATTAAAACGATTAGTGCATCAATAACGCTTAAGGAAAGCCACTAAAGCTATTCGAACATCAATTGTGCTCACAAGTGAGTTTAAAAACAACACCTCATTATATATTCCGTAAAGTGAAAATCAATGAGACGAAACACAGAACAATTGCATCAACTTATTAATCATTATCATTTTTACAACAACAATAACAATAAATCAAAATACATTAAACTGCAAGAAAAAGTCATTAGTATTAAGGCATAAAATGTGGTCCCGTTGGACTCTTCAGTGTGCTGATATGTATAATTATTCACCTTGAAACATAAAAAAGGACATTTGAAAAACCGTTAATTAAACTCGAACCGAAAAAGAACCATATGTCACTGACCGCACCATATCAAAGCATTTGGAAGGCATGCTGTTTACATTGAAGTTATCACATCGTGTGCCAGCCGAACGAAACAGACAGGATGTTGTAGAACGCCATCACGAGTATGCACATTGGTTTCTTGAAGAGCCGAATTTGCACCACACAGTATTTATCGGACTTCAATTTCGGACTTCAAATGCAGACCGTTATAATATTAGGGTCGAAACTTAGCGGTCGAAGCATGCATGTATGATGAGTATATCCAAATATTTTCTTTTCAAAATCACAGTTTGGATACACGAATTGTACTTGACACCATTCTGAATTGCTATTTAAAGTAAAAAGTCATAAACATGCAATAATTGTTTAATAAGCCGAACAAAGGAAGCTTTGTCGAACCCAACAGCATATTGCCTTCGTTTGGATATTATCTATGTAATCAGTCTCTTCCAAGATTCTGTCATTTCTTAGTTTGCTTATCTAGGGCGGGTGTATATATACATAAATCCAGTTAATGGGTTTGTTTATATAACGTACGCGTACTGTATTTATATGTTATTCAATAATACAGAAGCAGACTAAATGACGGCGGAATGGCAGAATTGTGCAGGTGTTCATTTTTGCAAAGAAATAAGAAATTGACTTTACCGTCTCTTAAAAACTTAAAACTGAACTTGACTTTTTTATATAACATGGAATTTCTTCCCAAATTTTTGGTGATGTAAATCGAAAGGTAAAGATAAATAATGGTAATTGCACTCGGTGATTTGCAATTTGGTGTGCAAGCAAACTTGTGATTACAAATCGCACTCGACACGAAGTGCAATTTATATATTCATTTTATATATCATATATTCATTTATATATTATATTCATTTTGAAATCATACAAAACTGAATGCTCGAAAATAGTACGATTTGGGAATTAATCACACTATTTTTGACCAATCAGATTGCAAGAAGCACCACTTAATTATTTCAAAATGAATATCATAATAAATCAAATAACGATAGCGTCCGATATAGTTGCAATAGAATAAATATTGGGCCGCTATATACGCTGTTTGAAGTATATATTGGTAAAGAGCTGTTATCGTTTAAGTGCCTTTTTCTCGTATTTACAATCTCCGCATTTTTTGATACGTTCACTTCCTCTGAGGATATGATGTTTAGCATGCAGTTACAGCCAAATTGTCTATTTTTTAACGTATTTTTTGAAGATTTTTTCCCCATTGGACACTACCTATGCATATAATATTATATATATATATATATATATATATATATATATATATATATATATATATATATATATATATATATATATATCGTTTTAAAAACTAGCTTAAAGTCTGTTTCGTTGAAGTAGAACTGCTGCAAGGAACGAAGCGCGATTTTTCGTGCAGCATCGCTAACACATTTGTTCACTTGCCAACGCACAGGAAGTCTAGCGCAATGCAGCTGTCCCGAAAAGAAAGCGTGTACGTCTATATACAGTCATTTGCGATGTTGATTACCTGTTACAACATATATTAAATACATTGTGTAACATTACACTGGCCGCGGCTTCAATCCAAAACTATATTATCACTAAGATTTTGAATAACAAAAAAACTTGTATGGGGATATAGGCAGTCTTTTATGCAACAAAATATCAACAAAACTGTCGGCTATTATAAGGCAGCAAAACAAATTTGACAGGTTTAATAACTTGGATAGCTAATTGGTGCGGTGGATTCACGTTTGATGTAAATCATTAAAGTATAGTGTCGACTGTCGAGCACTATAAAAAGGCTTTTTGTGAGCGCTTTAAATCAGGCTTAAAATCTATTACGCAAGTTGTGTATATGTATACATATAATATCCATATACTACGATCACGAAGAAAGCACTCAGGTTGTCGGACTCTTTTACCACCTGTCTATATGCGGTTACCATTTCTTAAGAACTGATTAAATATGTATGCAAATACATTCTCGTCTGTTCACTGATAAAACAAACAAAAATGTATCCATCAAACATATATATATTCGTTATGTATGCATGGCTCAAAAATATATAACTTCTAAATCGATACACAAATTCAGCTATGGAAGAATGAGAGGTTGGATTTAACAGTTAAGCTAAAAAGATCCTAAAATAGATTGATACAATATCATGTTGCTGTTTTTTTTCAGCCTTTGTTTGTTGCCAGGTAAGTCGTGATATATACCTATGCAACATGCATGCATATATAAAAGGTTCTTGTAATCTTGAATAGTTATATAGTCACTGCACGAAATAATCGCATTTCTCTCAATATCTCCGATGATATATCTTGTATTAAACATACAGGTATAGGCAATATATCGATATCCAATCCCATGCGAATATATAAACTCTTATATAAGCATATACGTTTCCGGCCAATTTATTAGTTAGCCATTTCATATCGCACGACTGTGTATAAAATTTTCATATTCAATCATTGACCTACTCTAAGACTATACTATAACTTTATATTCTATCGGAACGAACTCAGTCCAATCCCATCGGTTCGTTGGCGCTATACCCACCAAATGCATAGACCGTTAACCGTTTAAAAATAGTTTACTTAATAAAATTTCGTGGGGATAAACTATAATATAGTAGTATCGAAAAAAATAATGACTCTAAGAAATTAAATAGAATTCAAATATTTGTTCAACATGCCAAAATCTCGAGTATAGAAAATACTTTCAGCGGCCTTGATGGATCCAACTATAGCGGAGGTTGTAAATTTGTCACGAGTGAGCCGTTTAAACGGGAAAAACATATCATGTATAGCCCGGTCTACTTAAACGGCCTGTCAATTCAAAATTGTACATGTATTTTTAACTACAGGTTTTAGTGTACAAGAAAAGACATCATTGGAACTGATGGAATACCTCTTCAATGCGAGTAGACATGACAAGCGAATTGTTCCCTCTGTTGGACGTGGCCTAAATGTGCCTGTGAACGTCTCAATAGGCTTAGCGCTACAACAGATCGAAAATTTGGTTAGTTCATGCGTGAAACGTTTCAGCGGCATATTCTACATGAAACGACTATAAACTTAAGCATGGGTCATAGTCCCGAAAATTGTATGCGTAAAAATACAAATACGACTGATACAACAACAAATAATTTAAAATATACTTAACTATATTTGCAAACAGACATACAATAAAGTCGGCAATTAATGCCTATTTTGCGCAAAGGACTATATTATATGTGTTATGACGACAACAAACTAGCAAACGCGAAATCACATGCGTTTAAAACAACTCGATAAACTTTCATCTATATGCGTTTTTTTTGAGAATAGGGAAACTGGCACACAATTGCCCACCAGCTCTTGAGGTTACGAGGCCTGTAACCATGCACAAATGCATGAAGTTTATTTTTCAAAGTTTTCCGATATTCCTAATGTTTTCTTCTTTTGGCAGAGGAAGATCAGGCTATAAAAAACTTATATATAGCTGGCTTAACATTAAATTTTAATTCGTGTTTCTAGAAAGCAGTTACCCCAAGAATTTACTGCAAGTTTATAAAAACGCTTTCATGCCGTTTTATGCAATTTTTACAGATGAAAATACTAAATGGCAATTGTTTCCTTCTTTTTAAGGATGAAAAAAGACAAGTGCTGGTCTCACACGTTGTTCAAACACTGGTAAAACAGTTAAAAAGACATGCATGCATTGTACATATTTTTGCCGAAATCAGGCTTATAAGTCGGATTGTGCATAATAGCGACCGTGTTTTAACACTTGCATGAATTATAATAATCCTAAATATTTTTGAATAACCTTTTCTTGCCTTCAGCTATATACAATATTGTGGAGTTATTACCGCTAATAATAGATCAGGGGCCGGTTGTATCAAGCCCGTTTAGCTTAAACGCGGTGGTTAAGTATACAAAATAGAAAGCAATTAATTAAGTCTATCGTTTTATTCAAGAAGCAAACTAAATGTTTTTAACCTTAATACGAAGACTCTGTTTACAACTACAAATTCAGTGCATAATATATTCTAGTTGAATCATTCAAGAGAGATGTAAGCGTGCATGTTATTTAAATTTGACTTATCCACCGTTTAAGCTATATAAACGCGGGCTTGATACAACCGGCTCCAGAATGATATACATGATGCATGCATGCCATTTATTGAGCATTCTTTCCACTCTTTCTACTTCTTCAGGAGTGGTCTGTTCAGCAACTAACGTGGAATCCAGCGAAATACCATGGAATTAAGACACTTAAGGTCCCTACGAAAATGATTTGGATGCCAGATATTATTCTCTACAATAGGTTGGCTAAAACTCATGACTTTTTACTAATTTCTATATATACCTTTATAGGCAATTATTTTTAACATTTCAACACTGTATTTTTTTAGTTTAAACATGGACCAAACAGTTGGAATGCACAGAGGGCATGCCCTGCTACATCACACAGGCCAGATAATTTACAGATTTTCTAAAAAAATAGAAAGTTCGTGCAAAACGAATGTCGCTAACTACCCCTTCGACAAACAAGAATGTACTTTCAAATTCGGATCCTGGGCTCTTAATGGTTTCGAGCTTGATGTAAAAAGCAGGGACAAGGTATTCAACACAAATTACTGATTGACCAAGAAATAGGCTGTCAGATTAAGTGCGAAGAGTAAACGATCTGACTATTATATTATTCTAGGGCGGAGACTTGACAGGGTACACCAAAAGCGGGGAATGGGAGATTCTTGAGTTTACAACCAAATTAAATAAGATAGTCTACGGTTGCTGCCCGGAACCTTATTATGATGTCACATACAACCTCAAAATCCGTCGCCAGGTCCTCTACTACGCCATATATTTCATCATCCCCTGTGCCTTGATAGCCATGTTGGCCGCAACCATTTTTTTGTTGCCACAAGACTGCAGTGAAAGGATTACTGTCGGTAAGAATTTAATATATTTTTTTAATTCCAAGGAATAGTGAAAACGAGTTCGTGATGCATCGGGGGATTTGTTTAGGGACGTAAACAAGTGGCTCGTCTAAATGTAGCCCCATGATGCATTGTCAATATCTCTATTTTCAGTCCGCACTAAGGCAATCTTTGAATAATATTTTTGACAACACAAATTGCGTAATAAAATGACGCATGCAACCAAACCCGTAACGCCTCTTCGTACGGAAGAATGATTTTAAAATATTGATCGTTCCATACTGAATGAATCGCACGCTGCTTACTTCCCTGTTAATCGCAAATAAACTTCAACAAGGTTTGTACATAGAGCATTTTAGAAAGCTCGCATTACGGTCTACGTATAACTGCTTTTGCAAATATATATATTATTGCATCTTAGGAATGTGTGCTCTGGTTGGACTGTCTTTCTTTTTCCTGCTTGTATCGGAGAACATGCCAGCATCGGAGAGTGTGCCTCTCATCGGCGGTTATTATTCTGTTACCATGTTGCAAATGGGGTTTTCATATTTCATGAACGTTCTTGTATTACGTCTTCATCACATGACGGAAGAAGAAGTTCCTTCCTGGGTTCGGGTAGGTAGTTTCTATATGTCTCCGGAAGATATTATCATCTCCAAAATTTTATACGCAACCAAAAAAACAACCAATTACAACAGACTTTAATATATAAAGTACCGCCATACAAGCTGATTTTCTCTTTTGAGAGCTGATTTTCTCGATATTCTCTTTTGAGAGCTTTGTTAACGCGCCAATGTGCTCAGAAAACATTTTTTAATTGTCATCTCTAGAAATTGCTACTGGGATACGGTGCTCGTCTACTCGGCAAAAAGTTCTATACTAAAAACAGTTCAGAAACTGATGAAAAACAAAATCCCGATCCAGCAAAAGGTAATAAAGAAATGAAGAGAGATTTAGAGCAGGGTAATTCTCTCTTGGACCATGCAACAGCATGAATATTCACATTGTATCTTTTTAGATGCCAAAGACACGTTTGTAATGAAAGTGATAGGCAAGAAAGAATATTGCAGAGAAGTTCTACAAGAGGACAACAAAATAGCTCAAGTAGTGAAAGAGGAGCATGAAGTGAATAAGAGGGATGTGGAGTGGAAACAAGCAGCAGCTGTCCTGAACGACTTGGGCCTAATACTTCATATTATAGTCGTACTGCTGACTTTTATGGCCATGTTCTTTGAAGTATTGTTTATAGCTAATTCGTAAAGCACATTTGCAGACATTAAATTCACCATTTTCAATAAAAGGATATAACATCCCATAGCATGCACAATGTACATGACGTTACTTGGTTTTGAATACACGCTGATTCATTATGACACAATAAATTATTTACCATATTAAATGTCTTACTACTCTTCTTCGACAATTTATGCGTGTGACCCAAAATTTATTCAGGTGAATCTTTTTTAGAAGTTTCATTTTTAGATCCGGCACGGTAAAAAAAAGGCGTTCTTCACACCTTTCTAAATACTGAAGACTGTCTGCCATTAATCTGACCAGTCCAATTCATGCAAATTAGCGTTCTAGCCAAGAAACCTGTCTGTCATCACTCTTTTTTTAACCTCGGTAGTTTTTTCTCGACGCATTTCATTTTCAAGTATGCATTGTGACAATTTTTGTGTCCATATCAAATATGGCTGCATGAGAGCTTGTCACTGAAAAAAAAACTGTGTGTTCATTTCAAAGTCGTACTGTAATGTTAAAGGTGGTTTTAATGCAAACCAACTTTTATAAGCTTTGCGAAGGGGAACATCACGTCAGGGATGTTTAGAGCTGCAATAAACATTCACAATATCCTTACAAATTAAAATATTGCTCTCCTGCATATTAGGCTTTAAGTGGTTTTTCACTCTACGACTGTGAGTTTAATTAAATTATCAATCATGCACGAAATTATATCCAAGAAGATTATCATGCATAAGGGGAGTATTTTGCAGATAGATTACCAGCATGCAGGTGTACTCGCACGAAATTCATTTCAAATCCTGCTTTAGGAAAAGTAAAAGTTCTTAGCTACTTACACCGCCATATCTTTAATATATAGACAATGTTCATAATGGTCTCAGTGGTTTCTATTGCCTCTCACTCTATGTATAATGTGCATATAAGGCCTTTATATAGACTTTAAAAAAACGCGATAGACTCGCATGATCGAAATAAAGGAATAGCCACTTGTATATAAGTTAAAAGCCTTGTGTCCCAAATACTTTCGCCACTGACTTAAGTCAACCGGCTAGGCAGGCAAGTACAGTGCAATAAAACGGCTTCTTATCCTTTGTATAATTAGATAGGCACTTGACCACCTGTACATCCCTTATGAATACATTTTAAAATTTCGCAGGTGTTTCGCTGGCTATGAAATTGTCGGCGGTATCCATTAACTACGGCAAATACGATTATGCAAACATATCGCAGCTTTTGGACAGTAAATATACGTGAACTTGTAAATTCGGAGGAAAGATGCTGTTTGTAATTTTATTCTGTCTCTCTTTCCCAGGTAAACACCTTTCAGCGTAGCTTATTGTTAAATATAAACTTTTAAGCTCATATTATATGATGCATGAATGGAATTAAATAGAACTGGAAAAGGCAATAAATAAAACAGCAGTTAAGGTTACTAGACGCATTGTGCTTGATTTTTATCCGCAGTCGTATTCTGTTTATCCTTAAATATATATAGATTTTATAGAAGATAAAGTATTGAACTTTTGTATGTATTTTCAGATAAGGCTCGAAAATACAATGTATTTAGTAACTACATACGCTATCTGCATGTTTAAGAATTATAAACACCTTCTATAAATGTATAATAAATTAAGCGGTAAGCTGTATTGTACCTACTCGCAAACTTTACCCATGCATGCAATGGAATATCGGCGTCAGTCATCGCATGCAGACAGAATGTCTTGAAGAATATATATAAATATATATACTTACCTCACATATACGAAAATAAATATAGCTATATATGTAGATCCTATGAATTACATGACATTTGTTGTCAACTGGAGTTCTAGAATAAAAAAGGAAGGAACATGTGGGGAAAATGTCGCTAAATTGCCTTAGACTAGTTACTTGCATATAGTCACGTAAACTCGAAACTATGGACGGTAGAATTTAGTAGTATATTATTGTATATTATTGTATTCTATATATACATGGTTAAGTGTTGCCTTCTAATATGTTACGCTTTGAAAACATGGGAACAAGTTAATCTATACTGAGTAGAACTAAAATGCTCAAAATGAATTTTTCAGACCGCGTTTACGATCGTCGTGCATCATTGCTTTCACAGTCCAAAAAGAGTGACCCAGCCACTCTGAGTAGCTATAGTCTCGCTGCGCAAATTTTAAGTTTTATTTCCCTAGAAATTCATTGTATTCACAGTCAATGAACAGCTGAAAATATTTACGTAGTGACGTTCCTGTTCAAAAAGATTTATAATAAAAAAAATGTATATAACGCGTGTTCTGATTGGTCGAAGCCCGTGTTTGGATCAGCCATCCCAAACACGGAAATTTAATTCGTTTATAGAATTAAAACTGCAGTGTAATGTTAATACTTGTCGTTTTTATTTTATAAGGAAATTACCTAATGGTTTTTCTGTTTGATCCAACACTTGAGAATGTTGGTTGAGTCAAGGAAAGCTGCAAAAACCACTCGCCTTCGGCTTGAGTTTCGCGCGCTTTTTTAACTTCGCAACATTCCCGCGTATTTAGATCAGGCCATCCAAACACGGAAACTATTACGTAATGGTTTATTGGCAGCGTTCAATGATATGCTATGAATAAGGCGTAAATAAAGATGACCGGCTTATTTTGTGTTGCATTGGACTGTTGCGAAGCTGCATGTACAAGTAAAATAACTTTCCAAAGGTCGCCATTTCGATTGCCAGAGCCATCATCGCGAGCAGCGCCGGTCCCATGCCAGAGTAAAGACCCTGGGTACGAGGTTGGCCAGCAACAGCGCCCTGTCTTGTGCACTTAAATGGCTTTAAGCAAGGTGTATTGTTTCGTTAGTTCTAGATATTTTCTATCCAAAATATCCCAAAAAGCAAGGCAGTAGCAATGGTGCGTGGCTATCCACTGATCTCAGGACTGGCCCAAGATATATTATTCCAACATAACTGTGCCAAATTTCACTGCATATTTTCCTTCCTAGTTATTTCGATGGCAAATCATGAAGAGACGGAGCTCGTGAGAATGCTGACAAATCTTACAAGCTACAACAAGTACGTGCGTCCAGTTTTGAAGGAAAGTAAACCTGTTGTCGTTAGACATGGAATTATCCTTAAAGAAATTTCCGACATAGTAAGTATAAATAAAGCATGGGTCATCTCACGCTTCGTTTAATCTCGGGTAACCGGGCTGATGTAAACAGCCGCTTATTTCAATACCCGCTCAAAGTCATCTCACGTTTCGTTGAATCTCGGCTAAGCGGGACCATGTAAATAGCCAGTATAATTCCGTTCATTTACGTATTTCTTTTGGGAAAAGAGAGCGAAGCTTAAAGTGGAAGTCAAGTCCGTTCTGCACATAGGTTCTGCTCATAAAAGGTGTGGGCCTTCTGATGAGAAAATTCCCTAAATTTCGCATGTTTCTTATTTTTTCTTAACATAAACTCTAGTTCATATTAATTTAGAAGCGTAACGAACCTAAATAGTGTTAGATATTCAGACAGCACATCGTATTAAAAAAAATGTGAAGTTCAAAATGTAAACAAACCATTTGTTTACATACAGACTTGACTTCCACTTTAATTGTAGCCATAACACAGATTATAAGATATAAACACAAATTCTTTATCAATTTTTGTTAACTTTTAGTGCCTTTTTTCCCTTACCAGAACGAAAAACAGCAGAAGATGATAGTAAATGTTCTACAGAAAATTGTAAGTTGAAAAAAAAAATGTTTGTCAAGAATTTTTAATTGTTTGTTTACATTATGACTGGGCGTCACCTTTAACTATAGCAAATAATATAATGCAGCTAGATGATAAAAGAAGGGAAGATCGTGAATGGGGGGAATACTGATATATTCATTTTAGCAGACCGTAAAAACAATCAATTTCAAAAGAAATTAACAAGGTTGAACGTGAATATGTGATGAATATCCCCCTCCACCCCCCCCCCCCCCCCCTCTTACGATCTTCAGCGGTCCCTGATAATAACTACAGTGACTATTTGCGACTGTTGCGCATTAATCATGGCAGGAATGGAAAGATGAAATTTTGAACTGGAATCCGGCAGATTACGGTGGAATTAAAGAGATAAACATCGACTCATCACATTTCTGGATACCGCGCCTGTTACTCTATAACAAGTATGTCAACTTGGTAAACCCGTACAGTACATATTTAAACTAGTTTATACTTAGAGGGAACGGCAACACCAATTGACCATAACAAAAAAGATGGCGGATGTACATTTTACTAGAGTGCATTGCGGTCGGAAATCGTTTAAAAAAGCGAACCGACGTCTTTTAAAGTACAGGCGTGAAACAGGAAGTTATTTTCTTCGCAGTGTTAAAATTTCACGTCATTTCACGTCATTAGGAGATTTCTTGCCTTTGTTTTTCAGTCAATCATTCTTAATGCCCGCAATGCATTCTGGTAAAATGTACATGCCGCCATCTTTTTCGTTACGATCAATTGTCTCTATATTCATTGCTAATGATTTGCTCCTGGGTAGAATATGTACAAAAATACCACCACATTTAGAAAAACAAAATTTGAATCGGCCCATTGGTGTGCAAAGTATTTAATATATTATCAAATTAAATTATATTGCTAATATATTGCCATTTTTGATTGTTCTTAAGTTTAGCTTTTATTTTAATTTATTAAATTCACTTATTATCATTAATAAAATAAATTTATATATTATCTATACAACTCGATACATATAGCTTTTTTCTCAGTTTCTTGCTTATTGCTGGGGGATCTAACCACTTTGGGTTTTAACCAGTATCCACTTGGGGAGTGCATATATTTTCACTATAATTCAACTTTACATGTTTCTCTCAAAAGTGCGGACGATAAATACCCCATTGAACGCGACGACGCTAAAACAAGACTGTTGTTGAGATATAATGGCAGTATCACTTGGATTGTTCCAGCAGTTCTGAAGAGCTCGTGCAGAATTAACGTCAAATATTTCCCACTAGACGAACAGGTAAACCGTAGACGACTAAATATATTTCACGTTTCAACCATGCATGCAAATCATTTTCACTGCCACTTCTATTTTTCAGTTCTGCAGCTTACGTATTGGCTCATGGACGTTAGACATCGACCGTCAAGACATCAATCCAATCAACACCGAAATTGACTTATCCATGTTTTCTCCGAACAGTCAATGGGAACTTCTTGAAACATGGGCACACAGGCATACTTTGAGACACAGTTGCTGTGCCAAAGATGTCGCGCAGATACAGTATGATATTCATATCAAACGCCTGCCATTGTTCTACATATCAAATTTTATACTACCATGTGCCCTCATTGCAGCCTTAACAGCTATGGTGTTTTTGACACCAGCAGGTACGTCATTCAGTCTGCATGGTACCACTTAAACGTTGCTATATGCCTTGGAGCGATAGAAAATACCATTTACACTTGCGATTTTTGCTGCAATCTTTCTCTTTTGATAGATGTGAATAAGTAATTAGTTACGAATGCTCTGATGTATAAGAGCGCTTATTTTAAAATCGGTGACTAATTCAGTCGTTCACGTCTATGAAAAAAAGAAAATCGCGCCTTCGCGTCTCATCTGTGGCCAAAAAATGATCCAACAATTTTAAGTAGAAATTAGCGATCAAAATTTAACTCGCCCAATTGAGTAAAGTAAAAAGCAAATTTGAATTTATCATGAAATTGAAAAACTGTGGTTTTCCAACGGTAACTCTCGAACTCTTAACACGCGCGATCAGTATTTATAGTTATTTTAGCCATCATAAGAAATTGGAAAAGGCATTGTTAATGAACTAAATAACTCATTTTTTCTTGCAATGGAAAAATTAAATCTACTGTATCGCAAATTTGGAGGCCAAAGATTGATACGTTTATCGGTTTACTTAACAGAAACTGGCGAACAACTTGCAGTCGGTGTAACCATATTGCTTTCCCTTGTCGTTTTCTTCCTCATGGTGGAAACAAGAGTGCCCAACACTTCAGATCACCTTCCGTTAATTGCTAAATATTACTGTTGCACAGTGATCGAAATATCTGCTGTTTTGGCTATTACCTGTCTTATACACAAGTTTGAACACCATAGCGCTGAACCTTGTCCTCCATGGGTGCAGGTATGTGCAACTTCTGTTACTTGTTTTCGCTTGAGAGTACTTTTTCCAACCAAAACGCAACAATGATCTCTGACCTAGTTTCTCCGTTATTTACACAAAGTTAGGGAAATAGTAGATTAATAACAACCGCTAACGTCATCTTGCATGAATATGGTCTATATCTTTGGTCTGATATGCATGACGCTGTAGCCTGGGCAAAGGTCAATTCTTTAATCTGAAAATTGCGTTATGTGCTTATGTGCAAGTAAGTTTTCTCATTACTTTGAAAATCCCCAGTACCCCCCCCCCCCCCCCCCCCGTAGGCCCTGTTAATTTCACATGCAGTACTAGCAATGCATGCATGGGAGTTGCATGCATGTATATTCTCAGAGCTATCAATTTCACAAAAGTTTCGTGAAAGGTTAACCACTCTCTAATATCCCCTTTTCTTTAGGCCCTGCATATTAGAATTTGATATTACTTCATTGTAGAAATACATAATCGGGTATATGGGAAGGATGGTTTTCATGACATTTGAACAAAAGAAAAAGAAAAAGGTTCAAGTAATATCAGTCTCTGGAGGAAGCAAACCTGTCCCAGACAAAGTAAATTTGGACACAAAAGTACCTAAACCGCAAAATTCATGGATGAAAAGTAAGAAAAACATAAATCGCCTTATTTATTCACATTATTAAATTGTTATCAGTAATTGCATGGCTAGAGGCCGACTACGAAATCCTGTGAAATGATGTTTTAATTGCATCATCTAGTCCACAGAATTTATATTTTCATACGTTGTTGTATTTAAATTATGTCAATAAACTCAAGGTAATAATGATATAGAATAATAATGATTTAAAAAGGTTTAAATGCAGCATTCTTGGTTAAATATTATTTACAACCGCTGTCCTCGAAGCATAAAACACCTATTATTCAAAACACTGTGGACGTAGGAATAGACTCCTTTCGGCAAAAATACAAAATGTCAGCACGGCGAATAGCACGGTCAATCTATTGTAACTGCACCGAATGAAGCAGTGCATTCTGTGCTTTGCAATAAAAAAGGAACGAGAAAAGCTGCAAAAAATGCAATGTATTAAAGATGCAATATATTTATCTACTTTCTAGAAAAAGGATTAGGGAAACTGCTGCAGAAAAATGCGGAGCCGAGTCCGTTTGAAGGCAACAAAAACGTTACAATCATTGCGGACAATATGAGAGACAGCACAGCAAGTGAAGCTCTAGAAATGCAGTGGAAACATGCAGCTAATATCCTAACACGATTCATGTCATTGGTATATATACTGGCAATAACCATCACTTTCTTTGCAATCATTTGTAGCAAGGATGATCAAGGGCATGTGTTTCCTAAACAAAAGTAAAACCCTTTACTCAGCCGCGACATTTTGAAATATATATATTGTTTATAGATTCATTAGGTTGAGTGTCAACAAAGCCCACGTTGTATAGCTACTGTCATCGCACGTATATGCGATGTATACCAAAGGCGTGCTCGATCTTTAAAAAAATCAAGAATTGGTGATGCGCGGGGTTTTGCAAATGCAAGATCATGGTGCATAATTGCATGCATGCGGAACAGGATTGCGCGAGTTGAGATATGTTTTTGTTTTATATCAGAAAAGAGCAAAATAGTACTATAAGTACTATAAGTCATGTGCACGATGGAAATAAAATATTAGGCTGAACTAAATAAAACAGGAACCACTATATATAATTATAATCCTCTTAACCGATTTAATAATTTAAAAGATATATCAGTTCAAGATTTAGGGAGTATTATTGTGATAATATTCTTGTATAATTTGGCACGATGACCACAAATAAGTGAATTAGCTTCTCGGTACACCACGTAAGTTTTCAAATTCAATACTGCAATACTGCACTGATGAGTATGGCCCGGGTTAACGGACCGAAAGCTTTGTAGTATTAAATACTTACGTGGTGTACCTACAAGCTAATTCGCTTATTTACATAATATTACTCATATATATAGCTGGATAAGATAAACTTTTGCGAATCATTTTTTATCCTCTTTAAATAAAGTATCTTATCTTGTGTTATCTTTACTGTTGTCAACTAGCTGATGAAAAGTTAATGACCTATATATACACATTTTGTGTTATTAGCAACTTAATAAGATCCAAGATGCGACAGCTCGACGACGGGCGTGAATTTAAATATTTTCATGCAAGATCAAAAATATTGCGGAATAATTTGTGGCCTCAAGAGTATACTAGACAGCGTTGTTATTCTCCACACAACGTTGAATTTACCATTATCACGTCTTGAGGACCTAAAAATTTGCTATCATGTGAGAGACATCAGACACCGCAAAGCTTTTACCGAACATTTTATCTTAAATTTAAATTGATGTCGCATCGCCGTCACATTAAACATTGTAATATTGTATATATACGTAATAATAAACCCCTTTAAACCCTGGATCTTACAAAACATATTACAACAGAGGAACAACATCCGGATCCGAACTTGGCAGTCCCACCGACTCCCACAAAAACACTTCCTAACCCGCCCTGACGCAATCTCGTTTGAGCGAGGCGTTACCCAATAGCCAATACACAAAGATTAATATTCATAATTTATTCAAAGTAGAGCAAAACAATCGGACAACGGCTCACACCTACATCAACTGCTGGGCAGAGACTAACCACAAATGCCACAGAGTTAACCCACTCAAGAGTTCACCCACTTATGATTGTCTTCCCACACATATTGCATTACAGATAAAACATATATTGCCCTCCATTATACACTTTATCGACGATGGCTTGATAATGATAGCAAATAAATAAATATACCAAATCTATCGAATTAATAAGGTTTGCCTGTACGGTGCAGTATTACACAGTTAAACATTTATAATAGTCTTAGTGCAGCATTGGTAGTCATTTAATTAAGCAGTGTTGCATTTGAATGTGCAGTGTTGAAATTTGACTGAAAATCTGATGTGATTTTATTAGTATATTAAGAATGGAAATCGAGGTAAAATGAACAACTTGCCATGGCCAGCGACAAGGCATTTATCCACGTTGGTATTTCGATGACAACATAGTTTAGATAAAAGGTAGACATTTTACCTTATGTGCCTTAGCTCCCTTAGAGTCCTTTCCATGGTCATGCTGCTTACTGAATTATAAACATGTGCAGTATTAACATTAGAATCGGTTTTGTCATGAAGGTTATATAGTCCGTGTATCAGATCAAAACGAGCGGTCCAAAGGCAAAGGCAAAGTTTATGGGGTATTGGAATTATTACAAAATTCGGCCAAAATCTATATCCGTGATCGTGTACTAGTTTGCTGAGAGAAAATGAAAACATTTGGAAATGCCGTATACCCTCCGAAGATACCATGTTGTAAACTAAAGTCTGACAAAGACACATAAGCCCCGTTTACACCACGACCACACTCAATAATAATTATATTGGCGGCAAAGCAGGGCTAAGCTTGTAACCTATATACCCAGATACCATGCATACCCAATTTTATTGGTGTTCTTGCAGGCAACTACGAGCGAACACGGATGAAATTGGTACTTTAAGACAGATACCGTTCTCTAGTCTAGATGCCAACCACTATAATGCATTTAATAATTCCAAGTAAAACTTTTAGCTTTATGTAGCAGACTTCCAAATAAAAAATCAATGTTAAAACTAAGTGAAAAAAAAATCGAAATTATCGACGTCGATACTGAAAAAAAGTATCGATAGCAATTAGCTACTAATTTACAGAATTCTTAGTTTAGCATTGGTATTTATTATTAGTATTTTGCATCGATCGATGCCGCACACCAAGAATTGGCATGAGTGGCGTATATTTATTTTTCGAATACCTCGTAGATTTTACAGCGAATCTGAGACCTTAGAATCGTTGGTGTGAGCATTTAACGTTGTCTTCTTAAAGTTATTTTAATTCATTTTAGAAGAAATGCAATTCAACCCTGTAAAGCGAAAAATTGAGTTTCGCAAGACACTTGTATTTACCGCCATCTTGGTTTCCTAGTAACCGTGGTTAGGTTAATGAAGTAATTTATTCAAGATCATTAAAGTGGATCAAAGGATAAGTCGTGGGTGTCAGGCTTGAAATCTGATTGGTTAGCAGAAAGGTCGGACGTCTGCGAAGATAACATATTACAGACGGATTTTGAATCTCTAAGTTATCCGCATGAAGCGTATAAAAACGAGATCAAGGCGACAAAATATCATCATTCACATTTCCCGCTTATACAGCTTGTTTCGAAAAGTATATCGTTCACTCTCTCGAAAAGTTTAAAATGTCAGGACGTGGCAAAGGTAAAGCTAAGGGTGTCAAATCGAAAACCCGTTCGTCTAGAGCTGGTCTACAATTCCCTGTCGGTCGTATTCACCGTTTGCTGAGGAAAGGAAATTATGGTGAGCGAGTTGGTGCTGGCGCTCCAGTGTATTTGGCAGCTGTCCTTGAATATCTGTCAGCTGAAATCCTCGAGTTGGCCGGCAACGCAGCCCGAGACAACAAGAAGAGCAGGATAATCCCAAGACATCTTCAATTGGCCGTTCGCAACGACGAAGAATTGAACAAACTTCTTTCCGGAGTCACCATAGCACAAGGTGGTGTTCTGCCGAATATCCAAGCTGTCCTCTTGCCCAAGAAGACCGAGAAGAAGCAGTAAAGTTCTTCAAATTCAAAGAATTTAAAAAAACCGGCTCTTTTAAGAGCCACCAATTCTTACAAAGGAATTTAAACGAAATCCGAGTGATTGTTTGAAATAGTTCGCCATATAGCCATAAGCCTTCCATTCACAATTGGCACATACATAGTTCGTACACTTCAACGCTCGAAACTGCTTTTCTAGTAGAGTATGTTATTTACAAAGTTAACTCCAAAAAATATATGCACTTTTCTCCGGATGAATACTGTTCTAAGACCGTATATAAAACGGCACGAGCAAAAATTGTTTACTAGTTTATCATGCCATTTTCTTGTTGGTGACGAGTGGCCTTAAGGTAAATTATATGATATAACACTGTGTTATATATATTCCCTGTCTAACCAAAGGCAAAGGCAGGAATTCGTTCAGCAGAAATACTTAATTTTGCATCCTTGAACCCATATTATATTCATAGCTCTGCCTGTGGCATTCATGTTTTATTTATTTAAAAACTTTTCAAATAAGGTTTATAACATATATCCAATATGATTATACTCAAAAATAACATCAGGCGAATATTGTACGCGTTTATAGCTACCATTACCGCGTTTCAAATAGACGTTGTTTCCCCAAAGCGCCGAAATACTCCAATTACTTTAATACCTATTTTCGGAGGTCAAATTCCCGGTACTGAACTACCCCGAGTAACCTTATTAACAATGCAAACAAAAGTATACTTATTCAGCAACCTCAACTTGTCTGTTTACGAATATGATATTCATTGGATATTTCAGTCGTTTTTCACTAAACGTCTTTAATCGAAACAAGAAATCATAAGGCTCGAAACCATAATATTGTTAACCGCTGTCCAGCAAGGCAGCGAAGGTGAAAGCGTCTGCGCATGTGCATGTGTATATATATATATATTATAATATATATATATATATATATATATATATATATATATATATAAATATATATATATATATATATATATATATATATAATGTACAATAATAAAGCCTTGTCCTGCATTTGGCAATTTTATTTTTGTAATTAATCAAACGCACTTCACTACGTGTGGTTTTCATTTAACGTTAACCCTACCTGTTGACGATATTTTTTCGCGTGTGTTTAAATTCCATATTCCAGGAAGGAGGGCTGCCTTATTTGCTGAAGACTTGGTTGAGAAGTTAAAGCTAAAGTTGAAAAAAAAGAGTTAACTATAAACAAAGTTAACTCTGAAAACAAATGCTGATCACTAAGGTAAAACGGCCCTTACAGCGTTTAACAGTTTAAAATAGTTAACTTTTGAGGTTTTAACTGTAATGATACTAATACTAATAGTACAAAAAAGTTCTCTGATTGGCGAACGACTTCGGCCGCCGAAGCTCGAAGGCGAGGTGAATATCGCTGAATAAAAACCGAGACGAAGTCGAGGTTTTTATTCAGCGATATTTACCTAGCCTAAGGTGAATAATTGTTTTAGTATAGGTGATTTACAAAGGTGATTTATTGAGAAAGCGAATCTCTTGCATAAAATAGATGTTTTACAAATGTAAACAAATATCTGGACAGTTTTACGGCGATTCAAATAAAACAATGTTTTCGCAAAATAAAATAAAAGCGTTCTACAAAGTGATTTTTTACCTTGAGAATAATTTTGTGCCTAATTTTTTCACTACTTTTGTTTTTTCAGGTTCAGTATTTGTGTTCAAGTAACGTATTTCCTCATCTGTCACTTTGGCAAAAACAACTCGCCGCCATTTTGAAAAATTCACTTAGTTGATTATCGCGTAATAATCCGAGGTCGTTCGATCAGAGGCCAGATATTAATAACTTTGTAATTATACCACTGTGTAAAGTATATTCTAATTAACAATTATTTGCCGAAGGCGAGGTGATTATCGGGGAATATTCACAGATACAAAACGAAATACAAATTCCGAGACGAGACTAAATACAACTTCCAGTTCAAAGTGCACAAAATTTATCAGTATTATGATGCATTTCCTATTTTAAATAGTATAATTAGTATTTACAGAATGCATTTATTATTATAAATACATTCATGCTAAATTCATTTCTTAATTCAACCTGTACATGTTGATTTTGACGCGCAAGCGTAAAAAGCACGTCGAGAATTTGTCAAGTCCCTTAGGCTTAGAGTTGTGGCATCTTCGTTTCAAAATGTGGCATCTTAGTTTCAGTTTACAGACTGACACTGCCGCTATAGGCCTATAGTTGGGGAATAAGTAGAAACACTATAGAAGAAACGACCCTGATTGCACGAAGCACCCACAGGCTAAGATTACATGCATTATTCCCAACCTTATGACCCCTAGACATTGCAATCCGATCTGATATTTACATCACTGACAAGGAAGCTGGAATTTGAAAGCAGATTGTTTAAGCCAAAATGGACAGAATGAATGTTTTCCATCGTATTTTTTTCCTGCTGTTCTTTCTTTTCGCTCGCAGTGACGCTTCAAACCAAAGTTTGTATAAAGTCGACATTGATACAAAGCAATATGTCTATCATACGGACGAAAAGTTTCTTTCAATCGCTCTGGGTTCGTCCTTAATCAGAGATCGTTGGAAGCACTTTGATTTTGGTTCGGAAAAGCTACACAACCTTGCCAAAGGTCTGGCGCCAGCCTACCTAAGAATAGGTGGTACATATGAAGACTTCTTATTGTTCAACCCACATGAAGACCATCACAACGACCTAACTCGAACAGAAAACACGGATGCTTTCAAAACATCATGTGATCAACAAACGCATTCATCATCCCATGAACAACAACGCGTAGATCCTCTTACCAACTTCACAATGACTAGAGACGATGTAAACAAGCTATTTAAATTTGTCAATGAAACTGGATTGAATATCATATTTGGCTTGAATCTTCTTCTGCGAGATTCAAATACACGCCATTGGAACTATACCAATGCAAAGCAGCTGATGGAATATATCCATGCTCTGGGTTTTAGCTGTAGCTGGGAACTTGGAAACGAGCCTTTTGATCTTCATGGTCTAATTAACTGGACGATAACTGGTGAAGAATTAGCTTTCGATTTTAAAATCCTCAGAAAGTTGTTAAATGAGCATCCGGAATACGGTCAGATGATAGTAGGACCGGACGTGTCATCACCATGGAAACCACCACTCAGGGATAGGTTTTTAAAAGACTTCTTAACTAACGTGGATGGAAGCATAGATGGGATGACATATCATCAATATTACGTCAATAACCAAGCTGAGGTGTCCAAGTTTTACGATCCAAAAATCTTAGACGATCTTATTACGGAGATACAACAGGTGGAAAGTATTATGAAAGAGTCTGGTGCGAGCTCCATTGACTCTTGGCTTGGAGAAACCTCAAGTGCGTATGGTGGAGGTGTACCAGGTGTTTCAAACAGCTTTATAGCTGGGTTTATGTGGCTTGACAAACTGGGGGTTGCTGCAAGGCTAAAACAAAGTGTCGTCATAAGACAGACATTTTATAGTGGATCTTATTCATTGATAAATTCAAAAAATCTGGATCCTTTCCCAGATTATTGGTCAGCGTTCCTTTACAAAACGCTGGTCGGCTCTCGAGTGCTTGACGTCCATAATAGCATATCCTTTGGTCGCACCATCCGTGTTTATGCTCACTGTATGTCAGAGAGATCCTCTTACAATCCTGGTAGTTTAGTTCTGATAGCCCTCAACACCCAACACGAAGACGTACAATTAGTGTTGACAAATGGATTGGAAAAGCTGACAGTTGATCAGTATTTGTTAACACCAGGGGAAAAAGGTAATCTGATCTCACAGACAGTTAGACTGAATGGAAAAGTACTTCAAATGGTCGACGATACATTTTTACCAAATGTAGAACCTATTTCAATATTACCCCCGGATAAGATAAGCTTACCCCCAGTATCCTACGGTTTCTTTGTTATCCCTGACGCTCGTGTGGAAGCATGCCAATCTGACATGCTGAGTTAGTTTTTTGTCAGCCTAAATAATAACTTTCACTGGTATAAATTGATTTTAAAATAAAAGGGATTATAAAAGAGATTTTAAAATAAAAGGCATTGCATTGAGCAGTCGGTTAAAATAAAAATAACGGTTTTCTTTATCTCCTGCAGAAATATGGATAGTGTTATTGATTATTCTACAGCACTAGCTGTTCTATACCACTATATTAAAATTTTGGTCTTTGCTTTTGGTCGGTGAAAGACAATTTTTTTGGTTTTAATTTCTTTCAATTATATATAGTAATCCGACCTTCGTCGGTACAACCATCCCCATATACCAGTAAAATACGACTGACTTTGTTGCTGCAAATAATGCAGCAGTCGTTTAATATTAAGATTTTGGCAAATCATTCGTTGACAAATTCAAATGTTAATGTACTCAGTATTCTATACTATAGGGAGATGAGGATTGCCTAACCGCCTAGCATAAAATTAACTAACCTTGGCGGTCTTTACAGTGGCAGAACTTTGTTATCTCTCCATAAATTGTGTTCTAAAACGATAGAGAACACAGAACAAAGTAAGCCTTATCAAACCGTAAAAAGCGAACTATGCTGATGATAGATTTATAAAAAAAGCTGTCATGGCTAAATCAGCCTGCCGTGTCCATGTGCATGAACTCAACAAAACGGGTTGAATTTATGTACAATACGGTATGTTGATTTACTTAGTTTCTTTGAATTACCTGCAATGGCATTAGACAGTATTTGGTAGCAATATCCTTCAAAATTTCTTCAATGAACACCAGAAAAACGGACAGAAAGACGGCCATTGCCGAAGTATATCTTCTTATTAATTACAAAGCATAACTGTTTGCATGCATGCTTGTCTTCAAAACCCAAACTTCCTTCAGTTAATCACACGTCGCGGCAAATTCCTTGATTCTGATTAGCCGGAAAGAACAAAACATTATTACCCTGATTGGTTCATATTGTTCAATATTTCCCCAACTGCATGCAAGTGAAAACGTAATGCTTTTAGCAAATTTGCAAGCATGCTGCCTTATAAAACATCACCAAAAATAATTCGAGGGCTGCATGCTTTTAGGAATTAAACAAGCTGAAGCTTTAACACGGATTTCGTGAATTAGCCGACATTTTACTATCGTGTTTTAACCATGACTTTGTATTGACAGGCAGTGTCAACTGGTAATGTTGTGATAACCACAATTTTATTATGTCTGACGAACGGTATAGACTTTGTTGTTATCATGAATCGTACCTCCTTATGTACAAACGTACAAAGTAACTGACAACGTTTAGCGCCGAATTAACAATTAGTGCAATTATAATGTAAAGTAACTGAAAAGTGTGATTCTTCTCTATACTTTTTTCAATCCAGGCGGCCGCCATGTTAAATAGTATAACTGTAAGGGTAGCGCATGCATAAGAGTATACGGGTTCTAAAAATACTGACGGCAGCAACAAATGATTTTGGCAATAATAGCCCGGCTATAGGCCTGTACCAATCATACAGATTTTGGCAAAGATTTCAGTCCGAATACAGTCCGAAGATTGCCCGATTGCCCATGCATGCAAGTACAAATTGCCCGAATTATCACAAATTTTGACTAATGTGGAGGCTGAAGCCCTCCAGCACTCTGTATATATATATATATATATATATATATATATATATATATATATAATTATATATATACACCCATTTGCAAAAACGTTGGCCACAGATAGCGATAGATAGATAGATAGATACTCGAAATCTAATTATAATTGCATATGTTGTGTAATATGATTGAAATCCCATGCAAATGTAATCATATGCAATTCTAATTAGACTTCGGGTATCTATCTATCTATCTATCTGCGGCCAACGTTTTTGCAAATGGGTGTATATATATATACGATATACGGTATATATATATATATATATATATATATATATATATATATATATATATATATATATATATATACGATGCCCATCAGGCTTAGCGTGGCTAAAGAAAATCTTTAGTCTACCTTCCTACCCATACCTTTAGTCTAGTCATTATTTTGAGCAATATTGAGGTCGCAAGACTCTGTCATCTTTGGGGTACTCAAGCGAAACAAACTTTGGAGTTTATATATAGTTCATGTTTATTTATGCTAAATTTAGTGATAAAAACAAATTGTTATCAAGATATACACACTTTCAGGTTTCAACCCGTGTTATCATGTTAACCATATGCTAAAAAATCGATTGTTATAAAGCTAAATAACGGTCACGTACGCGTTTCTCTGAATAAGAAATGATATGCTATGACAACAAGTAAAGAGATAAAAACCATCTTAATCCATGAAGCCGATTCCTTTAACATCACAGAAGACAATACTGGGTATCTTGCTGAACGGTTGCGGCGAGAGAGCGCTTCGCTTTTAAAATTGGTGATGGTAAGATCGTCTAGATTATCTTGTACCCGTATTTCGAGATTCACTTTGGACTTGGCCTGCTCCCTCGCTGTGGCAAACTGCTGTGAAGCTAACCTGCTAGCCGCTTTCGTAAACTCCAAACAGTCCGATTCCAACTCGCGGTAATTTCCAAGCTGAAGTGCCGTTATGTACGCTAAAACCTGCAGTGCTTTGAAGCTAGTTAGTACGTTACAGCAAAGAAACAACGGGACTTCTTCAAACTGTCTAGTCAGCTGATTGACATAAACAGCATACCGGCTTGTGTCGTCGGTCGAGAATGCCAAGTGAATGCGAATAATATCGACTTCGTAACAGGAACTGAATCTGTGCCAACCAGTCATATTGTACGGAGTTTCACGCGACTCTATTGGTATAAAATACAATACAGCATGGCTATTTCGGATGCCGATGAAGCAATGGTATCCATCCCAATCATTCTTACTTATCAAGTGTGTGTGTTCAACGAAGTCTCGGCATTTCTTTGCCAGGCCTTTGTCATCGGCCTGAAGGCGGCTAGGAAGTAGATTTTCCCAATCTTTGATTCGGTCGAAAATGGATTCGGAAAGTCCTTCCACATAGTGCGTAAGCTTGAACCCCTTAGATTCAGCGAATATGTCAAATTTGACAAGATTACTGTCCAAGTAAAGCCGCATTGACAAGTATTTTTCATGGAATTGTTGAGGACTGTCTGATCAGGAAACCTTAGTAACCGCGCATCCACGCGTGGAGCGGGTGGTATTATCTCCCCAACCTAGTTTGCATCGCCAAAGTTTTTGCGCTCTCACTTGAAATTTTGCAATAAGTCTCATTGTATTAGTCTTGAAACATTCACAACTGACCAGTGCACAATTCAAATTGTTAGTGCATCATCACAAAGATTTTGACATTGTAGGCCTGTATATACAATTATATATTAATGCCAAGCCTCCTATGTAATTTTTATCTGATATTTAAAAACCAGCTGTGTTTCGTTTGTTCGTAATAAAGTCTGCCCGTAATAAACCACATTTTTAAATGCCCCTGTTCTCAGACCTTTGCCCTTTTACCAGTACAGACCCTCGAATCCCAAAGAGTAAAAAGCAAATATATATATATTTTTTTTTCAAAGAATAGATCGAATGTACATGTATTTACAATATAGTTATGTTAATATTAAAAAAAGATCAACTTTTAAGAAACGAATTTGGAGGTGGAACATTTCAATGTGGAATTTAAGATAAAGAACTTTTGCTGATGATGCATTGACGAGATCATTTAAATAATTAATTTATGGTGCGATAAACTACACTTGAAAGCTATCTTTTTACGAATGTTTATGTCCTGAAACGATTCCATCGGTCATTCCCCATAAAGGCTATAATGGTTTGAAGGGTAAAAACCATTGATAAAAATAAACATGGATTGAGCATTACTAATGTCAAATGTTGAAATCATGTAGGCACTAGATCGCCGCCATTTTGGTATTCCAGATTCAGTGCTCCGATTGGCTTGTTCAGACACTGATCCATATATACCCTAAAACATAATTTAGCCTTTTTTTGGAACTTCCGATTCGTGGATTACTGATGGTAAAATCCAGGTTCATTATCGTATCGATGAATAAAACCTTTAATATTTTCCTGGCTATTTCTCTAATCTGCCAGAAACGTGAGTGTCACTAACTTTAGTTGGCAACATTATTTAGATGTAATGTCTGCAGATGTATCACGGGGATCTCAAAAACGTTTACAAAAGTTCCTCGCCAAGTTGCCAACGCTACAAAGTACTACAATTTTAGTCACATTTAAATATATAAGTTATGAGGAATATTGAAATCTTGAAATTCACTGATGATTACTTAGTTTTTAATTCCTTTTTGAACTTCTGTTTCATGATTTCATGAATGGTTGTTTTTTTACCATTTTGGGGCGCACGGCAAATACATTATTTTAATTTACTTTTCACATTCTTTTAAATTAATTAGTAAGTCTTGTTATAGCTTTCGTAACCACCACCGAACGCCGAATTATTAATTTAATCAACTTTCTTCTATGACTGGTTCGGGGATTCCACGAATAGACTGATAATTTTTATTTTCCAGTCGACAATTCCAACTCCCAATCCTTCTTCTTAATTTAAAAGCATCAAAGTGCCTGTGCATCTTCGTTTAGTTCGAGATTCAGAGGTATTGTAATTGTACTTGTCGGTCGCTCTTGGTAAAGTTTGGAACTGAATGCAACTGGTGGTTCCTTGCGTTTTGGTTTTGGTTGATTCCTGACATCAATACAATAGTAATTGCAGGTTATTATCGTTTACCTACTCTATGTTGTGTTGTGTTCAAGTACTAGTGGGTCAATATAATGGTGTGATAAGAAATAACCGCCTCTCTATGTTTCACGTTTCTGAAGTTACATGCAATCATTACCAATGAATACAGCCGTTCTATCCTTAAATTTGAGATGCATGATGACGTGACATTTGAAATGCAATTCGAATCTAAACGAAGCTAGGCGTGAAGCTAGGCGTGAAGCTAGGCGTGAAGCTAGGCGTGAAGCTAGGCGTGAAGCTAGGCGTGAAGCTAGGCGTGAAGCTAGGCGTGAAGCTAGGCGTGAAGCTAGGCGTGAAGCTAGGCGTGAAGCCAAGGGTTTTCTGGGAAGTATGTGTCTTTGCAGCAAGTTAGAAGTGCTTATATTAATCATTGAAAGATTATCGTGAATATAGACATTCTTTGGGTAATTGAAACACCAAAGACAATAAAAATAAACTCACCTTTTAGTAATTAAAATATAAACAAGGGATAATGTTAAAACCAAAATAAGTAATGCCATGGTAATATGAATGATAATGTGTTTTCTCTGTGATCCCCAAACTACAAAAATAAAGTTATATAAGATATTACTGAGACAACCATAACTTACATTGTCCATGAATGGCAGATTCAGCTATAGGGCATTGGCTTTCAACATGCCAATGATTTTCTATGCTGGAAACGTGCAGACATTTTTTTCCCTTTAGGGAGTACAAATGCAGAAGAAAATATTCGAAACAGTCAAGTTTCCTTAAACTTAAAGGTACTTCACGGCCAAAGTTGCCATGTGCGAATTCTCTCAACCTGAACTTACTCGTATTATTTGAAGAATGTTTTGCAACTTTTGGTTGGGTTGGTGATGCAGTTGTTAGCGTAGGTGATAACTCTTTTTTAAACTTTTTCTCTTCTGTTTCTATATTAACGGTTGTGTCTTTGTGTTGTGTCGTTGGACTTGGATTCCTATGAGCTTGTTCTTTCCCTTCAGTGGCTGTCCAAAGCGTAGTTTCGGTTGTTTGCGCATGCGTTGTACTTGCAGTCGTTGTTGTTTTTCTTTTACGGTGGAATACATACGTGTAAGGGCACTTGGGCATTATAAATGGACATATTTCTGTGAAAGATTAAACGTTGTGAATCTTAATTGTAACCATACAAATTTGTGAGATCTGAATGGCAACGGTTCTTGGAATTGCAATGTGGAAACACCGCAAAGGTGTTGGCAATTCAATATGAGGATTCCCATCTATACGTACCATCGTGATCACAGACTTTTATTTTGAGTTTCATGTTATGCGTCTCACAGTGGCCTCCACTCAGATTGTCCAAGCTGTTTTTCGATCCATCTGAAGTCGCTGAAAGGAATAAATACGAGGATGAGACTTTATATACAAAAAAAATCGGATTGGTATTATTATGAGCACGTGAAAGGGATATATGCATAAACGGAAACTGTGCACGTTATGAAAGAATATGGTCAAAATATTCAACATGCACAATTTCGGTTCGCTAATAAATATGTATTGGAGTTTATGTTCAGAAAAATTCGGAACATGTAAAATTTGGTTATGTTTTACGTCAGAGGACCTTTACATAATCACATTCAAGACATTGTTATGAGCAGAACGGATGCGTAAAACAGATTGAGCTCCACGTCTTTTCTTTGTTGAAATGGTAGAATGCCTGGGTCTGTTTGCTAGATTATTGCATTGTTACTAAAGATCGATTTTCATGTGAGGCAACCCCCTAAATTGAAAGACAATCTTCACCCCTTTCCTCTTCCAGTTAAATGCTTCTTGCATTATCGCATAATTATATATCATATTATCGCATAATCATCGCATAATTACACATAACTTACAAATAAAATAGTACGTCTTTCCGCTTTTATATCTCATTTGTGTTGGACCCGCCCTGTTCGGCGAAAACGTTTCCTCCATGTACTTTAAATTTTTAGCATCCTGATCACATTTCAGTAACAGTCGATTAAGAGGCGCGTTTCGCGTCTTGTTCACGGTGCATGTTTCGTAGCCTTCTTTATCGACTAGCATCAAATTTTCGTACATCATGGATAGCCGAGGACCCGTGCTGCTCATGTCATCCCATAAGGCGAGGTTTGGACAAACGAAGAACAAATTCCCATTCGGTTTTATGTTAAATTCGTATCCCTTGTGTGGTGGCTTGTTGAGGTTGAATCTATAGCAAGATGAAATAAAAGTTATGATGTGGTTCGAAAATTGCATTCATAGCATTTCATAATTAATACAACGGTAACTCTGAATAATGAGAACATTTTAATTATGATTTAATTTGACGTTTTGACAAAATTCTGTTCTGATCATGATGACTGAACCACAAGGGAGAACTTCATTTTAGACCAATCAGCAATTTGGTTACATTTTCAGTAAGCCAATCAGAATGCATATTTATGCATTGACTACTTTCGGTATAGGCACATTATTTACTATTTTACATGAAGTATTAAATATTAAGACATTCTAATTGGCTTAGCCTAAGAAATGTAAACAAATTTGCCGATTAGTTTAAAACGAAATTCTTTCTTGTTTGACAAGCAAAATGAATCGAAAAGTAATGTAGTCATTGTAAGCTTTGTCCAACTCGTTTGCTGACAGATCTAGAATAACGCAAAGTGGTACACATAAGTATAGACTATGTACTGAGTACTGACGAGCATCTTTTTTATACAAATACAACAGCTGAGAGCTCTCAAAAACCCGGGTATTTCCAGGTTTCCTATCTATATATGGATTTTTTTACGATGTAAATGTTTTTCTGATTAATTTTTAACTTTGCACTTTGTAATTTAGTTTTAAATTGCGCAGAAGTGTAATTAACCATTTAATAATAATAATAATCCGTTAAATAACCCAAATTTACTTGCTGTATAGATACAATAAAGGAAATTAAACTGAGTTTATTATGCTCAGAACTTCGCATCTGTTTCCTGGTTCTTTGGTACTTTAAGTATAAAATTTTCACATGTTTCCCTCGCAAATTCTACGCGTCTGTATGTACATGCATTAACCCTCATCCTATATACATCCCCAAATATCACAAATGCAATTGGAAACAATCCAAAAAAAGCAACGTATAATCCCAATGCAAACATACTGACACTGTGTCTGTAAGATAAACAAGGCACCTATATTTATAAACATTTCAAAGGTTTCCGTCGTTGAAACATAAACTAGAAGAGCACTAGGTCTAAAAGCTCACTCGCACTCAAACTCATTGAGTGTGAAACTAGAATTTTTGTTATTCTAATCAATTTCATAATAAATAGAAAGGATTAAGGTAAAGCAACGCAAATCAAGCTCATATACGAGTAGAAATACCGGCATAGAAATGATAGAATCGTTAGACGTTACGAGGCGATCAAGATCCCCCGCTTAATGAGTTTGAGTATGAGTGAGCTTTTAGGATACAGACGTCAGTCTGCTAAAAGAGAAAAAGCATTGACCCATACCTGCAGTTTTTTGGAGCCCAATACACGGATGGGTATTGATAATATGTCGCAGCTTTTTGCAAATACATTGTACAAATCAAACCAATAAAAAATATTCCCCTTCGAGAATGGCCCATTTTCACTGCACACTACACTTCACCGCGAGCAACACTAAAAGAATAAACAAAAGTGACATTGAACATGAGACGAGAGCTTTATTTAATCACTTGTGTTTCCCCATAAATGGGGCTTTGTTGAGTGATACAGTACTCTAATTAAAGGCCCATTTCCTGGATTCTCGAAGGCTCGTACGACTCAGAATGAAAGCGATAGAACCTGATATAAAATATTATAAATTGTATAAGCATTCCAAGTGTTCAACTTCAAATTGATCTAAATTCGTTTCACGCGGCCAGTCAACTATTAGCTATTAAGGTACCGTATTGCTTTGCCCATATTCACGAAAGTTAATTAGATTCCGTGCAATTTTCGACACATCCAGACCTCACGGCATGATCCATAGTCAGTATAGAAATCATGTTTGGTTTGTAATAAAATATACTATTATTAGGATGCCTTCGTTCAAATGTAGCCATGCTATATATATATACACATGCTATATATATATATACGCTGTATATGTACGCTAGATCTGCATGAATATAAAAAACCGCTAAAAAAAACCTTACGACCTATATACTATTGACATACATAGCATGGGTTTTAGTTGGAACTGCGGTTTTAGAAACCTTGCATCCGCTGTGAGACTTTACCAAAACATTTGTATATGAACGACCAAATTTTCCATAATCCCTTATATATAGCTATTTTTGTTACACTACAGTCTATCCCCTGTGCGTTAATTGCATGTAGCTCGGTCCAAATTCTATTTCACCTCGTGAAAAGGGTAACAACATGCAACTCTCCATAGCCCAGTTTCGGCTGAGCGGTGAATAGAAAAACATAAAATATTAACAAGAGTGTTGATGCTGGATATTATCCTGACAATTAAAACGCCGACATTTGCTGAGAGTCTTGCCAAAAATCTTCTTATGAAGAAATAAACAAAGCATATAGAAATATTAAGCAAAATCCATCTACGAAGATGAAAGATACATTCAAATTTTTAAAGCATATTCATAAGCACGAGTTCTTTTGCAGACGCTATCACGACTTATATATGGCTTAATTACTCCAAATTATTATGCTAAATTCCTACAAGTGCATGAGGGATCCATTGCTTGAACTTGCGGCTCTGCTTGCAAATTTTTGTGCTATAAATATAAACATGCAGACACTCATGCAGACAGTATGCAGAACAACTCGATTTTAATCTTGTTTTTCTTATCAGACAATCAGTCTAGTCTAGGAACTGCAAAAATTCACTTCGGTTCCATAAATATTTTGCCCACATATACCATAACATTTGTGTGTACACATGCATATGTATATCATGAAACCTGTACTCTATAAAACCCACTCTGTCGCATAAATTATCAATGACAAAATCAATAATGCTGTTATACTTTATGTCATTTTCCCAAGATTTTCACTCCACAATGCCATATAGTACAATTTAAATGATATTTTTGTGGTTTGACCTCATCGCCACAAGTTAGATACTGTGCCTGTGGTTTCTAAAATGCCCGTGAGGCAACTAATAAGAGATAAGTTTGAATCTTTAACGTATACATGCAGCAAACATTTCTCAAATCACTTCCCACAAGGCAGCACCGGCGACCCATGCATACATGCAGTACATATGACAACACTCGTAAATAGTCTATCTGGTAAGCGATTTCACATGAGAATAAAGAGAAATCTAGGAAAATGTTTTACCTAAACGGTCTATGTAATGTTCTTATCCTTACAAGTTATGCAAAATATATAACATGCATATAGAAATATTCAATAATGTCCTGTAGCTAAATCTGTGCGTGATGATGGGGTTTTGTCAACAATCTTTTTGGCGATACAATCTTCTTGCTATTGTTCCTCACAATAATTTGGATTTTAAATCCTGATTGCATTGTCTATGTCTTTAGTTTATACAAGATCTGAACCTAGCTATACCTGATGCCCAACGTATCTCAGGATTTATACTCTATCCTAAATAGATAGCGCTGAGCTACGATGTTCCTTATATTGAATTGTTATCAGTGTATACTTCGTCGATTATAGTACAACTTATACTATTGCCTCGAGGCAAATGTTTTTATACTATAGGAAAACCGAGCAACAATGCTATCTGTGAAAATCTCTATGAAATCGTTAATCTTTCTAAAATTAATAGACAGACCAGCTTAATCTGTATAGAAATTGATTCAGCTGAAAAAATTAAAGTTATATTCTATATAGTCCAACATATGTAGAACTATACCAAAGTTATAGTAAACGGAGATAATATATACTGACTCCATGATAGAGTAATCATAATAATTTTATACTTATTGCTATTGATATATATTTCAGGTTTCCACAAACCCCGTCGAATCCAATCAATCTTCAGAAGCAAACGACAAACAGCCAAACTCCATGTCGCCTTCATACCATTTGCAATCACTGTGCAAGTATATCGAGATGGCTATGGCTATATAGTTTATCACCTGCCTAAAAGCACTATATGTACGAAGCTCTGGGAGAGCAAATGTAGACACGAAAATCTGACGTCAAATTAACAGCAAAGCTGTTGATACATTTATACATTTAATATTTTTCACAGCAGGTGCATTATTTAGGCAGAAGCATGATCTATTAACTCAATTAAATGGGAAAAGGCCACCCTGGTGGTCAAAACAGTAGAGAAAAAGCGAAGAACAATACCATAGGCAATTTGACAAATTGTATAAGTGGGGGTTCTACGTGTGCATGGATCGTGGCGAAACTATATTTCACGACATAAAATTTGTGCTTTTAAACAAGCTTAAAAGATTAAATTCCCACACACGCAACTGACGGTAGATTTGTCATAAACAGAAAAGAATCCTTTACTGAAAAATATCAAAGTGCCACTCTTAATATTCTTCTTGGGTCAGCAAGAAAGACATAAACCACAGCAGTTTATTGACAAAAGCACCCAGCGTGGTTCCGAATTTTTTTGGGAGAAATTATTTTCTGTTTTGTATAAATATTGCGAGGAAACAAATTTTTGTTCAAGTTTGTTACATGTAAGTGCGTAGGCAAGCCTTCAAACTGGTGGGAAATCTCAATTTTTCTAGTTGTTCATTATGTTGGCAATTCTCTTGAATATTCTTTGTGAAACTCTCTTCAATAGTATAATTGGATGAGGTATAATATCCTTGTCGGTGTGAAAATTGGTAACTTTTGCCCATTGTAGTTCTACTTTCGGCGTATACCTTCGAAATAAGCCTTTTCAAAACGGGATCGAAACAATTATTTCTGTTATTTATATATGCATGGCTGCATGCATGCATAAATCCTTATAACGAACTATAGAAGTTGATTCACACCTATATGTAATGCAGTTTGTACCATATCTAGGATTTGAAATAATTTAATCTCAATATATCTGTATTGAGTATATAAAATTGTCAAAATACAGGCACTGACAGCAGTTATAAATGAAGAAGACGTGATAACGTTTTAGTCTGATTTGATGATGAAACTGCGAGACTATAAGAGGAATCAAATCAGTTCTTGAGACATAGTAATACTAATACTTATGATTAAGGTGAACAATGTCTATACACAAGTCTCCATGGATTGACTAGAGCGTAATACTTTATCTATATCCAGCACGCGTTTATTCAGGTCCATATTTAGCTCACACAGACAAACATGTACGATTTAGTAGAGTTCATGCACAGTGCCGCTTTCTTAGATTATTATACAATCTTTATCAAATGAAATCGTAAATTATTTCACGATGAAATCATTCAGGTCAAGCTTAAATATAACAATCAACATATTACTATCAATAAACTTTTATTGTACTATATTATCCTTTTCCTTGTCATTTTATCGTTAGTAAATATGGATAATTAACTAGTTCTGCAAATGCAAAAGATGTGGATATATAGGCTATAGCTACTTATTATAATCGAAGCTTTGTAATGTTTTTTGTCAAAGTTGCTCATTTCGATTCATGCAATGAATAGCAGAATTATATAATATTCACTTGCTTAATAAGGTTTTCCTTCGACTTCCTCCCAGCAATATTGACGTAATCTCTTGGTGAACTTATTAGAATTGAATTTCCCATTCGTGCATTTATTCATCAGCGTATTTCCTCGAATTTTATTAAATGGATATTAAGATAGAAGTTGAAGGCTTCAATTTGATTTCAATCTGACGTGATTTTCCACAATCCGGAAGCCGGTACATGTAACACAATGGATTTACAGAGAAAGCTTTCATCAATTATTTAAAGGACCAAAGACAAAGTCAACTTTTACCTCTATTTTGCTAGGTGCTAATTTTTTATGAAAATTATGTAAACATTTCGAGGCTTGAAGTAAGGATTAGAAGAACAATCGTAAGATCTCAACCGACATTAAAAATCTGTATTATAAACAAACTTAAATCCTTTAATCTACAAAAGCTGTTTTTAACCAAACGTCCATGGAAGACAACTCATATATAATCACGAGCATAGTATTATTTTTCACATCTATTGCTTAGTTACCTTTGTTGAGGAATTATTTTGTTCACTTCTCAGTTCTCTCCATGCAACACGAAAGTTTGATTTATTCCTTTAGAAATGTTGTAACAGAAGCTGACTTCCAATCAGTTTTAAGGAACATACGCTTCTAAACGCATCATCTGTGCTTTAAATACAAAAGAACATTATGATTTCCGGGCCATCTAGGTCTTGCATTGTCCTAATCAGACTAAATATGCGCGTGGGAAGGTCTTAACAACGGAAATGGGATATACTGCATGTTGGCAGTCAAACCGTAATTTGTTGCTGTAAATAAACCGTATTCCCAATGAGATATCCGTGCACTGCGCGCAAAAGCCGTTTTTGTTTATGATATATTTATTCTTTGAACAAAAAGTCTACATCAAAAAACAGTTGTTTGTACTTATATCAATTCGCTAATAAGAAAATGTAAATGTAATAAAACAAATACGCATACTTAGTGATACGAAAGTAGTACTATAATAATTCGTTGTTCTCAACTGAGTTTTTTCGGAGATATGTATACTAGGTATGTTATTATTCCAAACCGTTCTCTAGTGTTTGTGTTATCACTGTAAACAACCTTTGTTGAATGGACTATTGATATAAATATACATAATATTGAAGATTTCCTACCAGATACGGACGAGAGAAACAGTTGGCCACTCATGCATTCACTTACTTACTGGCTGCCAACCTAATTAACATATCAGCGGCCAGTATAACGGGAGCCAGGTTATGAAATAAACAAAATTGTATTATGGGCGCGCCAGACGGCTGGAATCTCAACTAAAAATGTCGATACTTTTGTTTCCTCTAAGTACAAGAAACAGACTTCTGTTGTCGCATGCATTTATTTCTATGCAACCACCTTGCACATAACTCATAAGTGTATACAACTTGCATGAAGTTTACATTCTTATATTGCCAATATGTACCTGACATCATCACAATATACCTAACAATTAATAAAGCATATTTTGGGACTTAGCAAGATTTTTCGTTGATCACGAACGGATAAAAAACGATTTGAAAGACGCCAGTGTACATTGATTAAACTGACTCCGATTTGATAACGCAAATTTGGTGCATGCATTCATATAACAGATGCCAATGAAGTTGTACATTAGTACTACAATACAGTCTCTGTCTGGGTTTCTGCTGATGTTCTGCTGTTTTAAGGAAGTACTATAGAGTAAAAAACAATACACAACATGAATGTTTAACTGCTCCAGTTGTGTTCAAATGTATACAAAACTTCCATGATGTGAGCAATTGAAAAGGGTTATCATTGAAATGTTTTTGTGAAAATGTGCTGACAATATATAAGATTTACTGAGCGAAATTCGATAGTTAATTCAAGTCGTTTTATATTTTTGAAACAACCTTTATTTTGGCCAGCAGGTAGCCTCAGAGACCGCGGAGCTGGGGGGAGGGCTGAAGCGTACCGAACGTTTCAGCGACCTATGGCAAACACGGCGGCAGTCGACTTATGCATTTATTTTCCCTGAGCCCCTCCCCCCAATATAAAAATACTCTGCGGTCCCTAACTGCATGCTTCGTTTGCTGCTTGCATGCTGTCTGACAGCTCCATATAATGCATCCGTCCAAACAAAATTGCCAGCCGCGGAAATTCTCAAAATCAATTTAGATAAAAGTAAAAAAGGCGTTAATTGTTTCGATCGTGGCTGAGAATTTAATTAAGGAAGTAGCTGCATTATAAACACCGACTCCATTGTCCTCGAAATCTTTCAACAAAATAATACATTAATGAATTGATCGAAATTTTGCAATTGTTTTTGAAAACATACTGCATGTATGTCATTTGAACTCGTAAGAATAATAATTAATCAACCTGATGAAAGCATTACAGGTAGGATTATTTAGAAAGTGACTTGAAATGAATGTCATTGACCTCGTGAGAGACCTCCAAGTGCGTTGCTTCAAATTCGAATGATAATCTACAGCATTGCACTATTTCTTTATTGCAAGAGAACTTAGTTAAGTACGAGAAGATCTATCCATCTATCGTGGAAAGTATTTTTTGTACAGAAGTCTCCTAACTTGATTCCCATTATATAGTCATGGTATACAGAATATATCATATAATATGTATATTCAACCTTGACCTTATATTATAGATTGATATAACATAAAAATACGGAGCTTAAAGCTTTCATATATACTCATATAGTATATTTCGGTTGAAACCTTATAATATATAACTTAAGCATCCCGTGACTGTACATAAAGACATAGCTACATATAAATCACATTATATAGATCAGTAAATAATGTCTCCTATATAGTTATAATTTGCCTCCTTTAGTTATAATCATAGTTACACGATTATATTCATTTCCTGACTTCCTACATGTCTGACGTAATTCCGCGTTTTTGCCCTTGAACGGCTACGACATTGGCATGGTCACTGTGTATTGATTTACCTTGCATGTACGAACTTGCTTCGAAATAAATTTAAAACCCGTCAACGCTAAGCTTATTTTGTTTTAATTCATTTGTTCTGCCTTCGTATAAAAAAGCTAACCTAACTCGGTAGCGCCTTATTTTGCGTAAGTTACTCCTAATAACAAACGCATTCAATATTGATCAAGCTTTTTTCAAAATTAATCGATTCCTTTGTTCATCTTAGCCTTCTTAGGGCAGAAGTTGAACTATTCCATCAGAACTTTTCACAAAAATCCTGTCAGTTTAGCTCATTTTTTTATTTTGATGGCACAAAAAGCATGGAATTCGACAGCGGAGAACCCATGATCTATCTATACATATAGCTTGATTTTAAAAAATTGTGTTTCAAGTACCTCATACTTCTTACCTCATTTTTTTAATCCACCCTTTATACACTATCGATTTCAGATTGTATAAATATTAGATGTCTGTGAAAATAAAACTATTATAAATCTTTCATTTTCCGATTTTCCGACACGTCAATCATGAATTCGTGCATGTACCTAATGAACATGCAATATCACAAAAGTTATACGAGCGTCTCTTAGATTGAATATCCTCATATAATCCGCGAAAATTTATATCACAATAGACTCAATCTTAGGAGCATACATGCATGTGTTTTCTTAGTGCATGAACGAGGCAAATGGAAACTTATTCTCAGCCTGTAGGCAAAAATGCTTATAGCAATTAATAATTAATGCCTAATAAAGTTATTAAAATTATCAAAGTTATTATGATTATCCAGTTTCAATATAATTGAAGTAATAATTTTTCAGGTGCTCTCAAGCATACGCCTTGCTTGGCACAGGCCTGCATGATATGTAAATAATTATATAACTGGAGTCATCGCACAGACCACAGGAATGTCACTGGAATATTATGGCGGGGTTCCATTTGGGCTTACAACCAACGTATGGGAGTGTACTTCCTTAAAACAGCATACCTTTAAAATCGGCTAGACTTCTATGACATTTATGTTCTTTTGGAATTCGGAAACGGCACATTGTTTACTGGTCGTAAATATTACTATCAAGGCTAAATAATGGTTACTGACTCCGTATCAGTGATAAGTACTCTCTATAGGACTTTATGCATCTAAACAGCTAAACTCCATGCGATATATTCATCATCTTCTGATCTAATAGGGTCTTACAGGCACTCTGCAAGATGTGATAACTGAAGCTTATAAGATTATTACGTATTCGGTTTCAAAGGATCAGAGAATGAAAGGGCGAAAATATAAAACTTATATCATACAGCAAACTTTGGCGACTGAAAATATTGATGCAGACAAATTTAAAAATGGAAATGAAAGTGAGGTTTTTCAAGGAGAATCAAAACGTTTACAAATAAGATAAATAAGAGTTTTATAAATCAGAGTTTCGGATGGAAACAGTTGAGAAAAAAAGGGTCACCATTTGATTGGAATTTGATGATATCTTAGAAAATGACTTCATTCTTATAAGCCGCGTGGAGCGAAAAGGATTAGGTGTAAATTACAGAAAACAGAAAATATTTAAGAGCATGCATCCAAGCTTTCTCAACGTAAACTCTTTGACTTTATTCTTTCCAGAAATAGCCACCGCCTGTGGCCCGTGTGTTGATGTATTCGTATTATTATATAGACCCATTCAACAACGGTGTTGTTTATCAAACTCATGCATGCATGCAGTTGGGGGGATTATCAGACTTTATCATGGCGTCTTCTCCGAAATTACTCAGTATGGAAACCAAATATACTCAGCGGGAAAAAGTGATAACGTCTTCATTTCTTCATTAATCGTCGCTATAATATCATAATCATGGTATTGTAACATGTGTTCCTTATCGTACACGAAGCATATCAATTAAGTTGAGGCACACATGAACAATCAAATGTACCATATGATCGCTAAATTACACACACCGGTAATAATAATTGTAGTTTAACACCTCATTTGCCTCGCGGGATGTAGTAGTATAAATACCATATTTCGATTCCCACGAGGTTTTAAAGGCCTTCAACCATAATTATATCTATCGTATGTTCACCAAGGCATTCGACTGTTTGGTCAAAACAATAGGATGAATTATAAAAGGAGTTTATTTAGTGGGGGCTGTTTACAAACAAAACACTTAACGTTACCCTTGACTTTTAATCATGTCATTGTTCGCAGCATTGTGTGATGAATTGGTCGACAAGTAAGCCTGGAGGTAGCTATATTATGAATTATGATTATTCATTACGCCAATTATACGTCGAATCTAAGATTAAGCTTTAGGTGTAGTAATGACTAGTTTCAAAATATTTCCCGAGTAATTCCTTTGGATCCCTTTATTCTTCGATCCCATGCATGTTTTCAAAATATTGCGTCTTGTGATAAGGAATTCTCTTTATTGTGCAAAGGTGTACTGTCAGTCCACAAGCCTTTCTCGCAGGTTAGCGTCAACCCTTTAGGGATGTTGGTGCATGATAAGCCCCCAACTTTGGTCAGAGATTGACAAATATGTTCTAATATTCACCATACTTTTAAGCTCTTAACCCTTTGTTATTAAATTCGAGGTATTCGCGTGTGACTAGCAATTATAGTACAGTCAATTTCTAATTGGGTAATGGTAAACTTCCTCGGCAACAATGGACGTGTCACATGCATACGTAATTAACACTCTCCCTCTTTTTCCTCAGATGGTTTTTAGATCACAAGAGCACCGCTACTGGGGGAAAAAATACATGCATGTCATGCATGTATTTATTTGCGCTGACCGGACGGAGTGATATATTATTATTACAATATGCAGTGGTTTATAATTCCGCGTCCGCTTAACGAGAGGAATCCATTTTAACACTACCATTAACAGGCTTTGTCAATTAAATTTCTCAACTTCCACTAATCCACTTGAACTTGGGCATGAAATATGGTAGTAACTCGGACCAATAA